TCCCTGCCAGGAATTTGGAACTCAAGGCCCAAATGCGACACCAGCCAGGGCGATAGTTCGAATTTATATATGTGTCGTGCATGGATTTTACTCGAAGGTCTGAAAATACAAATTTGAAAGGTCTTAACGAATATTTATAAATTGTGCGTTGTAATATACCAGAGGTGGCCAACACGTCGAACGCGATCAACCGGTCGATCGCCACGTCTTGTGTGGTCGATGCGCGTAAAATTAATAACATATCCCCAAAAATTGCTATGAACCAGTTCCAATTCAGGCAGCGCATGTGTCTTAAAGGTGGGTTATCACGCAAACATTTTTGTGGAAAATTTGATTCTATATATTTTTTTAAGATTTTTAACGTTTACCTCTTGCATAAAGTGGACTTAGTTTTCTACTTATGAATTTTTAAAAACCGCTTCAACGAAAATCGATCCAGGTTCGGGAACGGTCTTTGATGACGTAGTAGTGAAAACTCATTCCAGATATTAGCTCCCTCGCCATTGACGAGTAAGGTGTTTAACCTCTGTTTTTGGCGTTTAAATCTAGTTTTTCATCGCGTAGTTTAATAAAGATTGAAACTATAATGTATTTTTAAGCATAAATGCTAATGCATAAGAAGTTCTGAATGTGAGGGGATCAAGCCACGGTGTTTTATTGAATGATCGTACCGGTACTGACCGCCTGTCAGAAGGCTTTGAAGTACGGATCATAGAGTAAGTATTTACCATTTTATTTCGTTTATCGACTGTTTGATAAAAATATTTAATCAAAGCATGATGATACCCAGTCACACTTTTGTAAGAACCAAATACAAATCATTTTTTTATATTCATTTCACATTATTATGCAACAAAACACTGTTGTATGTTGAACCTTACTAAACTGTCTGGTGATATTATCCTGATATTTTTTTTATGTCAGTTCTATCAATTTAATTTGTATACTTCGTTTTCCAGTGCACACTGCTTTTAACAACACAGTCCAGCTGTTATCGATCAACTAATGGAGATTCGTGACAACACATTTATTGGCATGGATGAATTACATATGGTGAAAACTTGTAATAAAATGTTAAAAATAAATAAAAACTGATTTGAATAACTGAGTGAGGTATTGTTGTTTCAGGCTGTGGGTAGAAGTTTGCATGGATTCAAACATAATTTTAAGGCTAAAACGATCCTTCGACTTAGAGGTCTTCTTTTAGTTCCATGGAGAGACATCAGAAAAGGTTACTTGCGAAAATTTTATCCATAGTTTTCTGCTTCAAGACAGATCCATCCCTGTGAAATCTGCTGTAACCACCAACTACACATTCCATACGCTACGGTAGTGTTTGCGCACACACCGGTATAGTCAGATAGTTTATATATACCGAAAATATAATAAAAAGACTAGTTATAGGATCAGATAAGCAGAGTAAACACACATCAATTATAAAATCTAGATCATTTGAGAAAAAAATGGCCTGGTATGCGCTTTTTCACTAGAAAATATATTGCAGCAAAAGGTCCGGCACAGAACTCGAGTACGTCTTGACCTCGATTAGTTGAGTTTACTGCAATTTCTCATAATGCAATAATTTTATTTAAAGATATTAGTATTGATTTAAATCACAAAAGCTTCCTCCAAATGCGCCGCCCAATAGAACCAGCACACGGTTCAAAATGAGTACACAGAATGTTATAATTGCCTTTGATCTAATGCAAAGTTTCGTCGACGAGTTCTCACCACTACGTCATCAACGGGACATACTAATTTGCGTTCGATTTCGGCAGGGTCAACTTTTAAAAATTCGAGTCTCGCAAACGAAGTCCATTTTATGCAAACGGTAAACTCCAAAAATCCTAATAAATTATATAGAATCAAATTTACTACAAAAATGTTTGCGTGATAACCCACCTTCAAAACAGGAAGAATGCAGTACTGTACATGCGCAAAATACAGTACGATAATATAGACAAACGCTATTTGTGGCTGGGCAAGTCCGATATATCATATTATTACGTAACAAATGCACGTTTCGTCTACACTCTAAGAAATGTTGGGTAAATTTTGCCTTCATTTTGGGGTGGTAAATTTGAAAAATGGTGTCGGTAAACCGATACACCGACAAATGTCTGTAATAATTACCGACATTGGAGACGTGGCGCTAGTCGATATTGCGCGTGCACACTGGTAAGGGAGAGCAGCTAATCAGGCGATATATATCAAACAACTAAATTATCACGCGCCGTTTTTTTTTTGCTCTACTCCATGATTTTTCGTTCAATTGACGAATTCCAGACTTTTGGACTTTGATAAGACGATATTATGTACGGCAGTTATATCTTAGTTGCTCTTGTTATTTTTGAGTTGGCGGTTTTTCTGCGGGGCAACCCTAAAATGCGGGAAACGGGAACGACGGGAGTTACTGCGAAATTCACTAAAATGCGGGAATTGCGGGAACGACGGGGAATTGCCAAAACTAAAATGCGGGAACTACGGGAATAACGAGAACTACGGAAAATTTCACTAAAAAGCGGGAAATTTCACAAAAAGCGAGAATGACGGGAAATCGCATTGAGGTACAGGAAATATTCAATTTAGTTTATGTTTAGGGGAAATTGCTCTAGAAAGCCAAAGCAACGGTAAATGTACGCTTGTGGGTGAATGTACGTGAAATGTATATAAAATGCGGGTATTACTGCAAATCGCTTTAAAGTACGGGAAATACTCATTTAAAAGTATGTTTAGAAGAAGTTGCACTAGAAAACGAAAGCGAAACTTTTTATTAAAATCGTGAACATTAATATAAATCTTCATAGCATTTTCAGCTTTACTGAATATTTCTTAAAAAAAATTATTTAAACAACAGTTGTATATAGATGTAATATTTCTAATAGAAAATTGGTTCAGAAGTTTGTTGGTAATAAAATATACCTGGGGGTAGCAAAACAAAGACTATAAATTTCCAATGATAAGAATATTACAAAATTATGATTTTTTTTTTTTTCATTTTAACACCTAACAAATTTAATGTTGCAAACAACTATACATCTCAGATTCCGTATCTATTTTTTCAAAAAAAAAATTTGTCACTATATTCTTTTTTGGACATAGTGATGAAACCTACATCTTTTGCGTCTTCTAATATATTATGAAAAATACGTGGTCATGTATATTTAACACTTTCCAGCTGTGAAGTATGCTACAGTAGCTACACGGTAGAAATTCTCTGCACATTTAGTCAAACTGCGAGATGATATTGCCGTAATGTCACATCGAGTCCCATTACTATGATTTCAAAAATAATTTACTGAATCTTGTAAAATGTAATGTAATCATTTATTGCTGTAATGTTTGCGGACATCCATATTGTTTGCTGAAAAACAAGAATCCAGTGCGTCTACGCTTTGTTCGCTTGGCAAACAAAATTACTGTGCCATACTTAAAGTGCTCATTTGTTTGCTTTATGTGGCACTCTTCACTTCGTAAGTTAATTGTTTCCGTCATATCATTTACAGAATTAATCTATAGAATTATTTCATTCAAATGGTATATTACCAGAAGGTAATTTATGAATTTAGTTCGTATTTTCAAGCTTGTATTTTAATATGATACACAAAGCGTTCCTGTAAAATATTTATTTTTAAACTTTTTCACATGATTTACATTGATTTCACTTTAATTTTACTGAATCTTGCAGATAGAAATGTTTTTACAACTCCACTTTATTTTTATTATTTGGTTTCTGCGAGACTAACTACTTATCCTTCTTCTATCTTCCACTTTATTTGCCCACAAATAATGTTCCAAGGACGTCTGAGCTCAATTCTTCGTCCCCACAAACAAACTGACAGCGTCAAATAAATTTTAAGCGCTCTCTTGTTTCCCTAATATATCTCTTTCACTTTGTACAGAAAGAGCTATATATTTGTCATTTACTCCAAATTTACGTTAATAGATTGAAAACCGAATCAGTCTCCTTGCTTGGTTTTACATTTTAGACACTTTATTTTAGACAAAACCTTTGGCATTAATTGAATCTTCCCTTAAAAAACATATTTTGATCACTCCTGGGTTTATATCTCTCGTTTGAAATAAAGAGTATATATATTTTTTTATATTTGTATATTTATATTTGAATCATCAAATACCAACAATATATCACAAAAAAAATTAAAATTTCTTCTAAATTAGGTTTAGGTTTGTTATATATTAAAAAAGGGGTACAATAATAAACTATTGACAAGAAAGATCTTTGCATTTATCGGGAAATCTGAAAACCACTGTTTATATTAAATAAAATTATTTAAAGAATATAAAACCATTAGAAAACTTTTGTTCAGCGATATATTAAAATAGTGAATATATGAACATTTATAGTGAAGTACAATTACTATTCTTACATTTATTATTTGTCATTATCACATCAAACTTGTTTAATAAACGTTTCAAATAATAATATGAATATTATTTTTGAAAAATTGTTTTAGCATATAGTCTTTGCCAATAACAAGTTTAGTCTAATCGTGATTGAATGTAAATATATTATAAAAATTCTTTATGTGAACATCTCAATGTTTTGAAAATTAACTTCACAAATGGATACAAGGTAACATTCAATTTAATCAGTTTCACGCAAATAAAACCACGTAACTGCAGATAAAATTTATCATAATAAATTTAGTAATGATATTAAACCTAGAAAATAAAATAAAAATAGCAACAATAGTAAAACTTGACTTTGAATAATAAAAAAAATAACAGAAAGGTAATAAATGCATATGGGCAAAACGAAATACTCTATTGCGAAACTAGAATTCAGAATATTCTATCTTGATTCTCTGTAGTAGTATTCAGTATTATAAGTGGCGTAAAAAGTGTATATATTATTTTGTTTAACATAGTTTATCAATATATTCGAAAGATATTAGAAATAATTTTAATCGTTTTCGATTTCGAATCTCACTCGTTGTTTTCTATGGCAAATCTTTGTTTTGGTTTTTCCAAGGTCTCTAATTAAACCATCTAGTTGATAGAGTCTTATCTCTTCTTCTTATGATGTAAATCACATGTCGAACAAATTCTTCAAAGTGTTGCTGTCTTTTTTCTAATTCGCCTATATTTGACATCTAAAAAGTTATACAATTATAATAAACCAATAATTTTTTTTAAATGTTTCGTTATACACGGAAAGTATGTGAGAAAACACCCTAATATTGAGAATTAAAAATGAAAGTGCTAAATACCGGCTTTTTGTGGACGCTAGTATATTTCAGATAGCGCACTCGGGTAACTAAATAAAGTTAAAGTTTTATTCTTATTCTTTTCAAGAACAGTGGAATTAAACACATAATATTTTTCACCTTATGTTCCTCAATCCAATTTGACTCGTTATCGCACCGACGAAAGATAAGTTGTGTCTCATGAGACGATAATTTGTGTGTTCCAACACAGGTAAAATATTGCTCAATATCAGAAATATAATATACAAAGGTTTGTCGAGCCTTTCTTTGTTGCTCTAGCCTTCTCTCAAATATCTTTGATTCCATTAGGTATTTCCTCTTAAGAAAGTATTAAATTTATATTCGTTTAATTTGTATTAAAATTACAAATGATAAATTTTTGTTAGGAAAAGAAGGTTCTGTAGAAAAGTCCTGTAGAACAAAATTGACAAATCATGAACGATATTTGAAAAAAACAAATAAAAAATAAAATACCCAAAAATTTATTTAAGATTTTGCATATTTACTTCCTTTCAATTTAAAACAGTGTGATCAATATGAACAAAAACGATAGAAAGAAAGCTTTTAGCTCAAATTAATTTGATCTAAAAGCTTTACCTCGCGTGTTTGAATTTCAAAACTAAAATATTCCAGAATAAAAGTATTTATTTATATTGTAATTTCTATTGAATATTCTTAATAAACGAAGAATGTGGAAAATTAAACGTTTATTACAGTATTTAACTAAGTACTTTGAATTGGCGAAATAATTGTCTATCTGTTAAAATTGGACCCACCTCCGAAAATTTTTGTTTTATTAGAGCCGTAGCATATACGGCAGCACCATAAGCCACTGCTTCATCTGGATTTATAGAATTGTTTAATTGTTTGCCATTAAAAAACCTTTTCAGCATTTCTTGAATTTTTGGAATACGTGTTGACCCACCAATAAGCACGATTTCATCTATCTGTAGTTTTGTGAAAAGGGTTTATCAAGAAAAGTAGCATTTTAATCCTTTGTTTTAAAGCACAATTACATATGTATTTAAAATGTAAATAACTATAGTTGATAAAACATGCAGTGAATAAATATAAAAAATATAATTATTTATATTTATTTGTCGTTAAAAATAAAAATTTTCTTTGGTTTGTAATGACATACATATTTTACATCAATTTGTAACATTCGTCCAAGATATTTTTTTTTGAGATATTTGACTTTATATTTTTACATTTTAAAATATTATTTCATATTTGCTTTTAAGATATCGTGTTTTTAATGTGTTGCAAACCTTGTCTTTGGTCATTTTTGCTTGGTTCAATGTATTCTGCACCCCATGAAGTGTTTTAGCAAAGTAATCATTGTTGATGTCTTCAAACTTTGCTCGACTAATTGTTGCTTTAAAATCAATGCCACTGTGAATGCTGTCGACATTAATCCTGCGTATGGAAGTTTTAAATTTTACATGCAGCATGTTCATGGCAACATTTCGAAGATTTATCTTCGTGTTTCACAAATCATCATTAGACATTAAAAAAGTATGACGAGCAATGTTATTTTTTAAGTAAACTAATTGCAAAATTATTTAGTCAATAAATATTTTCTCTTGAGAAATAGTAGAATAATAATAAAAACTGTTGCAACAAATAATTCACATACTTAATTAAAAAAATTATACTGAAATATTGTACCGTTTCTATTCAAAATATTTGATTTGTCCAATATCACATTTTAGCAACGTCTACCTAGTAGGGATGGGACCGGGTTCGGACTCGGAATCGATTCGAATCCAGGCATTTTTTGAACTCGGATTCGATTTCGAGTCCACGTCATTTTAACCGAGTCCATAATCAATTCTGTTTTTACTAATTTACGCCTATGTTTGTACTTTTGCCTCTATAAAATCCCACTACACACCTCAACTAGTTAAAATTCAAGGTTTGATCTTTAACAATATCCCTCGTGTGCAATATAAACACTCCTAATAAAACGACGACAGATATCCAGATAATATAAGGCAAGTTAAAAACTAGTGATCGCTTATAACAATGATGTTGCACCAGTCGCCTTCAAACTATCTATCCTATTTGGTATACATGTGGTACACAATAAAATATGTGTTATTGCAATAATTTTGAGTGTTTGATTCGCGTAAAAATGAAACATGCTTTGGATCAACCCAATGGGGAATCTCATCAATACCTGTTTTAAATCGAGTTTATTGCGTGCAATCCTTTCGCTAAAAAGGCAATGAAAAGCATGCTGAGAGTTTAACGTTTACATTAACTACCAAATTGCAAGCAGGTGTACCACATTGTATTGACGATGAGTGGCAGTTCTCTACCCTATGCGCACATGAAATAGTAAATTTACGGCTAGAATTATCTGGAATTTAGGAAAGCATTGTAGTCGAAAGCTTTTTATTTTTCATATTGACATGTGAGATTTTCTGAATAGCCGCCCAGAATTGACGCAAGGTGGGCTGGAAATCCAGTTCACAGCCAAGGCGCACATTGACCCACTTTTACGTTTGTATTATGGCCGCCAAAAAAGAGAAAAAATATATATTTAAAATGATTAAACAGCTATCTGCGGAACCATAGTGCAAAAAATATGAGCTACAACGTATGTTTGTGAGCGCACGATGTGTAGCATGGTCAAAAACACGTTTTTCTGCTTTTTTCATTATGACGTCATGGACTCGGCAGATTCGATTCGAGTCCTTGACCTATTACTCGGATTCGTCGAATCTCTGTAATGCCGGACTCGTCCCATCCCTACAGTAGGTATTGGGCACGGGAGATCATCAGAATAAAGAATTTCAAACAGTATTTCAATTTAATATTGTTTTTGTACTAATTAATTAGGAAAATATCTCTCAAATCTATTATCATTTTAACCCAATTTTCGACTTTTAAAGAAAGTCAATATTTATTCAATGCTGTAATTTAGATAAATTTATCAAGACGATGGAATGGGTAAAAAATATTACCTGAGTATAAATTTAAGTAATCAATTCTTTTTTGGTATTGACTAACTATTAGGCATAATATACTCGTAGGATGGTTGTTTATATATCATCGCATGAATCAAATCGGAATGACTGCTGATATTTACGACCTAGCGCATGACCAGTTTTTGTACACCTATCTGCATTCATTGATACTTGCTGGGCAGACATGTATTAGCACTCAACAGGGGCATTTTGATGGACACATACTTAATTCGAAGATTTCGCTCAAAGCCGGTTTGTTTTAAAAATGAGCTTTCTCAACAGGAAACTGATTACCTTATGATTTATTAGAGAGTGTAAAAAAAAATTGATATTGATTGCAATTTCAAATTTATGGTGACGCCATAGCCGCCTATTGGAGTATTTTGTTTGTTGTCCAATTAATGTATCCCAAATATTTCATAAGAAAATGCTGTTGAGGTTTTTGTTGTTGAGATTATTGGAAGCTAAAAATTTAGTCATTAAATTTATTTTCGAACTAATCAATTTACTGCAAAAAATGAAGTGGCGCCTAGAAGCGTACGGCTTAGAAAATTATGCTATATGGTATTTTCATATTTTCGCAAGAGTTTATTTCACTTTCGATTGCATTCTTCTTATTGCAAACAAGTTAAAGACGACAATTCTAACTAAAATTCAATTACTGAACAAGTGACACAAAAAATTAATTAAAGGTTATTTTTTTGCTTTTTGTGACAGTGTCTACCAATATGGTTGCTTAATAAACGTCGGCTCTGACAGAAAACAATTGAAGTAACAAAACGAAGCGGAATGAGTATTAGGCTTATATTATGATACACCTCAAAAACTACAAAAAAACCATGGAGATATTGACCATATTAATCACAAAATAAATAAAATATTCATCGACGTATTTTTCAGTTTGAACTTTTAAAAATCCTAAATTATATTTGTTACATTTTATGTTTGCTGATTAGTCTAAAATCGTATTTAACGAATACCGACATAAACTTACTTTGCTATGACAGAGACCGACAACTTCTTTTTTGCATCTTCACATTTCATTTTTAGGCGACTTAATGCTCTCTTGTTTTTGGACAAATCAACTTCAGTTTGCCTGTAGAACTCTTGAATGCAATATTGAACCATTCTATTGTCAAAATCTTCACCTGTTTGAATTTACAAATTTGTATAATTAAAATTGCGAATTAATTACTGCTAGATTAGTAATTAATTTACCTGCAATTATATTCACATTTGTTACTTTTACTAAATTTACTAACGAGGTTATTAGAGTACTGCTCCATATTTGAAAGTAGAAATTCCTTATTTATGTAAACGATTCATGCAAAATCTAAAACATGAAGTTTGTGTATATTTGCTTGTTAATTTTAGAATATATTAATATTTCAAATTCTTATCCCAAATTTTTTCATAAAATAATTAGCATTAATTTTATCCAACAATCTCTGAATTACGTCTGGTCACAGGCACAAAGCTCACAAAAACTTGATGTCATTTTACAATATTATGCGTACAATTTCCAATGTATTACTTAATTAAATTATTTGCAGTTAGAGTTTGCTTGTAACACAATAATTACCTCCTAAATGGGCGTCTCCTCCTGTTGCTTTGATGTCAAACACTTCACCTCTTATGGTAATCACAGAAACATCAAATGTTCCGCCGCCGAGATCGAATATTAAAACATTACATGCCTTATGTTTCTGAAATACCAAAATATACAAGGTTTTGAACTTTAATTACTGGATTAATATTAAACATCCTTCAATTCCACATACATATCTATAAAAACTGTTAGCTAATATAAAATTACTTGTTTTAAATTATTTTAAATACTTCCATCAAAACATACATGTGTATGATGAAGTTTGTAAGCAATTGCCGCAGCTGTTGGTTCATTTAATATTTGAAGAACGTTAAGACCCGCTATTTTTCCAGCTTCTTTTGTAGATTTACGTTGTGCGCTGTTGAAGTAAGCAGGTACTGTGATCACGGCGTCAGTGATTGTTGACCCCATGTATGTCTCGGCATCGTGTTTCAATTCCAATAGAATCGTTGAACTAATTTGTTCGGGGTGGAATAATTTTAAATCATGATTGCAATCCACCTTGAAAAATATTAGTGATTATTTTGTAAAAATATTAATATTGTGTAAAAAATGCGATCATAACAACATGATATCATTCTTTTGTTACCTGAATGATAGGGCAATTATTTTTATTGATTACTTCGAAACCCCAAAGTTTCAAATCTCCTTGTAGAATTGGATCATTATATTTCTTTCCAATCAGGCGCTTTATTTCTAAAAAATGCATTAATTACTAAAATTGAAAAAAAGAAAATTGTTTTTTAAAATTCTTAGATATTTAGAAGTCAAACTTTGGAGATCTATTTATATATAAATAAATAATTGGGTTAGATTAAAAAAAGAAATTGATAGTTGATAGATTGAAATTCAAAGTATATGTTAACTATAACTATATCATTAACAACTCAGAATAGATAGGAGTAAAATAGAGTACAGATACACAACTCAGATCATTATGAAATAATTTTAATATCTTTATTCATATTATGAACGCACGTTTGAAAACGTTTGAGAAATTTACTCACGATATAATATATTTCGGTGATTAAAATCCATGTCGTATTTCGCTGCTTTTCCCGTCAAGACTTCGTCACCAGAAAAAGAAACATAAGATGGAGTCAATCTATCGCCTTCATTGTTTGGTACAATTTCAATCTACAATAGGGTAAATGTACTATGTTAATTCGTTGATAAATTCGTCCAAAGAATAGCTTGCATATTTTCTTAATTGCTAAACACGAGTAAATTACGTCGTTCTAATTTCATATTTAAGCCTCTTCTATTTTTCATTGGAAAAAGTGCGAGTAATTCAAAAAATACCAAAAGTAGTAAAAATTCTACGACCAAAAATTTACAGAAGAAAAATACATACTCTTTCATTTTTTAGAACAGCGACACAAGATAATGTAGTCCCAAGATCTATTCCTATCACCGACATTTTCAAGTCAATCTGAATATGCAGATGGTCTCAGATACTCATAATTAGAAATGTAGCAATATATGTACCAAAGTTGTATATTACTTTTACCCACATCAAAAAACAAAGGTTTTTTTTTAATATGGTTACCCTGTTCAATAATGAGAAGGATACCCTAACTTAAATTTGATTGACAATGTTGATTACACTGTCAATTAGTCATTAACAAAGTTTAGTCTTAATTTTCTGAGTAGGACTGAAACAGCTTTAGTTCATCTTTTGGTTCACGTTATTTTGTAGTAAAAATTAATTCAGATTCATTCAGCAGCGTATACAAGTTACAAATCGATGACCCGCCATACTTTAACAAAACAGTGAGATAATTAGTCGAAGTCAGGAGTCACCAAACTACGGCCCGCGGGTCGCATCCGGCCGCGACGTCATTTTATCCAGCCCACAATAACACGCAAAATGGCTAAATTGTCTTCCAAGAGAGATTTTCCCGAGCATCGTCTTCCTTGTTTATTTCGTAACATTGGCCAATTTTCTGTCGTGGTTGTAAACAATACTTCGTTTTTGCGACTTTAAATTTAAATTGCGAAATTTAAGTATGAATCAAACTAGTCAATCATCATTTGCCTAAAACTCCAAGCTATAATTCTCTTCCGGTACGTCAAGTCAAGTCAAGTCAAGTTTATTTTTTCCAACCAGTAAAAAACAAAAAACACATGCAAAAATATATAGAAAAATGATATTTAAATTACTGGGGAAGGGAAGCCGCGGGGAACCAAAACTGGTTATCGAGCTGCGACACCCAAGGTTCTAACACCTAGTTTGACAGATCGGGGAGAAGAGTTTCAACAAATAGATACCATATAAATTTTACTAAAGAGCTAACTAATTGCAATTGTTATATATTATTACTAAAAATTACCGTGCATTAAATGTGCCATAATAGCAGCGAATAACGGGGGATTTCCCGTTTGCATAGACCTAGCTGTAGCGAAATGTTGTTCTGTAGAATAACTGGGGAATTTTGAAGGTGACCTGACCACAACGTGGTTGTGCTATGAAGCGATATAGCAATGGACAACGATCAGGTAAATAAATGAAGTGAAATTAGCACGCTGGATGTTGAAATAAATATTCACCATTGGTGTCCTGACGCGTTATCTCAGTACCGGTACCGGTACCGGTACCGTACTGCTTGTAAGCTAACAAGAAAAGTATTAGGAACAAATATAAATGATTTGATACCGGTACTGTCACACTGTGATAGGAATAGGCTACAATGAAAAAACAATATTGACATTTGTTGAGGTGAAAATAAATGTTGGTATAAAATCACTAGACTATGGAGTCCTTCAATGATAGAAATATCTGAATATACAGATATAGGAAGCACTGTGATAGGAATACTCCATTGCTTAAACTGGTACCGTAAGTTGATGTTAACTAATACTAAAATATGAAACATAATTAGTAATACTTTTTCATGTAACATAGCACAATTAATAGTTTTTGTCCATCCTAAAGTATATATTGAGACACTAAATGTCTTTTTAGATTTGATTTGAATATCTGGTGGGACATGCTTTTTAACTCACTTGGTAAATTGTTCCACATTTTTGCTCCAGTGTACTTTAGGCAATTTTGGGTTATGGAATGTGACAAACGACGTAAATAAAAAGAGTCTCGTGACGCGTGCTTTCGACGAAACTGTTTACGTTTCTTGTGCTAAAATGAACGTCGGATGTGCATGCGTCGAATGCGGATGTTCATGTAGGTATGTTACAAAAAAATTAAAGGTCATCCGATTTAAATAAAAACTGCGCCATTGGATATATCTGAGTGAAAATAAGAAAACAAAAACCAAGTTTATAAAAAACGGAAAAGAAATAACGGAGATATCGGAATTTTAGTACCGACCGAGTGGTCAATTTTTTCCATAAGGATTGTATTACTTTTTTGATAACAACTGTAATAAATTTGAAAAAAGAACACATATTAATCACTAATTTTTCGATGTGCGTGACATCTATGAAATATTGAGACTATTTCAGGATATTATTTTCGCAACGGTCATTGACACCGCCGGAAGATCGTCGCAAATAAACGCTGGAGTTGTGATCCACTGTCAAACTATCATGCACAACTCCAGCGTTTATTTGCGACGATCTTCCGGCGGTGTCAATGACCGTTGTGGGTAAAATTAACGATGTTCTGATTGTACAAACTTCATAAAAATTGGTGAGTATCAAGTTAGGGAAGAAATACACACGTCCTTATAAATTTTAATGGTGTCCATAGACAATATCAGTAAGTTGCACTACGTATAAGGGGAGCGTGATTTTTAAAAGCTCGAATGTTGTGAAATTTATGCGCTAATGAACAAAATCAAATACCAGATAATAGTTGTTTATTCTATCTAAATTATGTCAAATTTCCATGGAATTCCAAGCTACAGCAGGCAGTCCCTAGTCGTTTTTATGATCGGTATTCCAACACGGCATTAGGGTACTCAAACGTGATGCGTACATTTATTGGCGCAAAAAAGCGGATTTTCTAACATTCCTAATTTATGACAGCAACGTTTTGATAACAGCTAAACTCAGGATAGTTGTCTAGATATAGAAATCTTGTATATATGTTTTCCTAGGATATTCTTGATCTATATTCTGCAATATGGATAGAATTTAATATTCAAGTCATCAGAAATGTAGAATATATATTGTTGAATAAATTGAATGGATTTCCCAACTTTTGTGAATTTATTCCATTGACAAAAATATTCATCCGGCCCGTTTCAACACAGTTTGAGTCATACCCGGCCCGCGGCTAAAAAAGTTTGGTGACCCCTGGTCTAAGTGATCCAAGAATCCTTCTGCACACGAACACCGTAATATTTTTGTAACATTTCCGCCGATCAAGTCATACAATTGTTTAAGTGCGCAGAAAGACTCTTGATTACTTGGCTTAGAACAGGATAGACCAAACCCTGGCATGCGGCCCGCAGACAAGTTCCATGCAGCCCTCAGAACAATGTTAGCGTATAGTAAACCGTTGGAAGATATTTGTATTTATTGACCTTTAATGAGTGTTTTTAACTATTCCAGCTAGGGTCGGGATCACGAGATTTGGACACTTTTCCTAATCCCGATGACGGGAATGATGTTTGTGAAAATCGCGACTTTCAATATTGTATTTATAAATGTCGAGGGGTGTCGATTTGAAAATGACGTAAAGAGATCGGTACACGGTGGATGAGATAAGTCGCGCTTTTCATTTCAACTTCGCATCTTTAGCTCGCGCCAAGCAACTCCCTATTAGGAGAGACGATTTGTTATTTATTTTAGTCAAAAACCTCTCCCTTTCCTAGCGTGGGCCACGTGACTGCAGTGGCGAAAGGCATAATGACTTAGCGCCGCGCGATCGATATTTCTATAGCTATGTCGAAAATCCCGACCTAGACGGACTTGGTTGTTCTCCGACCATAACACTAGACCAGGGTGGTCCAAGGTTGTTGTCTTCGCGGGTCACAAAATTATTTTTACATTGTTCGCGGGCCACAATAGTGTCAGAAATAGGTAAAAAGGGAAATACAAAACAAACACTTTTATTGTGCAAAGAATTGATCATTATTTTTCATTCATCAATCTATAAAAACATGCAAAATACACCAGAAAATCACTGAAACATGAAAAAGTTTTTCTATATCTACGTTTAATGTAAGATTTCAAACTCTTCACAACGGAGATAGTGATCCCGCAAATGTAAGTGCTCTCCAACATCGATGGGGTTCTAAAAGAAAAATCTCTCAAAATTTGGAAATGCACATTGCTCCCATGATAGCAAAATGCTGTTCTAGATTATATTTACCATAACTGCAGATTGATTGATTATCAAATTTTACCAATGCAAGGTACAGGAGAGTAATTACTAATTTTTCTGACCTAGTAGAAATATGTTTTGTAATACTGTTTAGGCTGGTTCCAAAAAATCACCGGAAGGAATTATATTCCCAGGTTATAACATTAATATTCAGTTATTATAACTGTTGGAATATATTCCCAGCAAAGATAGAAGGCCAGTGAACAATTTGGACTACCCAAGCACACTATTCAACTTCGCTAGTTGCCTCGGCTGGCGTGACACGAGTCAATTTAGTGACATTAGTAAAGTAACAAGTCGAAAATATTTTCTGATTATTTTTATGACGAAACAACACCAAATGCAATATTTTTATTACCCGTCAGCAAAGACGACGCGGGACACAGAAAATGACGGGCATGGGTTTGGACCACCCTGCACTAGACCGACAGAGGTAAACTGGGCGGAAACGTATTCCCTTGCCTACAACAACAGTAAACGACAGTATCTGGCGTGCTATCAAGTAATATCTGTCGCGAAAGAATATAATTTGAAGCGAATTTACAAATCAAACACGAGAACAGATAGATGAATATCACGGTACTTCTCGCGAAGCAAATTTAAACAACTAATGGTTTTAAATATTATATTCCTTGAAAAACGCCATCCATGAAACATAACAATGAGCTGATGAGCACGATAAACTCTCGTTGTGTAATATATCTAAACGAAGTAAACTTGCGATAATTTGGACGTCTATTTAGGGTTTTCTCTGACTGCCGCGCGCGATACCCCGTCAAAAGTTTTTGCGGCTCTTCAACCTCACAACCTTAGAGCACCCTGACTTAAAATAGTTTTCGTAATCCTGATATAGCAAGTAGTGAGTTGTTTGTTAGTCGCGCAGAAACCAAATCAATAGCGTGAGATAGCATTCCGCACTAATTAGTAATACTAACATGAATGACAAATTGACGATGCAAATTACATCTGTTTTACTGAACTTTACGCCCTGCACTCTCTCAATATAATATTCTTAATTTCGATTTATTTCAACATCCGTATTTTCTGTTAAATTATGTTTATATCTTCAATCTCCTCAATAGCCCATGTCTGCAGTAACGTATCACAAAAATTAGTAATAAGCTATATATAGCCATACATTTCTACATTTTATGAGCAAGGTAAACCCCATCTCTAAAATGGCTTTTTGATTTATAATGAACATTTACAATACGCTGTATTGAATGATATCTAATTTCCTATTTATATTTGTTTAGTCATTAGTGTATATGCAAGAATCTCAGTGCAGATGATGTATGAATTAATCATGTGTTTTGACAGATAGTGTATTCAATTAAATGGTGCAATATTGTCCGTCATTTTAAAGAATTTCATAAACAAATATCGCTATCAACTCTTTCAAAGTATATTATGTGAACCGTTAACCCAAATGTCACCCCCAAGTTGCTTTGGCGATTTTATTTTATTTTGTTACCAACATACCAATCTAATGGGGTACGTGTTAGTCTCTCACTCCAATAAATAGTATTTACTTATAATCCCGAACGTCATTAAAATTCTGCAGCTGCTTAAACTGGACGTTTTAGATCATTTCTCATACAGTTCGATAAAGTTGTATTGAACAAAAAAATGTGATAATTAAACGTAATTGTTGTGTACTTTTCCGCCCACGAATAAGCAGAAATATTTGCACCTCTTATTTCAAGTGTTCTGTAAATAGGTTGAGTGGATTTCTCGAGATTAAAAATAAAAATCAAACTGTGATGAAATGATTTGCAAATACGAAATCATAATAATTTAAAGTTAGTTAATATATATTATGTTTCACGTCATCACTCATGTAATAAACTATCGGGAAATTTATTTTAAATGTTTTTAGTTCTTACCGATACTTTGACAAATACATAAATTTGTGAATTATCAAAAAATACTGTTTAGTCTTGTCTAGTATTTATTGGCGAAGCTGGCAAACTTTTTTTATTAAATAATAGATAATAATATTATTAATATGGCTAATTAGATTGGTACAATTTATTTTTTCCACTGGAAAATTTAAATAAACAAATAAATGTTTGTACTGTTAGTTTTTGATACGCACATTACCCATGGAAATTTGGTTTTGCAAATGTATAAAAAGGTTTTTGCTAGTAAAAAATTGCTAGTTATATATGTGTTAGCTGATGACAGGACTAAAATATCTGAAAATCCCAATGCTGGAGAGTCATGTTTATTACATTTAACAATTTTGTTTCGGAAAGCTTTTCAAATTGAGTAATTGAAGCCTGAACAAAATTTTTCCGAATAATAAACCTGCGCTTTGTTCATGTTTTGTTTGGTCCTTTTTCGCTGGATTACGAAGCGTTCCATCCGGCCCACACGTGTCTGCTGCAATTACGACTATACTTTTTATTGATAAAAAATTCCGTTGAAAATATCGATAAAAATAACATCATAATGAACCTGATTGTTACATTCTGCTTCTTATTATAATAGAAACGTTTGCCCAGCTGTTGAACTAGTGAATAAACTGTTTTTTATTCATATTGAGTTTTGGCCTCCGGCCTAGCAACCAAGTCTATAATGTGTAACTGGCCCATTCAGAAAAGTAATCGTCCAGCTCCACTTTAACGTTCATTCTTATTAAATGAAACATTGAAAACGCCACTGAAAACTTGAGAAAACTTCAATAAAAAACGCGACAATTTTGTTTTTATTGCAATTCAATAATATATTTTCAAATCTAAAAATGATCACTCTAGTAAAATATTAAGTATTTACAATATTATTTTTGATTAATTTTTGCTTTTAATGGATATATATGTATACTCGTTTTACATAAGTTAGTCCAACAATTACAATGTATACATGAATTTAATAAAATGAAAAATAATGCAAGAAACGTATTACTAAAAATCAATCGCTGGAATATAGCCAGTTTTGTTATCATCAGCTAGTATTGTCAATATTCTGAAAAATGAAAATGAAAGTAAGCAACGTTAATTTTTTATTATTCAATAATTAAATCTACAATTTCTTGCTATTCAAATATAACATAATATCAAATTTTTAACGGTGAAAATGAAAAATTAGGAAAAATTATAAATGAAGTAAAATAATATTGTAAAATATAAACAAATGAATATGACACCGATATTTTTAATTTTTTAACAGCCTTCTCAATATTATTATTTAAAATAAGATAACAATTGAAAATAAGTTTTGTTTTCATATTTGACAGGAAATGAAATATTTTAAAATTTCATGCGCACCACGTACTGAATGAGATGATGCAAAACAGTATTCACCAAATTTGTTTTTATTAATTTCTAAACAACATTCACGTAATTCGGTTATCGAATTAATTATAATTTTGAAGCACGAAGGCGCTCATGTACCAAGAAAAGCATTTTTCTCGAACTTAATTGATATTTACCCTTCAGGTGACTTCAAATATTCCGAATATTCTCGTACTTTGTTGAAATATGTCTCTAGTTCTGAAGTTTTTTTACGAATAACTCCAATATCAGCGTTCTGAAATAAATTATATTTTGTAACGCGAGATGCACTATTATTTGAAGTGGGTACAAAACTTGAATTGAATTTGTTTACAATACCCGGCAAATCGTAGCAGAAGCGAATGTTAAATTAAATTAAAATTTCCTTTGTTTAAAAGGTTAAACATCTGGCGTATTTGCACATCATAGCGTGTAACAAAAAAATATATAAGATGCGAAATGAGAAATTTAATTTGGAAATTTTCAATATTTATATTCAATTGAAATTTAATTTTAACACTAAAATAAACCCTTTTTTTTCAATTACCTCGTTTGATTTAGCAAAATCAAACACTTCTTTTGATTTTGCCAACAAGCCTCTTCTTTCTCGAGGAGATATAGTTGCTGAATCTGACTCGACAAGTTGATTGACTTTGTAGACTAATTCTTCTAACTTGTTTATAGCACTGTCTCTTTCCTTGGCTGTGTTGTCGCCCACTTTCATTTTTTCCGCTGCAGCAATCTTTGAAACATTTTTCCATTCAGAGTAAGTGAACATTGAGGTATATACCAGAATACATTTTTTACATAGTTTTAGTTTACATCCTTTTGAATATTCATCTTTTGAATGAAACAGATAATATGACAAACTTAGAAACGATATGTAATGTAGGTAAACTAGGTCATGCACTATTCTTCGATAAAAATTTAACTATATCCCAAAAGAAGATTATTGGGAATCCTTCAAAAATTACATACATACATACATTGAAATATAAAACACAAAAACTAACAAAAATTTGATGATAAATAATATTTTTGCTTTCATTTTACCGAATTTGGTTGAAAATATTTTTTTTTGTAGTTACGAATCCTATTTTACTGCCCAAATTACATGTATATTGTATAGACAAATAGCATGTAGTCGATACCGAGGGAATATTTTTCTTCAATTCAAGATTATAAATATAGGTACCATATCATTTATTTCTTTTTCAGCCAGTCTCCTATCATCGTTTGTGATAGTTATATCCTTTGTATTCCCCGAGGCCAAGTCTAAGGCAATGACTTGTAATACACCGGAACTATCAATTGCAAAAACGGACAATATAGGTGCTTCCCCGGCTGGTTTTGGTGAAATTCCGGTCAACAAAAATGAACCAAGTTGGTGATTGTCTTTAACTTTTGGATTTTCACCTTCGAAAACCTTAAAACATTAAAATATGATATTCTCTGGAAGTTACTTGGGTTAAAAAAAAAGCAAGCACATTTCATAACACGAACAATATTTACAAAATCGTAATACCTAAGCTAAGGAAAGTGTCAACTAAGCTAAGCTCATCCTAAGCGTATCAAGTTTGCGCCAAATGAATTCTTCAATACCTTCTGTTATGTGAAATTTTCAAAATACATGTTCTTATCTAAAATCTACCGATACGTTCAGTGGCGTATCTACGTAAAATGGCGCCCATGGCAAACTCAAAAAATGCGCCCCCTTGATAGTTGTTTGACAATTTAAAATGATTATTATTGAATTGAGATACTTGTACGTTATTATTTGAGTAAAAATACGAGGTTTGTTATTCCCAATTTAAAATTAGTTTATTAAAACTTTTCATGACTAATACTTTTCGCCGTTTCTGCGCCCCTGTTCAAACGGCGCCCATGGCACGAGCCATGGCTGCCACACCCTAGATACGCCACTGAATACGTTATGTTTATTATCTTATGTTTAAAGAAAACAAAAAAATTTCTCGACTTTCTTGAAAATATTTCGAGATTCCAATAAAATTTAAAAAAAAAACGAAACAAATCTGTCAATAAAAAAAGGAATCAAATGATGATTAACTAACCCCGAATAGTACCGCAGTTTGATTATCGCTAGCTGTAGAGAACACATTCATTTGCTTGGTTGGTATTTTCGTGTTTTTTGGGATTATAACACGCATATCTGTTCCCCTAACGTCTGTTCCAATAGAAAATGGTATCACATCTTGAAGCCGGAACCGTTCTTGCTAATTAAAAAATATAAAGCAAAATTACCACCATTCACCCATGCAATCACAATTTGTGGTTTTCCGATCGTTAGGCCTTATATAAAATCCAATTTGGCAGGCGTTGTTTCAGAGTCGAAAGTACATTCTCAACTCATGAATTACTATAAACAAACTGACAGATACAACCCTGTTCTTTTGTTCTTTTACAGGAATACACGTTGATTTTCATGCGTACATTCGTTTAATCAATCAGTTTGCCTATGAACGCGTAAATGTCTCATAATGTTATTTGATTTATTTAAGCTATGATTGAGTGCCGAATTCTCATTCTTTCCGTCTGTATGCTGATGTAGGTCCCCAGATTTAAGGTCTAAGCAGTGGTTTACAAACGCTATGTGCTTGCGGACACATATGCTTCTCTGAAGTATCCGCGGACCTCCCAAATTTTCAAACTAATAACATAATGAAAGAACATAGCATGTGCTACTCAGACGACATTTAAATTACCTGCCAGTACCCATTTTTCAAATCAAGTTTGCTCCTTGCTTTCGTCTTGATTTGAACAAGTGTAGAAATCTCATGTCCACATAAGTAAGTAGAGACGAAGCGGATAATGATTTTGAATACAACGACGTTATGCACACAACTTCTCGTTTTTGTGCGGTATATTCATGAATATGATATCAAAACTAAATTTTTTGTTTTGCACTACTTTCAAAACTACTGCAAAAAGTGCAGATGTAATGAAAAAAATAAACAATTTTTAATGTGGAATTTAAATTGGGATAATTCGTTTTCGTATTTTTGCTGTTTAGCCATTTTGCTGCTAATGGGATATATGAAAAACTTACAGTATCGGTAGTCTGGCGAGATTGCTGAAATGCGGTCACGGAACTACGGCACAAAGACGTCACCACATAGAAATTCAAACTAATAAACGAATTCCATAAACCACACATTATATTTCAAAAGAAGTAAAAGTGATAGCCTTCTAGCGACAATACCAATATTTTACCACTGGGTATTTTGAAGCAATTGATTCTGTAGTCAAGCAGAAGAGCGATTATTCCACAACAACTAGAAGTAAATGCAAAATGACAACGTTAGCCTACAACGCAAAAAGTAAGGGCTCTTGCCCACTGACATTACATCGGGCCCCCCTAAGGGGTCCGCGAACCATAGTTTGAGAACCACAGGTTCAAATGGCTGGTATGATCTGCTTCAAATTTATTATATGGTTATCCTGTCACCCTACTAATGCGCGATTCACCAAAAGTCCGGACTGATGTTTCGTTTTCATGGCATGATCAAAAATACGCACCGATCGTTGTGAAAAATCCCAATTTTTTCACATTTTGTCGTTATTTTCTGGGCAAATAAATCAAAAATTAATATTTCCGAAACGATACTAATTTTTCCATCGAGCAATATTTTTTCTCGATATTCCATAAACTGACGAGGTTTTATAAATTTTAGGGAATACGTTTCAATTATTAGTTATTAGCTACAGTGTCCCACCCATACAAAAATGCGACGAGACGCGCAGCGCTCAAAATGAACTGGCAGTCCTGGTAAATCGGTACGCTGTCGTTATTCGTTTATGTAATTCTGTAAGAATGTGCATCAGTATGCCGGAGTGCGGGCAACCATCGCCGCCGGTTAAAAGAAATCCCTGAAGAGTGTAATTTGATACAAACTCTGGGATCGTTATAGTTTTTACAACTTACCGTATTGTCTTTACCGGTCCTAATGTTTTCAGCAAGGACCGCTGCACCATAGGCAACAGCTTCATCTGGGTTAATAGTTCTGCTAATTTCTTTGCCGCCAAAGAAATCTTTTAAAAGACTTCTTATTTTGGGAATACGTGTTGATCCCCCAGCAAGTACAATGTCATCGATCTGAATATATTGTAGATTTCACATTGTCGTTCGGGATTCATTATTATATCTTCAGAATATTTTCTATTAACCATAAAAATGAAGTTTCAAAGAATCATAAAAAAATATATTATTGTTTATTTTTAATATTCCAATATCTCAGGCTTAAATTTATTTATAAATAATTTTTGCTTTGTATATATTTGAATTAATTTCTTCGTCTCAAAATGCGTAAAATGTCAGTTAGTTCGTAATTATCATAGTCAGGCTATCCGGAAAAAAGTTCTACACGAATCACTATTACATGCAACATTTAATATTTACCACGTCTTTCTTCATTTTCGCATCAGCAAGTACTTTTTCTACGACGGAAATTGTTTTATCAAAAAAATCGGAGTTTAGTTCCTCAAATTTTGCTCGGGTAATATTGCTTTTAAAATCCAATCCGTTGTATAGACCATCTACCTGTACTCTGAAACGACAATATTTGTCAACACAATTACGACTGTTGTGGATGTTTTCACAATAAGATGATCAAGGTCAATATATATTAAATCCTTATTCGTTTTTTCTTCGAACTATAGATTTTTTTAATTTGTTGAACCAGCAATTCATCATTCACAATCACCAGTTCAACTAGTTCTAGATCATCAGTTATTATAAAGTGTGATTGGCAGAATGTTGAAATTTATTTGAAATTTGAAAAAATGAATCGAATGAGTTTATATATTATGATACACTTAATCCCAAATTCTATTGTTTTCCGTAATGTTGATATTTTTTTTTCTATGAGCTTTATATATATGATACCACAACAGTTTGCTGTAATTTCATTTCATTTTGTTTGTTTGTTATCAATATTCATATTTAATATTTTTTATTGCGTTTAGAGCAAAAATTGTATTACTTAGCGTTGGTGGACACTGAAAGCTTCATCTTTGCTGGTTCACATGCAACCTTCAACCTGCTGACAGCACGACTATTTTTTGTAATATCAACTTTGTGCTTGGTGTTGAACTCTTCGATGAAATGTTCTAGCAATCTGTTATCAAAATCTCCACCTATTGCAAATACAATTTGTATATGACAACAACTTTTTAAAGTAGTGACAAATAAAATAATATATATTTTAAAAAATGGGCATATCACTTTTATAACAACTGAGATTTTGTTTATTGAAAGTGGCCATTGGGATATGCTGTAAGATAAGATCAGACAGAAAAAAATACTGTTTAAATAAAGATTTCTGAAAGATGCATGTTGTTCATGTTAATAAGGCAATGCCTAATTAATTAATTTAATAATATGGTAAATATAAGCATTAAGATAGTTAACTAACTATCTAAAAAAATGGGAAACTTTGTATCCATGAAGTTATATACCTCCGAGATGAGTGTCACCGCCAGTTGCTTTTACGTCAAATATTTGATTCTCAATGGTTACGACGGTTACGTCAAAAGTCCCTCCACCAAGGTCAAAAATGAGCACGTTGCGTTTCTTTTCCAACTGTTTTATTACAAATTTAGTCTGGATTACTCGGCTAACTTTAAACTTTTGATTTAGTATATTTTTTAAAAGATCTAGCTAGATCATCAAAACACATACTTGAAAATTTAATAAACTTTATGATTACCACTTCAGTTGAGCTTCTTATTTTTAACAAATATAAATTATCCTAAGTGACTGAATATTTTAATCTGAAATAAGTTTCAGCAAATTTAGTGATAATTTGAAGGAGTAATTTTTTGAAGCAGTGGTTCAAAACCGGGGACCGGTGGCACCCAAAAAGAGGGCCCCAAGCAGTTCAAAGGGGGGGGGGGGGGGCACGACCCAAGGCTAATAATTGAATATTAGACGACATCGTTTGCATAATATCCTTCTAAAATTCTCCATTTTGGTACTCACCGCAGTTTCATCACCTAACTAGGTTATTTGCGATTACTTAATGTATTTATTTTCTTGTGCGTGAAGTGTTTGATCATAATGGAATTTGGAATCCACCAATCAGAATAGTTCGCTGGTAGGTCGTCGAGATAACCTTCGCTATCGCATTATAGACGCAAAATCCCATGTGTAAATTCCCAATGCCCAAAATACGAAAATGGAACGACAGTTACGTTGGCTTTACCAAAGTAACTCGAGTTGACAGAGAATGTGTTCAATGCCTGCATTACTCACATGTAATGAGCAGTGAATCATTACATCCATCTAAACTGCAAAAGTGAAATGGCAAAAATTATACACAGATAAAAAAACGTTGACATCCGTTTCTGCTTGTTCAATCTATTTGTGAGAATCTGTTTTTTTTTCTGATCTTGTTAGCATCAAAACCGTCTCAAAGTTGACAGTGACATTCGCATGGATATATCAAAGACGGTGCCTAATATCAGGAACCTCGTCAGACAATCCCAAACGCAAGATTCCCATTGGTTGTATACTCAAAAGTTCGGCCTTTCTTGTCTGTGGTTTGTTCTTGCATTCCATAAAAAGTCGTAAAAACAATACAATCCAACACGTTTAGTTTTTGGAATGACGTACAGGGGGCCATAATAGTGAAAAGTCGCCGGAAGGGGGCCACGAACCATAAAAGGTTGAGAACTACTGTTTTAAAGTTACTAAATTTTGACAACGTGAATAAATATTTACTCAACCAACAGTGGTGAGTATTTGACCTAATTCCTATATGAAAAACAACACAAAATATAACGAAACAGCAATGAAAATACTGAAAAAAATGAACCGTAATGAACTCTATAATGTTTATATCCAATATTTTCTTTTTCTTGTCTTTAGTAAAATGTCATCAACTATTTTTGTTGAATAATTCAGAAATTTTGTTTGTAAATATTACACTTCCACTCCGATTTGTGTCTTATGTAAAGTCGTACTGGGTGGAACTTTTTCTCAAATTTGTGTACCTTACTCAATAAAGGGCTTACCTTTACTTCTAGGCCATAAGCAATTGCTGCCGCAGTTGGTTCATTGATCATTCTCAGAACGTTCAAGCCAGCAATTCTACCTGCATCTCTGGTTGCTGTTCGTTGGGCGTCGTTAAAGTAGGCAGGTACAGTAATCACGGCTTCAGTGATTTGTGTTCCCATGTATGCTTCAGCCGCTTCCTTTAGCTCAGTCAATATCATTGCACTTATTTGTTCTGGGCGGAATAGTTTAGTTTCTTCCTTGAACGTTACCTGGATGTTTGACAATTGTGATAAAGTTTCAATGTGCCCGAAACTAATTTAACCAACGGCATCTTTTATCGCTACACTTAAAAGTACGTATTACCTATTTCAATCTACGCATATAATAAAGCATTGCAATATTTTAAAGACAAATTATGTGAGTATATCGGCCAGAATCTAATACCTAACCTGTATTTTTGGTTGTCCTCCTACATTAACTACTTTAAAACTCCAACGTTTCATATCATTTTGAACCGAGGGATCGTTGAATTTTCTTCCAATTAAACGTTTTATATCTGTTGAAATTAAAAACAAATTATTACTAAATTTCATATTACTACTGGTCGCATATAAACATTTAGTGGCGTACAGTAACATTATAGCGTGTTCGTTGAAATAGAATTTTTAATTGCTCAAATAGCCGCCGACTACCATAGATGATATATCAGGGATGGGCACGGTTTTTGAACCAGGGGCCAAATATTTTGCTTACCTAAACTGGCGGGCAATGTAGGTGTGACGTAAACCGTACATTTGATGAACAATATTTACAGTTACAAAAGCGACAATGGAAAACAATAAGTCTCGTGCCAAAACTAAATTTAACCGCAATCTCTACAAGTTCCTGGAGTTATTTTTTAGCTGAAACATCAAAATTTGATTACATTTGGGCTGTGGCAGCATCAGGCGGACCAGATTAAATTACCCATCGGGTCGAATTTGGCCTGCGGGCCGTACTTTGCCCATGTCTGTGATATATGTTTATCTAAGAAATAAAGTATAATTTGAATTAAAATTACGCCAAAATTGCTTTTTATTTCAAATTGAGTTTCATATTTATTCATTTTTTAGTTTAAAAAAAAATTAATTTTCTAAATTTGTACAACATCATAATTGTAGACAAAGTTTTTCAGCTTGAAATAACTTTCTATAGAAAACATCCAAGCCGCAAGATTCTGAATAGCAAATTATAGTAATCGACCTAGTGAATCAATATTAATCAGGTGAAAGGAAAAGACTTACTATTTTCTTACTAAATTTTTCATTTATAAGTACACATTTAAGCAAAACAATTGAAAATTTTATAGGAATGTTATGTTTAAGAAAACAAATTATTACGAAATAGTGTGTTTTCGTGATTCATAGAGGCTTCCTCCTTTGCTGCTGCTCCAATCAATCGTTCGGTATCTGTGAATGAAACCCATGACGGAGTCACCCGACTGCCTTGGTCATTCGCTATAATTTCAATCTGTTGAAAAATCGGTATTTATTAATAAATTAGTTACACGTATAAGAATAATATAAAGAATAAGTAAATATCTGTCAGAAATACCCGTTGATTTGTAGGGTTTTATTCCACCAGCTGTTTCTCTTAGACTTTTAGTGATTGACTAACTGGTGTAATATTAATAAATCTATATGCTACTAACGTGTAAGCAATTGTGCTCACAGTTGAGTTTAAGTAAGGCTTACTGGCTTGCCATCAGTAAGGTTATAAAATGACCATTGCTTTAAATTTCTATAGAACAGAATTTCCCAAACTTCTGTTCGCGGACCCCTGGAGATCTGCAACGATACGAAAAGGGTATGATCGATATTCAATGATTGATTTCAATCGAAAATACATTGCATTTTTTAGTTTAGCATTGCGAGCGAATACCCATTGCTGCCAGAAAAGGCAATTCTTAATTTTTTTGTTTGTTTTTGGGACGACCTCCATGTGTGAGGCTGCGTTTTATATTTCACCAATTTGATTACCAAATACAGGTTGAGGCTCGCCGTAGAGTCAGACCTACCACAAAAATCAAAATTAAGATTCACAAATAAAGGTTCGAGAGCAAAACGTTTGGGAAAACAAGCCCTAGGAAGCATAGCCAATCAATTTTCAAGTTGAATAATTTACATGAAGATTTTACGACTATCTACCAACTGGCTGTTTCTCCAAATTTTACAAAATTCTTTTCAACATTATTTATCGACTTTACAGAAGAGATATACTTCACGCGTCAGTGATTATATCCATTTAACAATACTAATCAAACCGCATGACCTGTCCCACAATTGGCAATTTTAAAAAATGAAAAATGAGTGACTTCTGAAAACAAAGAATTAATCTTTACAACCTACTGGCCTTCATTTTTATATGTCTACTTAAATTTCAAATATAAAAACAATTAAAAATTCAACACATATTCAGACATATACCCGTTCATTCCTGTAGACAGCCACACAAGAATTGGTCGTTCCAAGATCTATTCCAATTGCAGACATTTTTCAAAAAAATTCATAGGTTTTTTTGAAGCCGAAGGCTGTAATGCATATGAATTTAAATGATGCTAACATTATTCATATAAAAGATATAACTTTCTACAAGCCAAATTTTTTTACTTCAAATCTATTTGTTACGCATAAAAATTGCTAAATGCTACGACTTTTCACCCGACAAGATACATATTATTCATTCACGAATAATGTACTTCAAGGTAAGAGCTTAAATCCTGAAAGTTTTAACAACTGAAACAATCGTATATACCTTTTTACAGCGAGGCACCTACATTAAACTAATATCTGATGCTGTGCTGTAACATGAGTAAACATCACATTACTTTACATAAGTACTTTTAAAAACATCCAGTTACTTTACACGCATTGCCGAGATATAGTGACTATTCGCCGTCGGGTAATAAACGACATTTCATAAATGCCATATATTATTCGATATTTTTTATCGTTTCTTAGATGATGTCTAATTGGAACTCACTTTATATTGGATAACGCTATTAGACATTAAGTATATACGTCTTTCTTATACATGATTACACATTTACATTACTTTACACATACACAATTACACATATGCTATACAAAAAGCTAATGTTTAATATTTGAATGATATACTTTCACTTGTTGTTAAAATATTATGTATTCCTGAAAAGCGCAATTAAGAAATAATAAAATGTATGTGCAAAGGTTTTCACGATTACCAGAGACAACCATACGGGATTTTGAGCACATTCATTTCTCAAATAACGGGTATTCACAGAGTAAATCGCGCAAAGAGTCTAGCACCCCTTGCATTTTAAACATGCATGACATAAAATTAAAATAGAACCATAAAACATACCAGTAAAAAATATTAATCTTCAGTCAATTACTTACAAACAAAAGTTACTGTAGAATACACATTGAGTCCATACGGAAGCAACAATTAAAGAACAATGTCATCACACTTGTAAAAATAAAAATAAAATTATACAGTTGTTGTGTAATAGAAAGGACAGCACCAGATATAAAACTGAGTTGTATGTTTGTCTATCCTACTCCTAGAATAGGGTGACGCATCCTTTTTCACATTTAAAAGACAAAATATTTTTTAAAAAGATTTTTTTTGCCTTTCAACTGAGGTTTTTGATACTTGTTTAAATTTTGACTTACACTTAAATTTTTTACTAATTTTTTTTAATGTATCCAAGATAATCTTTCAGAACAATTTCATTTATTTTGTCAATAAATATTTTAGTTTTTGAGTATTGTGGTGATGCTATGAACAATTCAATCTTATTCGATTATTTTACTCACATTTCCAATTACACTCAAATCAAGATTTTAAATAAAATAATATACAGTAGATTAGAGGTGTTCAACCTTTAATAATAATACTGGAGGGCCAGATACAAACAACTGGTTGAAACCGCGGGTCGCACATTTATTCAACACGCCTTTTCTAGTAGTTGCACGTCAAAAATTTCAGTTATTAATCTTATGAGAAGTGTTAATCGCTTCGCACAGGTAAGCTCTTAGTGCACTCTAACGTCATGGCCCATGGCACCTGCAGTAGACAATAAAACTTTGGGTTAACGACACGCCAATTCATTTTAAAACCTTTCCGAATTAATATCTTTTTCTCTGGAAAATTGTTAGGTATAAGCATTTTCTATAAGTAAACTGCATGCGACCAAACACACCAGCAACAAAATAATATGCCGAGCTACACAATAGCTTACTTTGAACAAATATTCTATGCTTGCTTCTGCCTACGCGAACGTCATAAACTTCCGTATCAGACTGAATCACCTCTTGTTCAAAAATACACCCATAACATACACGATCGGATATGGCGAGATATTATTTGGATTTCAATTACTATTATTCACGCGCATTCTATGCTGGCCAAGGATGTATACACCATCGTACGTATTGTACATACGCGTTTCGAACGTAAATTGATAAATTGGCTTAAAAGAATGCAGAAGTTGAGTGACTTTTAGCTTACGTAAATGTGTTTGTGTCACGGATGACAACGTCTGTCTCTGTAACGTTTTTATAAAGATATTTTATATCACAAAGGGAACAAAGCTCACTTTCAATAGATCAAAAAGTTCGCAGAACGGCGTTCAATTCACAGCCCATGGGTGAAATTAAATAATCTGACTAATTTAGAATCTTCGAGCCGAATACAATATGTGAGCTTAGGTAGTTATAAATTACACAGCACAATCTATTTACCGAGTAAATAAAGATAGATTTTTAAACAGAACGAGTCCATTTTATGTGAAAATTACAATAAAATCTCACTGACCAAGGAGCACGTTTCGCTTTAGTAGAGGTCATTGTTTACATAAATTCCACGGCCGAAATATGTATTGAACGTAGAACCTCATACTATAACATTGCCAGAATAATATGACGAAGGATGGTAGTAATAAATTTTATGGTCCTAGAAAAAGTGGGAATTAGATTCGTTAAACGAAATGTGCAACTTGTGTTAATTTTAAGTAGTGATCATAAGATATTAGAGGACAATCAGGTTTCTACTTACAAGGTGCATACTAGGCCAAGCCATCAATAAATCACCAAAGTATATTATTGACAACGAGTGGTAATGTAATGTAAGACTGACTCAAACAAAGATACTACTTGATTGTGAATTGTTATGCACAACTGTCTTCAAGTATATCTTATTTACGAATCTGCTGGAATTTTGAAGTTTAGCTATGATTGTGCTTATACCTAGCGGGATACATATTTCAGTTTTCAATGAAATAAGATAAATTTTACTGTTAACTTTTGATTGCAAGCTTTCTATTCTATTCGGAAGGCTTCTAGCGTTTGTTTAATTGTCTAGCTGTTAATTGTCTGTCCTTGTGAGAATGAAAGGACAATGTGGTAATGATAATGACAATATTGTGCAGAGTCGTAACATCTCTCTTTATCTAGCTATCCAAATTTGTTCAAGGCATGATTGGCATTTTGTAATTCCGTAACTTATTGCTTACTTGAATTAGAGTTTGGAAAGAATGGGCTACAGATAATTAGACGTTTATTCTCATGTCCATACAATGACCACAGCTTAAAAAGTTTTTGATCATTTTTTTGTGAGATTGGTTGCATATGCCTGTTGCACTTTAAATTGCCAAGCATGTACTGAATATATTGGAGACGTTAAGCTCGACCCATGCTAAATAATTTGGTTAACGCTACAACAATATACTGGTTATACTTGATACAAGAAACCTATTGAATATTGACTTGACAACAAATAGCTTTACTCAGTCTAAGCCCAAAAGTTATTACTGAATAGTAAGTCATTATACTGGTTTTATGTATACGCGTACTTCGTTCCGCTAACATCGCCGAAACCGAACCTCAAAACTATAGGAATTAAACATTGACTTCAAAAAAAAAATAAAGAGCTGAGTAATGTCCTTGACAAACCTTTCCATATAATATACTTTAGGTATAACGCCACTTCCATCAAATCTAAACAGTAAATTTTAAAGTGAAAAGTTAGTCTTTTTACTGTTTTTCTTATTACTTACCTTCTCCAAACAGAAACGCTCAAGACCTTCAGTCGAATCGAGTTTAGCTTGAATCTTATGCGCAATATGGGATCAAAAACATGTGTGCAAAATTGAGTATATTTATTGAATATAACCCGGAAATATTACGTAAATTGCAAAGGTTACCAAACCGACTTGTAATTGTGATTTTTCTTGACCGGAAAGCTTTATAACGAAGCAACATTTAATTGGTTTTCAATTTTTTTGATTTTTGTTGTAGTTTCTCTTTATCTGTATATTATACATTACCATTCAATAAAAGATATGCCAACAATAGGAATAGACTTGGGGACAACAAATTCATGTGTGGCAGCTTTCAGAAATGGAAGGGTAAGTATACCCTAGTTAGAAGCAAAATAGCCATAAATGTTTCAATAACAATAGAATCAAATACGTTTATAAAAATAGGTTGAGACCTGAAACCACGCTGACTATTCCTAGGAAACTTTAATTAATGTTTATAACGTGTTCATAAACGTATATTAATTTTCATGTAGAGACTTTAGATTCCAATCGTTGCTGTGAAATTTTCAAATAGGCATATAGAACAAAACTGAATTATAAAATCTCAGTACATACACATTACTTAGCTTGTCGCATTGAAGCTGCTTTTATTTCGTAGGTTGAAATTATTGCCAATGATAGAGGAAATCGCGTAACCCCGTCCTACGTATCGTTTACGATGGATGAAAGACTTGTTGGCGAAGCAGCTAAAGAAGACGCAACCTCAAATTATACGAATACACTTTGCCGTGAGTTTTACCCAAATATCTTGCCTTGAAATAATACACTCACATTAAATAATTGTTGTGAATAATGTAACTATATGCTGTAATAAGAGAAACCATCAACAAATTTAAAAAAAATAGAAGTTTGAACTGACAACACACCGTGTCTGTTCTTGCAATTTCATTATTATAAATTACAATAAAATTTGCATTACAACATGATATTTTATTCCAGAAATCAAGCGTTTGATTGGACGAACCTACGATGATCCTTCGGTTCAAGCTGATACAAAATTATGGGGATTTTCCGTTATTGATGATGACAACAAGCCTAAAATACCGGTATGTCGCATGTTTTCATAAGAGTTTTTATTAGTAATTTTTATATATTTTTGAATTCAATATAACAAGCACAAATTATTCTGTGAATTGGGTTTCTGCAGAACTAACTTCTTATACTCCCTCTAAGTTCCCCTACCGGCAGATCTGACCAAGGTCAAACTTTCTCGAACATACATAGTTCAACCACATATTTAATTGAATTGTCTATATCAGAGAAAGACTGAAGTTGGTCCAACGAAACATTACAGAAATACATATTTGTTCATGGGCAGAAAGACTCGTGAGTCACTTGGAAAAGCTCAAATTGTATGTCGAATTATTGTTTCAGGTAATCCATAGTTACAAAAGAAATATATTCTGCCCTGAACAAATCAGTGCCATGGTTCTGGAAGAAATGAAAAACACAGCTGAGGCATTCTTGGGTGAAACCGTAACTGATGCAGTAATTACAGTCCCTGCATATTTCAATGATGCCCAACGAAAAGCAACTCGTGATGCTGGTGAAATTGCAGGACTCAACGTTATTGGCATGATCAATGAGCCGACTGCTGCTGCTGTGGCTTACGGACTCGATAGACAGGTGATACGAGCTTGACAATGATATATAATAATATCTGAGAAATATTTCGATTATCCAAAGTTTTATATTCGCACCAAATATCGGTACTCCCGTAGTATGGGTACCAGGTTAGGGTTAGACCTCAATTTTATTCCGATTTTTCTCATTTCATTTCTATTGCGAGTTTGATGACAGTCTGTGCTATCCATTAGAATACATCCCCTTCCCATAGTTGTTATTAGTCCACGTTCACGACTTGATGTAAAGTTGGCAAATACAAATAGTTACCTCTATCTTGGTACACATACTTATGGAGCGCCCAAAAATCAGTGTACGTTTCAGGCTAATAATATTAAGTTTTTGTTCAAATTTCATCACACATTCGTATTTCTGGCTGACAGAAATATTATGTGTCACACAAAGCGCGTAAACAATAGACAAAATTAATTTTTTTTATTCTTCTTTTAATGGAGATGGTAACAACGGTTAATTTTTTTATTGGCTGACATGCTTGATATTAGCTAATTAAGATATTATTAACATTTCAATTAGTGTGAAAGTGAACGTAACGTACTCATTTTTGATCTTGGAGGAGGCACTTTTGACGTAACTATCGTGGAAATTAAGGGCCGCAAGTTTTTTGTGAAGGCGACAGGAGGAGACACTCATTTAGGGGGTGAGATAAAGAGATAATTTAGTTTATATGTCATAATAAAAATTGGTATCTATGATAACGGTAAATATATAGGGTGATCAGACCAAGTGTAGACAAATGTTTATTAAAATATCTACAATATGAATGTAAGGGAGAAAAATTTTTTTTTGCAGAAAATAGCATTATAAAGATAAATAATAGAATTCATTGCTATTTTTAAATAAAATTTGCCTTTGCCTTCCCTACACGCCTCGATCTGATTGGAACTTGACTGAACGAGGTACGCATGGCGTCGTCTGAAATTTGTCCCAACAAGTCATCAATCTATGCCCTAGACTTAGGGAAGTTGTTCTCAATCTGAGTTACGCGCGCCACTAGTGATACGCGGAAGTATTTCAAGTGATACGAGAGCACCTTCGAATTATTGCAACAATTACCTTTTGTATTTGCCAAACTGCGTTTATAGCGCTTCCACTCCTTGTCTTTAGATATCGCCCTAGCCCGTTACTGTCTACTTATAACGAAAGGGCATGTTTTTGCCATTTTGCGCGTTGCGTCACAATAAATCATATCATAACCACTAAATTATTCGAAACCTCGTAAGAATACACTTTGATCAGTACCGGTACTAGCCGCCACCTTATTTGTCGATTTATTAATGCAGACGCACTGTGACGTAACACGCAAACACGGCGAAACATGCCCGTTCCGTTTTTGGTGGACAGCAACGGGCAAGGGCGATCTCTAAAGACAAGGATTGGTAGCGCTATAAACGCTGTCCTGCGAATACAGAAGTTAATTGTTGCAATATTTCAAAGCTGCTTGCGTACCACTAGTGGTGTGTGTACCTTAGATTGAAAACAACTGCTCTGAAGCATAGATTGATGACATGTTGGGACAAAATTCGGAAGAAACCCTGCGTGCCTCGTGCAGTCAAGTTCCAAACAGATCGAGGCGTGTAGTGAAGGCAAAGTCAAATTTTATCGAAAAATAGCAAAGAATTCTATTATTTATCTTTATAATGCTATTTTCTGAAAAATAATTTTTTCTTTTTCACATTTTATATTGTAGATATTTTAATAAACATTTGTCTACACTTGGTCTGATCACCCTGTATAAACTGAGGTCAAGCTATATATTTACCTGTTTATTTATATATACATTTTATTTGTTATTCGGCCCAATTCAGGTGAGGACTTTGATAACAAACTAGTAGAACATTTCATTTCTGAGTTCAAACAGCAACACGGTGAAGATATATCCGATAATAAAAGAGCATTGAACAGGCTTCGAGTAGTGTGCGAAGAAGCAAAAAGAAAATTGTCTTCATCAACCCAGGCTAAGTAAATTCAAATTTTACATCACCATTTCCGGTCTTGTTTCGGAAAATGAGTCAATGTGTGGAAAAGAAATACATCAGCATCATAGCGTACAATTTACTATTCGCACGCTTGATGTAATCTTATTAAATATCTGGCATACAAACTGACATCAGCTATTTTGTTTAAAAAATGAGTAGTTTTACTACAAAGACCAGGTAATCATATACAAAATATTGCCGATCTTATATTTGTTTAATTAACCTAGTTGATAGAAGGTTAAATATCTGCATATCTTTAATTGATTTTAATTCAAAATACGTTGTACTCTTCGACGTAAATTAGTTTGATTAAAATAAGTTCTACTTTGAAAGCAAATATGCCTACGATTTGGAAAAAGCACAAAATGTACTTATTTAAAATGTTGTATACTTGATAATATTGAAAACTTGTTATATTTTATTTGTCCAGGGTTCAAGTCGATGCATTGCAAGGCGGATATGATTTGCGCAGCGGAATTTCTCGAGCAAAATTTGAAAACCTGAATTTCGACTACTTTAAAAGAACTCTTGATACTGTGAAGAATACTCTTACTGATTCCGGGATCGAGAAAGAGAATGTAAGTTAAAAAAAAGCTTATGGGATATTTGAACAGGAAATTTTACCTTCTGTACAATCTACCTTTTTATAGGTTTCTCTGTCACCAATACCATCTATTGAATACGATAAAAATTTATTGAAATATTTTTATTTGTTATTAGTTTGACATAAATTACTTTACAACTACCCAAAAAATTGACTCATCAGAAGTAAATAGAATATTACTTCACAGAACTCTATTGTTTCGTTTTTCAATTTTTATCCTGGCTACCTGACTCCCGTAATCTGAAACTTATATTGATATATACTGTTACAAGTGACAACGTTCAGGTATTTTGAATATTGATCTTGAAGCTAATATTTAGCAACCTTTATCTTAATTATCAGAATCTGCTAATACAATTTCATGAACAGTATGTAAAGCAGGGGTCGGCAACCTACGGCGATCCGGCCCGCGAATTAATATAAGCCCCGCGACTCTGAATTATAGTGACAAAACAGCTGTTTTGAAGATTGTATTCTTGACGTAACAAAATTTATTGTGAGACACTTGTGTATAGACTAAATTATATTATTTCTAATAAGTTTAAAATTCACAATTACTTGATGTTTAATGAGCCTATAATTGTATTATAAATAGACAAATGGCAACAAAGCGCAAAAAACTTGATGCTAAGTTTAAAGGTTTTAATGGCGCCAAAGACATTCAAATGGAATTTTTTTAAATGCAATGCAATGAAGAAATAAATCTATATTCTATTCGAGAAATGTATCATTGTCCGATTTTTATAATAACAAGTATTATCCGTTCGGTCTTCAACTTTCAAAAATTTCTGCGGTCCACCAATGACTTGCAACCTTTACTTTTGGCCCGCAAGCGACAAAAGGTTGCCGACCCCTGATGTAAAGTTTTAATTATTCAGTTTTTATATTTGCTTGCATACCAATTTTCTATTCCCGTGATATAATTTATTTTAATTTGAAATTTGAAATTCTCTACATTGATTTATATATTTTACATATCTTTTCTTATTGTATTATTTATAAAATCATGTTTTAGATTGATGACGTAGTACTCGTGGGGGGTTCAACAAGAATTCCAAAAATCAGAGAAATGCTAGAAAAGTTTTTTGACTACATGGAACTTAAAAGAACGATCAACCCTGACGAGGCAGTTGCTTATGGTGCCGCAGCATATGGGTTTTCGCTTGGTACAGAAAAGGACCCTGTTGTACGTATCAGGCGATGTACATAATAGCCTAAAACAAAGAAGTTACGTTGTATGTATAAACGTAGCTTAGCTGGATAGGTGTTAACAGTAAAATGTTTCCGAAATAAGGAATAATCTATACCATGAATAGGTTATTGACGTGTTACAGACAGACAAATGAAGCAACAACAATTGTCAAAAGTCAAAAATACAACTGCGTAGTTTTACCAGACTATTGAAATTGTGTAAAAAAAAATTCATTTTAAACTTACTGAATTTCTAATGTGGAAAAATTATTAATACTTTGTAATAAATATTAATAATATAAAATTATTTACCTCAGATGGAAGAATTTGTTCTTCAAGATGTAATTCCTCTTTCAATCGGTATAGAAAATAACAATCGCGAAATGGGTGTCGTTATTCCACGTAACACGACGATCCCTACCAAAAAGTGGAACAATCGACATACCCTTAATGACAATCAAGAAAAAATGACACTAAAGGTATATTTATATTAATTTTAAAAATGTCTATGACTTATCTACCTGATTTATATCGTTTCTAAATTCAACATGTAATGTGTTTTAGATATTTGAAGGTGAGCGAGCTTTAACAAAAGACAACAACTTTCTGGGTGCATTTACTATATCGGGGATCCCACCCGCACCAAGGAAAGAAGGGAAAGTCAGCGTACTTTTTGAGATTAACGCAAGCGGGATTCTTCATGTCAAAGCGATTGAGAAGATCACCGGAAATTCAAGTGAAATAACGATTGCAAGAGACAAAGGACGATTAAGTGAAAGAGAGATAAAGCAAATGGTAAATTAAACTCTATTTATTTTATACATACAAATGCTTTTTTTCCCCAAAGCATGTTTTTTCAAACATTTCACTAAGCTATACCGACTAATATTTAATCAAAAAATTTAGATAAGCTATATTCCATGGTGCTACAGTTCCAATAATTCAGAAAAACAAACTATTCAACCACAAAAAAAAAATTTTAAGTTATTTTAAAAAAAAATTATTATAAAGTTCATTTAAAAAAGGTTTATAACAGAGATGTTCAACAGCCATTTATTTAGTGTAGCCTCCACTTATATTTTACACCATAATTTCAAGTGTTCCACAAAAAAAATTAAATGAATAAAATTTTGTTATATGAGAAATAATTATTTGTTTGTGTACATGAAAAAACTAGTTTTAGTGTGTGAACCAGCTAGATGTCGGTTATATGGTCGACCGACATTAAATTTTGCAAACCCCTAATTTATAATGCAAATGTCTAGCAACCGAGAGTTTTATTCTATTAATTAATTGCAATATCTGGTTCCAACCATGTATTGCAAATAACATTATATACTAGAGCCGATGAAAATAATTAAAAAATTGGACACTGCTTATACATTTATTTCAAGTAAGAAAATATCATATTAAGGTACGAGAAGCAGAAAAGTTTAGACAAGAAGACGAAGAATTGAAACTGCGAAGTAAGGCAATGAATGCTCTTGAAGATTTTGCATACAGTGTAAAAGACAAAATGAGTCAAAAATATCTCACAACACGCCAAGAAGAATCTTTGATGAGCAGAGTAACTGAAATTCTACATTGGTTGGATATAAACAAGGTAGATGTGCGCCTTATTTTTATCGTATTACAAATCAAAACATCATTTGCCTTCAATTTACTAAAATTATTGCAAACAAAATGGAACTATTAATCGTTTTGTAAAAATGTTGTTGTTGTTTTTAGTATTCTTAGACAGTAGGAAAATAGTATCGTAAAGGGTTGTTATCGTAAATACGCTGGTAATCATAATGGACAAACTAACTTGTAAATTGGATTTCATGTTATTTTTAAATATTTAATATTGAGGCATAACAGATAAAAGAACTAATTGTAAAATAATTCACATAATTGGATTGCGTGAACTGATTACACAAACAGTGGCGCAAACGGTATTGTTTTGTTTTATTTATTCCAAGTATGCGAAGCAATGATTTAATATTTTTTTTTTCGTTGTGAGGACTGAAAAATTTAAATCTCTGACAAGCTATTACTGTAGCCATTTGTCCGAATATTTAGTGGAATTATCATTTTTCAGACGGAACCTGTGGAAATGTCCCATTTAGAAGCAAATAAAAGAGAATTGGAGCAACTATGGAATGATTAGTTGAATAAGTGATCTTCTAGGTTTAATGATGATTTGTCAGCTCTTCAACGACAAGTTTCAAACAAATGAATTTCAATTACTACATAAGAATGATAATTTGCTATATGAACAAACTATAAATTGTTATAAAAACAGTTTTATGGAAACTGCAGAATGTGTCTTTATTTCTTATATATAGCTCTTTTATTTCATATAAATGTCAATTTTCTTATATAAATTTTGTTTGAATATTTCAAGAAAATATCAAAATCAATGCTTTGCGTTGCTTTTGCAGAATTTTATCTAGGTAATATTGTATTGTGGTGATGATCCGGTAAAGATTGTTAGTGTTCATGAAGTAATATTGTTCATAAAAAAAATAGTCAATATTTTCGATACCATCTTGTTAAGAGGCAGATTTCACTTCAATAGTGCAAAGTTTATTCGCAGCCTAACAAAGCCATTTTCCGGAGTTTCCGAAAAACCCAATAAAACATATTGGTATTGATTCAACTAGAATATCATTGTATAAATTTTAATTCATCAGTGTTGCAACAAAAAATTTTAAATTAAATTTTCTATACTGGATTAGTTATTTAGTTATTTAAGAATAATTATTTACGTTTTTCACGGATTCTTTGAGTTTAAATATTTGGTAATGTTCTCTTGATGAAACATTTAACTGTTAGTAAATTTGGCATTTGTTGAAATCTTTCGCAAAGTTTTATATCAAACTGTATCGTTCCTAGTCGTTTAGTCTAACACTAAAATAATATCTAATATTTGTTTTTCATTCTAATATTGTGTTGCTTTATGCAATTGTTCTTTGCTGGTATAAAGTCGTGATGATATTAGGTTACACAAGGTGGAGAATTTGAAGATATTTCATTCCATAGTTTTCAGTTAATATAAACTAATATTTCTAACAGTGTCGGTATTCAGGCGTTGTTTATTTACTCATGTGCTTTATATTGTTTGCCTATATCGTGGCCTACTGCTTACCCTTCAGTGAATTCTAAAATACATAAACCAGTTTGCGTCATACAGTTCCGACTAAGTATGAGTTCAGAAAATAGAAATAGGCTATCATATAAGATTCTGACAAGAAGCGGTCCATATATGTGTTTGTTACAGCAATTGGTATCAGTTTACGAGGACTCACTTAATTATTGTGTGTCAATGTCCTGCTTCTGATGAATATTCATCTTTCTCAATTAGTTAAAATATTTGCCTCAGATTGCACAATTCAGGAAGCTACGAGTTAGTTGATATATATGTTTTAATTGAACACCATGTCATGTAAGATTGATATCTTTGTGGAAAATAAAATAGTCTGAAATATACTGAATCATTATATTATTCATGTTGGCTTTGATATGAGTTTACCTAGGAATTCCACGGAGATGTCGAGAGCTTGCGCTAAGCCTATTTGGAGTATTGGAAGCATTCCATGAGAAAGCAAGTCATTTTATTTGCTTCAGTGACTGGAATATAGTTTTATCAAAACTCAGAAACAGAAAAGCTTTCTAAAAACGATTAACAGGAAAATAGAATAATTGTAGCAGATTCAATAAAATACTGATATACACATTTTATCATTAAAATTCTCTAGACAAAAATATGTTTCAAATAGTTTAGTTCATTACTTTTTTGCATAATTGTTTAGGAAATTTTAAAGGACATTTGTTGACAATAGTCAGTCCCCATTGCCAAAATGCCAATTAAAATATTCGGAGACAAAAACTTTAAAATACATTCAGGTTACTATGCACGGTTTCGCTTATACAATACTTCAATCAATTGGGGGAAACCACGGAATTTTTTGATAAAAAGCAATAAAGTTATTACAGATTGTAAAAAACTTGGGCTCTATATTTAACTATTTCACGGATTTGTTCAATTTAAATATTTTGTATTAGTCTCTAAATAAAATAATTAGTATTAGTTGCAATACTCGCAAAATTTTATATTGAATTCTATATTTCGCGTCTTTTAGTCTAACACCTAAATCTGAATTTAATATGCTTTTGCTGGTATAAAGTCCTGTTGAGGTCAAATATTGGATAACTCTTACAAAGTGGACTTACTTTTCTGTAATGTTATATTGTTTTTGGGTAAAAGAGACTGATATTTATATTAATAGTGTCTCTATTGCGTTTGTTGGGTATGTATACCGAGATTAGAAAATATAAAATAGCTTTAGATCGCACACTGCTGAGGAAATGGCAACAACAATATGCTGACAGGAAGCGCTTTATATATGTTTTTTGTTTAGAAACTAGTTTGAACATCAGGTTACAAGCATTAAAATAGGTCTTTTGTGTTCATACTCTTTGGTGTTTAGTGTTGCTGAATTAGTGTATATCGAAGTCTTGCGTCAGATGAATAATTACATGAAGCGTAAATGACGTGATATTGTCTCAGAAACAATATATCAAACAGGGGGAGACGATAAATTATTTTATTTTTATATCAAGATGTGTTTAAATAGAAATTCCACGGAGCTGAAATACCATGCTATTACACATATGACCTGGCCTATTGAAAATAGTGACAACAATGACATGAAGGTCATTTTATTCCCATCATCGACATGAATGTAGTTTTATTAGGACTCAGAAACAGAAAGGTTTCAGGAATCGGTTACTAATTGGAAATTTAAATAGCTAGCTCTATCTATTTAAATACTAATGTATAAAATGTAATAAATGAATAATAAGTGAACTAAATGGATTTCAGTTGGCTACGTTATTGCATGTGCAGTTATCCATAACTTTTATTTATTTCAAACCTAATACTTGGTATAGCAATTTTTTTAAAACATGGGTTGTTGAAAGTCCCCATGTCCATAACATTGTTTCTCCAACATAAGTTTTGAAGATGAAAAGGTTTGTTTTTTGCAAAATATGGTATTTATAGTTATTAAACTTTTTTGAGAATCCACTGAAATATAATAATAACAATTTATAAATATGTATTATTTAACTCTATAAATATTGACTCGTATATTTGTCTCATATTGACATATATACATTTGGCTCATGATTTAATTCAAATTAATTACGTAAGATATATTTTATGTGAAATATGAGCTTAGTAGCTTTCAGATTTTACTGTGTTTAAATGGTAGTATTAGACCTTTCGTCATATTGTTAAATGTTTTAGTCGTGTTTGCTTATGGAATATTTGTTACCAGGCAAACTCGTTCAAGCAAACATTCCAGCAACTAGCGTGTGTGTACTGATATAAGAAATAACTTTTAATACCTAGCCTTATACAAATTTCTTCATGATGTTTATGAGATAGCAAAGCTATAACTGTCACTGGCCGCGAAAGCTACAAAGATATCCCCGGAGTTCATGGAAGCTCTATATAACAGTTAAAGCGAAATATCAAACAATGTGGATTATGCTGTCTGAAATAAGCAAAACTTTAATATAGTAAAACATTAATATATGTAATAATGCGTGATAGTTTTCAGAAAGTGGAACTGTATATAAACGACCACGGCCATTTTGAACAAAGTTATAAAAAGAAGCGTGCAATTTATTGTAGTAGATAATTATTATTACACGTCTATTGAACATGAGCCTCAAAATTAACCCGCTGCAAAGATTCAATAAACCGGTTTAAATTGAAAATATAATCTGCAAAAGGTAAATAAAAACTTGGAATGGCCAACTGTACTCATTTTGCAGATTTTAAATTAACGGTATTAAAAAGGTAACATGCCAACAATAGGAATCGACTTGGGAACAACAAACTCGTGTGTGGCAACATATAGAAATGGAAGGGTAAGAATATTAATATATTTGATATTGTTTTGAAAAAAAATTCAATCGATTTAAAGCAATTGCACACAATGTTAATCTCATATTATTTATATTCACGGGGAACATAGTTCTGTAATTTAGATTTATTCTTGACCATATTTATCCAAGTTCTGAGGCAAAACGAATTAATTATATCATACATGAAATAGGATATGGCTAAAATATGACAAAATATCACACCTATAATACTTTAGAATAAATCTTATGTCGAGTTCCAAGATGAAATGTTAATTACTTTTAAACAGGTTGAAATTATCGCCAATGATCGCGGAAATCGCGTAACTCCGTCATATGTATCGTTTAATGACGAAGAAAGACTTGTTGGCGAAGCTGCCAAAGACGAGGCAACCTCAAATTGTGAGAATACACTATGCCGTAAGTATAACTTTGACATTACCTTTCAAATATACATCTACATTTACGGAATGTTTCGAAATTTAGTTGAATAAAGCGCTAGGTTCTCCAAAGCTCAACTGCTTCTATTTCAATTTGAATCAGAATGCGGATAACATGTCCAAATTTAAAGAGTCTTGAGTAATTGCACAAATAAGTATATTTCATACGACACTTATTTGCGTCTTTTGTCGGAACAAGGACCTATATCAGCGGTTACTGATATCTCAACAATGTTATAAAAATTTGTTTTTAATTAAAAGCTTTTCAGCTCGGTATTGCCTAAGTCAGAGTTCCCCAATCTTTTTGGGCCGCGGACCCCTGTTTGGGTATATTAATTTTTACGGAACCTCATCCTATACCAATTTATGTGCGTAACCAAGATGAAAGGATAATGTTCCATTTGGATTCAGAACACCACAATAGAAACGAAATTAATGTGACGGATCAATTCGTGACAAGCAAACTCGTAGGCCCAACTCTACGACAACGAACTAATTTGCAACAACGGGGCTCAGATGACCTTGGCAAAGTCGCACAAGTTCTCGACTGGTGATAACTCAATAACGCATACCATCAATTATTACCGACGATGTAGCTCTATGACAGAGATCTACCTCACAGACGCTGAAAGCAATGATCGTCTACATTTACAACTTCGCAACAATTACCATTTGCGATATAACTTGTGAATTTATCTCGTTTATGAAGGTCTATGTAACAGTGGATATACGTTAAATGCAGTAGTGGGATTCAGCCGGTTCGCACCGGTTCTATAGAACCGTCTCATGGAATTTTATTAGATCAGCGAACCTGTTGGCATTACTGAAAAAAACATGTCTTTTTATAACAGAATTGGCTGAAAGATATGATATTTGTGTGATGGAACCGACTGAAAAAAAAAATTTGAATTCCACCACTGGTTAAATGTATATATTTCAGACTCTTGATATCGCTGCAGACCCCCTGTGTAGTCGCCACGGACCCCAGTTTGGAAAACCCTGGCTTAAGCAATTCATCACACTCTGGGTGAGATGGGGGCGTGAAATTCTAATCAGAGATGTATAATCTGACAAAATACTTTTATTCCGCACGACCCGTGTTATAATAAATGAAATTATTAATTATTCTAACAGAAATAAAGCGATTGATTGGTCGAACATATGATGATCCTATTGTCCAATCTGATATGCAGTTATGGGGATTCGACGTTATTAATGACGATAACAAGCCTAAAATACCGGTGAGAGAAGTTAAAGATGTTGTGCTGTTTCATAGTATCATACATAGATAAATCAACATAAATACTTTGAAATAAGGTGGTTTTACGTGAGATCACTGCCAAAATATATTATTCAATTTATCGATGAATGTATATTAAAAAATTTAGCATTAGAAATCTGTTAACATAATAAATATTACTGTTTGTTTTAGGTCGTATATACCAATAAAAGAATGATATTCTGCCCTGAGCAAATAAGTGCTATCGTATTAGAGGAAATGAAAATCACAGCTGAGGCATTCTTGGATGAAACCGTAACCGATGCAGTAATTACAGTCCCTGCGTATTTCAATGATGCCCAACGAAAAGCAACTCGTGATGCAGGAAAAATAGCAGGTCTCAATGTTATTGGCATGATCAATGAGCCAACTGCTGCCGCTGTAGCTTATGGACCGGATAGACAGGTGATACGAGCTTGACAATGATATATAATAATATCTGCAGACGCATTGTAGCGTAGCACGCAAAACGACGAAACATGCCCGTTCAGTTTGTGATGGACAGCAACGGGCGAGGGCGATCTCTAAAGACAAGGATTGGTAAAGCTATAAACGCTTTTCAGCGAATACAAAATTTAATTGCTGCACTAGTGGTGCGCATACCTCAGGTTGAGAATAATTTCTCTAAGGCACAGATTGAAGACTTGTTGTGACAAAATTTCAGAAGAAACCATACTAGCGCAATAAACGCCGTTTAGCGAATACAAAAGTTAATTGTTGCAATAATTCGAAGCTGCTTTTGTACCACTTGAAAAGCTCCCGTGTATAACTAGGGATGCGCGTAACTCAGGTGGAGCACAACTGCTCTAAAGTCTAAGGTATAGATAGATGACTTGTTGGGACAAAATTCCACAAGAAACCATTCGAGCCCGCGGAGAAATGCCAATTTTAAAGGATGTGCCCGCAAAACGAGCTTTTAGTTTTATTAATCTGGAACGTGCGAGCAAATCAACCCCTTGCGTCGCGGAACCCATTCAAGTACCCGAGTGCCACTATCATATAAGTAAAACTAGCAGGCAATATCTTGTTGGAAAATACACAATGTTATGAACGCGTGTTTCTCGCTAAATTCGCATAAAGTCGCTGTGACAATAAATTTATAAATTTGAATAGCAGTTTTATTTAAAAAATTTTACTTTTCGACTCAACATTTTTGCCAGGACACCGAACAATGCCGTAAGATCAATAACAAAAAGAAACAAATTTTTGTGTCTGCAACTACAGTAAAGACTCTATTTACGAAAGGCTCGGGATACAAAATATCCAACTTACAAAAAATATTTTTGCAATAACATTGCTTCTTCTATAACGTGAGATTTTCCACATACGAAAAACAAAAAACGCGTGTAGTGATATTTGTTTATTTCAATGCAGAGCTTGAATTAGGGATGTCCAATTCGAATATAGTTTTACGTGTCTGTAAGAATACCGAATTCGTAGAGCTACCGTAAACGGTTGGAACGTGATTTGAAACACTTTATTAATATTACTCATCGATTTCGATCGGTGCATGTGCATTCACCATATCTCGGACCAGAAGCCCAGTGTTTTCGGATAAATTATGTCGTATAATTAGCGAGTTATTATTTAATTAGTGATGGGACACGCAGTGTCGCTATTGAGTCAGAGCGAAGAAATCGAACCCGCGGTTCCTGTTTTGGGGGATCCCCTAACGGAACACGCGGAAGATCGATAAGTCGGCGGTCTCTGATCGCTTTCTCGTTTCATTTTTTGTCGAGATAGTTTGTGCGGCCTCGGCAATGAACCTAAACGAAAATTATGTTTGTAAATTGTAATTGTTTTTATCCTTTCACTTCGATAGTGTCCGAACATAAGGGCAAATGTTTTTCATCTCTTGCAATTTAGAGCGTATAAAATAGCTCCTAAATATTATTTAGTATCTATCGCGGCGTCGTTGATGACAATACCGTTCAGTTTGGGTTGGCGGTATTAATTGATAATCAAAAGAAAATTCAAAACAGCCTAAATGAAATATTTAAATCAACGCCGACTCGAAAAACAAAAGAAGAAGTCCGACTTAATTTTCTTTTGTTGGTAGATTGGAATTTGGAAATCAGATTCACTCATTTGGCAATGACGATGATTGCGTAATTACATTTGGGTTTTTTCCTGAATCAACGAATGGTGTCGTGAGCTATATAAAAATCGAAGTCCGCGGTAGCTGCCCTGTCACACACCAATCAACTATCTTCCATCTCACTTGCTTGTTTGTTTCCCGCGGGTACGTACAATAAGTCTCACTTAGTTTAAGTTGAGAAGACGATGATACGCGTAACAGTCAAAACTAAAGAGAATGAATTAAAAAAAATAAATAAAAATGCAAAATTAAAATAGTAAATATTAATTTTGATATTCATGTGCGTGTGCTCATTTTCGTACATTACGTTCTCTCTCAGATTTCAACTTTTAACGCCTCCTTTCACCTCCTCCGACCGCCGTTCTCCCACTCTCCACGGTCTTCGCTTAGCCTAGTAAATATTATGTCCGGGTTTTGTGGGAGCTTAGAACGGAATAATCCTATTTTATTCATGCGTCCGTACTTACGGAATTTTCTTTAATTTTTATTTCGAATAATTTCGTTTAAATTACGGAAACTCATACGCAAGTAGTAAATTCTTTAAGGTACACATGGTAAAATAAAATAACAAAGAAATACCAATTAAAAATTAGAAATTATTCGTAAGTAGACTTTCTTGGTGCGCCCGCGGCTTCACCCAGTTACTTGTATTTGGCCCATCTGTAAAAAAGGTTGCACACCCCTGCTCTACATTCAACAAGGTGAGCATGAATCTAACCACAGTATGTTTGTATTATATGTAAACAAATTCCCTTTCCAATACCCTTTCATATAGATAGAATATTTAGAATTTATAAATTGGATTCATATTTATATTTCAATATCATATCACCTTGTAGTATAGAAAATTGAAAAATTTGGGAAATGCACACATTTTGCTGTCGCCATGTAGCAAACTTCCGAATTAACTTATCGAAGGAGCCAATCAATTTCTTCGTTTTTTTTTAAAACGATGTTTTAAACCAGCAATTACAAGAACTGACTGTACTACCAATACATAATATTTTTCATTGATATCTTACACAGGTGAAGACTTTGACAACAAGCTTGTAAACCACTTTATTGAGGAGTTAAAGCAGCAACACAATAAAGATATATCAAAGAATAAGAGAGCAATTAATCGTTTGCGATTAGCTTGCGAAGATGCAAAACGAAAGTTGTCCTCTTCTACAAAAGCAAAGTGAATCAATTTTTTAACATTCAATTCAATTTATAAGATTGACATATTTTGGATAGTTTAGTTTATTTATTATTCCATTCTCAAAATTGTCATGTAAAAAAATTAATTGATGGAATCGAATTAAAAAACGAAGTTTTGAAAAATTGATCAAAGTTAATAAAATTCATTATTTTTCAGAGTACAAGTGGACGCTTTACACGATGGGATTGATTTTCGTAGCAATATCACCAGAGCAAGATTTGAGGACATCAATCACGGCTATTTCAAACAAATTCTTGAAACTGTTAAAAAAGCGCTTGAAGACTCGGGCCTGATAAAAGAAGATGTGAGTAGATTAACGTATCCAGAGACTAATATTTCTTTAATTTGTTTCATGTAAAGTGAAAAGGGCATATTTTTTGCATTGTCGCAAAGTATGTTTAAACGAATTATGATTTTGTGCTCCAACACGGTATAAAATTGACAGAGTTAAATTTACGATCCCAACTAAAACGTTTGAAACAAGTACCGTATTTGCTCGTTTTGTAGCTCGGGCCCATATTTTTTCAACCAAACTAATTTAAATTAACTAATCGGGCCCTTATTCAAACCGGCTCTTATTTAAGCACGGGCGCTTGTTATTTTTATTAAATGATCCGTGATGTTTGTCAAGTCACAAGTCGCATATAGATAAGATCGATCGTTACAATAATTAATATTTTGTCATTTCCAGTTCTCAAGTATGATTTAAACGAGAATACTGAAAATTTTGACTTTTTCTATACGCACCGCAGGTACAAATCCGCAAAAGAAGAAAAGTTTTGTGACGCCCTATCAATATTTAATGGGCGAACTGGGGCGTCGCAGTTTGAGAACCACGGTGTTACGTAATCAATGCTATCTGTTATGTAATTGGACGCCTAGGGCCCCTATTGTTCTCTAGCAATGAAAAATCAGCTTTTACATCGGGCGGGTATTCAAGCACCGGCCCTTATTTATTTTTATGTTCTGTTCACACGGGCGGCTATTCAAACGGGTCCTTAATCAAGATCGGGCGGTAAAACGAGCATATACGGTATGCTATAATAACTGACACGTATAGTAAATAATAAAACACTTGAAAATAATTGTGTTGTGTATCTTAATACTGGCTAAGAATTAATTTAATGTAATCTAACTCAGGCTATTTTTATTATATGGCTAATAATAAAAATCCACTATATTTTTTCAATCTTGTTTTTTTCAAAGTAATGAATTACCTGAATAATAACATTTTAATGTGATGTCATTTATATTTTACAAAAATAAAGTAAACAAATTCAAAAGCTTCTAAACGTCTAGATTGATGAAGTTGTTCTTGTCGGTGGTTCGACAAGAGTTCCGAAGATTCGAGAAATGCTTGAAAAGTTTTTCGACTATTTGGAACTTAAAAAAACTATTAATCCTGACGAAGCAGTTGCCCATGGCGCTGCAGCGTACGCTGAGTTTATTTCAAACAACAATGATGATAATGTAAGTATTGGTAAACTTTGAAAATTTTAAAGATAAAAGTATTTATGAATCAAAATATTTTATTTATAATAAACTCAACAAATAACCACGGATATAATTATCGATATATATATTTCACGTTATTTCGAAAAAATTTCTTTATATGTATATCTAACATAACGCTCCTAAAAAACATTGACAACAATTTAGCGAAATCGAAAAGTAATCCTAATGTTATAAAGCGTAAAGCGTCACTATAATCTAACATTTGAAAGCGCTTAAGCACGGAAAACCTATACTCGAATGAAGATGCTCGTCGACGTTCTAATGCTCATAGCCGAAATTGAAAGCCTGAAAATATTTATATATTACTTTGGCTTCGATACAGGCAAAATGTCCGATAGTCACATGTTTGATTACGGGTGAATAAAAATAGCAAACCGCAACGTTCGACATCCTTGTGGTAACACGCCGCCGTTAATATATTAGTGAATAAAATAATTGACGATTAGTCACATGAAAGCTCAGTGAAGAAATTTGATTGCTCTGACGTTGAAATAACGTAAAGTAAAAGTTTTCCAAAAATGACGCGAGATCTCTAATATTTTAGTCAGATTCCTCAAAAGACACCTTGAATAAAATTTGATATTAGTAATTTCAAAATAAACAATGTAACCTTATTATTCTAATTTCTCTAAAATTTGCCGTGATCGTCCAAATTATAATTTAAAATTTAATTTTTAGCTAAAAGATTTTGTTCTGGAAGACGCCACACCTCTTGCAATTGGTATTGAGATTTTAGGGGGGGGGGGTTTAGGGGGGGGGGGGTTGTTATACCCCGAAATACAAAAACTCCTACAAAAAGATGGTATGCTGTTCGCACTGCACATCCTGAGCAAACAGAAATGGGAGTTCGAGTGAGTTTCTCATAAGTTTAATCAAGACATAGTCGGGGAGCTTGATAAAATTTAACGTTCTTTAACTTTGCATTCTGAAAATTTTGGACAAGTACATAATTCCGATCAAAAAGAAATCTGAATAAAAACAGAATAAAATGAAAAGGAATAAAAGGATATTTTTATTTCACAGAGATTAAGCGTCACCTTAGACTTTGTAAACGCCGTTGTCTAACATTTTTAGGCATTATTGACATGCTTAAATTACAAAAAAACTGAAACCAAGAAACGACCTGCGTAAAATATATTTATATATAGAAATTTTAGACAATTGCATATTGAAGTATTACGATACAGACTAATTTACTTAACTACAGACATCAAATCAAACAATTAATATAACTAGGAAGGCAACACTTTTTTACTATTTGCATAACTGTACAGTTATAGATATTCTGTGACCCAATTATTTTGAAAGGCAATATGAAATTTCAGTGCATGCTCATAATCTTTATAACGTATTTTTTATAGTTGTTGTTACATTTGGCATTTTCGATTTGGCCAGATTTTTTTCATATCATGTACAACACATCATTTCAAAATTTATTGCATTGCATTTGCATTCAAATTTGTCGATATCTGATTGGCACGGATACACAAAATAAAGTGAATGATCACAACTTAAATCGCTAACGCAACAATTTGATGATGGTTTATCGTTCCACTAAGTGGTATTATGGTTAAATGTTGCCCTTCGTTTGTTTTGTATTAGATTATTAAGAAACTATATCGCCATTGAGCAATTTTAATCATTTTAGATATTTGAAGGAGAGCGTGCGCTGACGAAGGATAACCATTTCTTGGGAGAATTCACACTCTCCGGTATCCCTGTTGCACCACGTGGCCAAGGCGAGGCTGATATTTGCTTAGACATTAACTCGAGTGGCGTTCTTCATGTTTCTGCGGTAGAAAAGATCATGGGAAAATCAAGCGAACTGGAAATTGACATTGGAAAGAGAAGATTGCTTCCAAACGAGATAAAAAGAATGGTCAGCATACATTCAAAATTACGCTTTTGCTTTTAAAGTTAATGATCTCTTACGATTTTATGTACGATTATAAAGTATATATAATAATATATGTCTTTAGAAAATTATGAAACAAAATTTGAATTGAAAATGGCCTACTAAAGTATTTTGTACAACATTGAACTATCAATGAATTCCAAGAAAGAATAATTCAAAATTATAAAAAATCTGTATTTATATTGCTAGTCATCTACATATACATTAATATAGGCAAGTTTATTTTTTCCATCTAGTAAAAATACATACGAAACTTTAAATATATAACTCTATAATGCTTTTAATTTTTAGATATTCACATTCCAACCTATGTTATATATATATATAAACATATCATACAAATACGTATCAAATACAAAATAAACTATACACGATTCTACAAAACCTACTGCATGTTTATACCCAGATTAGGGAAGCAGAGGTGTTTAGAACGAATGATGAAGAGAAGAAGAAACGCAGTAAAGCGATGAACTTGCTTGAGGACCTTGCATACAACATTAAAAAAAAAATTGGTAAAAGCAAAACCTCAAAGCGCAATAACGAATCCATGATGGGCCAAGTTACTGAAATTTTGCGGTGGATGGACATAAAGCAGGTATTTTTTACAACAATATAATTATTATAGAATTTAATACTTGGTAAGGCAATGCTATTTCTTTTTCACTTTGAATAAAAAATCTCAGAAATGAAAATTGAAACTTGCCCATGTAAACTTGTTAGGAGTGCGTAAGCTCTATTTATAAAAATTCAAAACAAATATATGCACATGTTTGCAATGATGTTAGAATTGATGTGCATACTATGTTAGCATTGATATATCGTTGATAATACAATATGTTGTATTAATAGCAATTACATATTTTTTTGAATTTCAGAAAGAACCTGTCGAAATGTCAGTTTTGGATAAGAAAAAAAGGAAGAATTAGAGAAAATCTGTGATCAATTGTCAAAGAACTAAACAAATTAATTGTTACCTTTTTTTTAACATTTTTATATAACAGAAATAGTAAAAGTTTTCAAAGATACAGAATGAATACAATTATATACACTTATATGTTTATTTTTAGTTTTTTGAGATTTTGCATTATAGATGATATACATTCAAAAATCAACTATTATGCTAAACCACGACGAGATGTACATTTAAAATTACATAATAAATTTATTTTTCTATAAATCAGAATAGCTTTGTGAAAATATCGACTTTTCATTAATTATATATCTTACTTATAGAATCAGAACTTTGAAGTTGTGTTTGTTTCATAAGACAAAGATAGTGTTGATAATATTGATTAAATGAGATATATAAGATATTCCATCGGTATTTTACAATGCTGTATAATGAATAATTTCATGTGAAGTTAATTTGAAGATTCAAATTTAATTAGATGTTATTTTTTCTTAAATCAGCAAATTAGTTTTGAAAAGTAAAAATTACAGAAATATGTTTAAATGAGGTATGAGATTACCCAACCATTGATGATTTATTCAAATGAAACTTTTATTTTCGAATTTTAAACTGTGACAGTATATACTGTGTTTGAGGTAAATCGAATTGAAAGGTACCTAAGGCAATTCTTAGTAGTATTATTATAATGTATAGTGTCAGATTCGAATTGTATCACATAACTAGAAAATTTAATTTCGGTAAATAATCACTTCACATAAAAAATTCAACGTCCAATTTTTGCAACATATGCTTTTTAGACAGTTGCAGTTTTGGGTAACTGTTGAAATGAGAAATTTGAAAAAATTTTACTAAAAAAAGAATGTTTTTCAGAAAGATACTAACATCAAAAAACAAAAAAAATCATTATTTCAAAATTAAATATTGGTGACAGGCTACATCTTCTTTTGAAAATTGACATTTATTTATTCATTTCGGTTTGCTTTTTTTGCCGTGAAAATAGTAAATTTGTTGTGAGCTCCGGTATTAATAAAAATGCAAATCTGTCATACAATCAAGTTATACAAGCTAGACTATGATTATTTATTTGAAAAAGTATCCTCTATAATGTATATATCTTGCTATTTTCGGTCTCGTGGTCATTTAATGCGCATAGAATAAGTAACCAGTTTCGTGCGACATTCAAATACTCAGCCAGTGTTCTAATCTTGGGCACCGTCTTGCGGAACAGACGATTCTTCAAATGCTTCGTTTCCTTACTACGGAGAGTGAACAAGAAGTTTGAAACCTAATGAAATTTGGGGAATCTCGTCTTAATATATCGCCATGAATTGCCATCTAACCTATATATATAAAATAAATTAAATTGTAATTTCTAATACATTATAAGTCTCCGACGCCTGCCTTCAAATAGAAGATGAAGACGCGTATCCACTGTGGGAATGTACAGCACCGAAATGAAGAGTCCAAAAAAGTGTATTTTCCATCAAAAATGTTCAATCGCGCGAAGAAAATTAGTTTTAAACTGGACAACGAAACTTATAGTAAAGAACAAAATAATTATGTTAAAATACTCACTACTAAATACTCTTTACTGACAAAATTTGTGAGTTTATTTCAATCCTAGATTCAAATAAATTCCACACCCTTCCGACAGAAAAATTCTTTCAACTCATAAATCGTGAATATTACTTTTGAACAATTAGACAGATTCTTTATTCCAAAACGGCTTGTATTTATATTAAATTTGACACATATTTTTTTATCTTTGCATTTTATGTACAATATCGCCGTTTTGAGCCAATAAAACCTTTCTGTAGTTTTTACCTAAAATAAAATATAATGAAGAACACCTGTCTTGACAAAAGAGCTAGCTACTTATTATTTTGGGGCGGCCTCATGGCTTAGCGGTGAAAGCGTTAGACTTAAATGTGTTGACATCGCATTTTACACATTCCAGTGTCTGATTTACAGGGATTTGTACGAAGTGAAAGATTCGGTATAAACGGCAGTGGGGGGGCAGCAGATCCAAGCTGCAAAATTTGCGGTATTTCACGTTTTGTTTTAGTAGTCTTTTTATTTAAGTAAAAGCTAAAATTACGTGTATAGTTAATTTCAGTTGAAGCAGTATTTTGCATAGAATTACGCAATATAAATTTATGATAATTTTGTTATAATAAATTTTAAAATGGGAAATATATCACTAATATCGTTTTTCTGGAGCCTTTGCATTCTAAAATTAGATTAATTTACTCATTTACTGAAATGAGACATTTGCTCATGTACTACGATCTGCTTGGTTAAATTTTTTACTGTCATCCGCCGCCGCACATTGTTGGAATTAACAAATACAGGAACAGCAGACTAAAGTTGATGTGAATATTAAGTTATGTATAAAATCTCTAAAAAATGAACAAATAAGAAGACCTAGAAATTGCGCATGATTTTTTCGTAATAGACCGGGTATCGGGCTTAGCCAAGCCGTCCAAATGTAATGAGAGAGGAGGCAAAGTTATCTTGTCAAACAGCCGATATTAAATTTTCTTGTCCAATCAACATTGTCAAAACAACCCTCTGAAGCAGCGTTTTTTTTTTAACTTTGGTTTATGATGGAACCCTTCTGGTTTACCAATGTATTCACCGAATCTTACATTGCGCCAACTCTAACAATATTTTACTAAAATCAACCTTGCGACTTTCGTATCTCGTAGTATATAAGGCTATTAGTAACGCCATTCCGTCAGAAACCTGAATACAGTTATTTGGTATGGAAAATATTCACAGGTCATTATCCTCATACTGTGGATATTTATGTTACAAGTGGGTATTAAGCTTTGGCAGCTTCATTTTTTCGTTACTAAGTGTAGTAAACGATATAGCATAGTACAAAATAATCTACAACATAAGTCCATATACCTGAAACAAATACCTGGCTGCTACCATGCATGCTCTGCTAACCGGGTGAGAGGCCGCGGTTCGCTATATGATTAAGCAGTCTGTTTCCCAATCGGTATAAATGTGTAAATCCTATCCTATCCTAGTGGTTTGAGATCATCGTTGACCACTGAGGTGAACACAGTGTAAAAATCGCCTTTGGAGCGGTATGGAAAGGAACAAATACACTGCGGGTGCATATAGTACTTCGTATCTTGCTAATGATGCCTTTGGAGCAGCGATCGCAGCGTGTGGTTCCGTAGAGTTTTGTTTCAATTCTAAAAAAAAATCCTTTTTGCAAACAAGGGCTTGCTTTAAATCAATTTATTTTTGTATATTTTGTATTTTTTTTTAAATACCCCTATTAACGCCGTGAAACTACGCGAAAACGATGCGTTCTGGCAGCTGTACAAGCTGCCGAAATAATTTCATAAATGTAAGTCAAAATTCTTGCTTAAACTTACACTTTCATCGCGTATATTTATCGCCAACTTTGTATCTACACCAAAGTCATAAGATAGTAACAGGAATATTTATTCGCGATATCAGGAAGACGTTTTTAAAATAAATAAAATCATGAAACATAGCTCACGAGCCTAGTACTTTTGAAAAGAAATTTGATCAAGGGCAACCTTCGTCGTTAGCCTGACATCATAATAGGGATTATGTATTGACACTTTTTTCTCAAAATACAGGCAGTATTACAATTAAAACAGTTAGGTGAATTTAATTAGCATACCGGTACTTCGTTTTTAAGGTTTAAAGAGAGAGTTTTTCAAAGTTATACAAACTCATTTATCGGTCGTATTCCAATTTTCGCATGGTGGTTCAACAGGGTGGTTTCGTCGCAGGGTGGTTCACGTAATGGCTTATCGTTTGCGTCTTCATGCGCCAACCACGTTTGCGTAGGCACTGAACTACATCTTGGAAAGACCTATACGGGCAAATCATCGGTATTTGAAGCGTTACGGAGGGTTTGGTTTACTGCGAATTAGAAGCGCTTGTCAAATTTTTACATCTATTTTTCTTATTTTAAATTTGACCTATTTAACACAAAAAAAATCAAATATTACAGTCATTTAAATCAAAACAAGCAAAAAAAAACTTGATATAGTAGAGTAATAAAATTGGATAAACCCATCAAAGTTATAAAGTTGATAACACTGACCCGAAAGTTCTTTGACATATTTGAGTAGCATGAATAAGATATGAGTAATCAGTAAATTATTTCTTCACCATACTGAAAAGATGAACTATGCATACACAAATTAAAGAAAATATAAAAAATCGCATTTCAGGGTGAAAAGAGTCGACGAAAAACAGAACTGGTTATCGAGAGGCGGCACCCTCGGGAAAGTTTAACAAAACGTGATAAATACAATAAAGTCGAACAAAATAATTTAACAGATACAATAAAAAAGCGAGGTACGTCTAGGCGACCAGTTACATACCAAGCAGTCGCCATTTCAAACGACGATTTCATTTCCATTTAAATAGCCAGCTTCTTCGGATACCGATAAGGTTACAATATGTTATAATCTTACATATGCTATATATTCATTTGAACAATAAAATGAGATGATAACCCATCGCATTTGAATTTAATTTTTTTTTAAAATCGCTCAAATAAGGATTGAAAAACTTTCCCCATCAATAATTTACAAATTTATTCGATGTATTTTCTGCAATGAAAGTTTAATATGCATTGTCGTTTAAAACTTAACAGATAAAATTTAAACTGGATGTTTTATATCATTTCTCACAGAGTTCTATAAGGTTATATTGAATCACTAAATGTGATATTAAAACGTAATTGTTGTGTACTTTTGTGCCCTCGAATCATCAGTAATGTTTGCACATCTTATCTTGATTGTTCTGTAAATATATAGAAGTGGATTTCTCGACATCAGTATAATAAATCAAACTGTAAAGTATTTACAAATACTACGAATAGAACGAGTTACTGTAATACTATGCTGACCACAATAACGGTTCTCGGATTAAGTCAATTTATTTAGTCTGTGACGTCATTCTGCAAAAACTACAATGATTCTTCAATATTCTATTTATTATTCAAATAATGATATCATATTTTAGAGATATAAATTTTAATGTAATTGGTTTATAAGTACTTGAATTAAAAATACATTTACAACATACCTACATAATTATGCTGTAGAAATCAATTTCGACTTATTTATCAATCACCTATTCTTTCATACAAGTTTTTTCAAATAAAGTAGACGCTGGTTACTAATGGCGTGCTATTCCTGGATGTAACTTTTCCTTACATTATATATATCAGAAAAATGAGGTTAGAAAATAAATAGTGAGTTTTATATCAATATTTCGCTGTGAAAAGGTTAATTTATGAGGATTATTCGAAAGAATGAAACAAGGTTCCCACTGTTTGCTGATGGAATATAAATCATTATGAGTTTCTTTCGATTTCAATGTTGTTTTTACTACCATCAGTTCAATAAATATTTACAAAAAGACAAGCCCATTCAAAATTTGCCATATCGGTGCTTATACAAAAGGAATTAAAATTCCCATTTTTTTGTGAATTTCAATAGTTTTAATAATTTAAACAACATCGCATTTAAATATGATTTATCATCTTTTGGAGTATGTCTATCAGATCGACGGTGATAACCAATAACACAAAACACAACAAGAAATTTCTTTCTACAATTCTTTCTACATAACTGTACGTACTTATTTTCAATATTATTAGTCGTGAATTCTATCCGCTTTAGGTAATAATTACAAAATTGTTGCCAGTGCTAATAATTGATTTTAAAATGATATTACTTACATTTACCTACAAAACCAGGTCTAATTTGAAAAATAATAGAATAGATATTCTCATGATAAAAACTTAAGAGGTCCAAAACATGAAATGTATATTTTTATAAACCTTAAAACGCGTTTTGCTTATCGTAAAATTTATCAGATTTCAATTCCGAACGAACTTTAATGGCGGACTATAAAAAACATTAAATAAAGCATTTTGGCAATAAACAGTGCAGCTGTTTTGTGTGTCACAAACAATTCACTTCAACTGGAAAAATTAAAATGCGTAAATATATCTCCGTATTTTTGGTTTTGATATCCACTTTCCCATAGCAACATGAATTTTAAAAATGTATAAAATGCGTGTTATATACGTATTACTTACTATATCTGGTGCCAGGACTGAATTAGGTGATAATTCTAATTCTGAAAAGTCGTGGTTGTTACATTTTACCCGACATCTTATATAGGGCTTATGAATTTCAATAATTGCAGCCTACAACATTTTTTACAATTTATAAAATCAGATATTGTTTACTATTTGCTGGATCTTTGTCGTTGTCACATCCAACAATGCTTTAATGAAACAATTATTTATAATAAACGTATCTCTAATACCGACAATAAAAGCTTTGGAAAAACGTGACAAAGACGTTTTCAGTGTAATTAATAACTTTATTTTTACAACCAAATAATCACTCAAATCAAATATTACATATTTACAACATTATTTTTGTTTTTGTTTTTAATATATCTTGCATCCTACAGAAGCTCATCTAACTATTACAATTCATACATAGATGTATTCAATTGAAGAAAAATGAAAGAAACGAATCACGAAAAATCAGTTGCTGGAATATAGCCAGTTTTGCTCTCATCAGCCAGTATTTTCAATATTCTGAAAAATAAATTACAGGTTTACACACTAGCAATAGGTAAATCTATAATTTCTTGCGGCTTAAATGTAACATAATATCAAGTTTATATTTAATAAAAGGCGCTCCCAAAGTATATACACCAAGATGGCGCACAACCTGAACTCTAAACTGGTACACATACTATATTCAGGCTGTGCGCCATCTTGGTACACATACTTCGGGAGATCCTAATAAAAATAGAAAATTAGGAAAATCCAATATCAATTAAAATAATATAATAGAAAATAAAAAAAATATAAGAGAGTAATCATCCATTTTTTAACCTGTTTCATTATTAACTATTTCAAATTAGACCGATGCAGTACGTACTGAATGAGCTGATTCAAAATAGTATTCAGAAAAAAATTCAAGTTTTTTAACGAATTTCACACAAAAAACATTCACAAAATGCGATTGAAGAATCGATTTAAAACACGAGGGTGATCATGTATCAACAAACTTCTTTTTGCTAGTAAATTAAATGATACTTACCCCTCAGGTGACTTTAAATATTCAGAGTATTCGCGAACTTTGTTGAAATAGGCTTCCAGTTCTGAGGTTTTCTGACGAATACTTTTGATATCGGCACTCTAAAATAAATGTGTTTTGTAATCTTTATAGTAGGTACAAGTCTTGACATTGATCAATTTGCACGTAATTGGAGCTGGAACGTATGTAGAAATGAGTGTTTAAATTAAATTGAAATTTGCACATGAAATTTGCAAGGATTTGCACATAGCGTCTATAGGATTCTTTGTAAAAAGCCGCCGCCAATAATGCAAAAATGTGATATTTGATAAAATCATCATCATAACTTTTTGAGATAACGATTTATTATTGATCCAGTCTGGGTTACGGTTAGGAATAATTTGCAAATTTGAATTACCAGTGCAATCTACATTCGATTCCTCCCCCTAATTCAAACCCTAACTGGATAATTTCTAGTTTTCTTATTTTAAGCGTTGGCGTGGGTGCTGTTTTTGGCGGGGGATTTGTACAAACTATCCAAAGAATAGAAGATGCAAAATGCAAAATTAAAATTTCATTACAACAGCAAAATTCATTTTCAAAAATTAATATTAAAAAAATTTATATTTATGGTTTACGAAAATTGTGATTTAAGAATAAAGTTCATTGTATCAAAATGTTTTTCAACTACCTCATTGGATTTGGCAAAATCAAACACTTCTTTTGACTTTGCCAACAAGCCTTTCTTTTCCCGAGGAGATATAGTTGCTGAATCCGACTCGACAAGTTGATTGACTTTGTAGACTAATTCTTCTAACTTGTTTATAGCATTGTATTTTTCCTTGGCTGTGTTGTCGCCCACTTTCATTGTTTCAGCTGCAGCAATCTGAATTTAAATTTAAAACGTTTTGTTGGAGTTATATTGCTAATAACTTTAGACCAACCTGTGCAGCATTTGCAAGAATTCTAAGTAATTATAATATTTTTAGATCACACTTTTTCATTTTTGTTGATAATTTGTTGCGTGTAATAGATAATTTATCATATATTATAAAAAAAAACTTAGAAAGAGTAAGTAAGACTATTGCTCGTTAAAATCCAACTATGTCTCAAACAGAGACTTTTAAAAAATACGTTAAAAATTAACCAACTTTACATTCCGTAAAAAGTTTTACTGTTTGCACTTGTATTTGAAAACAATACCATTTGTTAAATTATCGACATTGAATTGTAAAAGCTTTGAGTAATGCATATCTTCATTTATATTATCAATTTCAGAGTATAAGTTTAAATTTTTTACTTGGAGTTTGCCGAATCCGGTTTTCCTAATTTTGTGTCTGCTGTTTTCAATCTTATTTTACTATCAAAATATTCCCTATAATGTGTGTACAGAAGTAAAATATAGATAGTAACGAGGGGTATATTTTCGCGTAATAAATTTATTTATATATATATTAGTACCATATCATCGATTTCTTTTTCAGCCAGTCTCCTTTCATCATTTGTAATAGTGATGTCATTTGCATTTCCCGATGCCAAGTCTAATGCAACGACCTTTAACACACCGGAACCATCAATTCCGAACACGGACAAGATATTTGCTTCCCCGGCTGGTTTAGGTGAAATTCCGGTCAACAAAAATGAACCAAGTTGGTGATTGTCTTTAACTTTTGAATTTTCACCTTCGAAAACCTAAATGCGTGGAATTTTTATGTATCTAATTATGCGGAAGTTTACTGAGTGTATTAAATATATTAATCACAGTTCCAACGCGTCCCATATAAACAGTGATATAGGAAAAAAAAATATCGATATTGAATTACTAAGAAATATTTTCAACAATCTTCAACCAACGTAAACCGAGAAAATAAATGAGCGTATGGTCTTGCGTCAATAGGCATTTGAAAATCGTTGGTTTACGTCAATAATTTTTTCTAGACTCGGAAGATCTTGTCCGCGTCTGACTTAACTTGCTTATGGTAAAGTCTTGTTTTACTCCGAATTATTGTGTGTACTCACAAATTATAATAAAAAAAAAGAATTCGAAATTTCATAAATGTAAATCAAATTTCAAAATTTTGATAAAACGCCAGATTTCAAATTAATAAACTATCTTTCCTTAAACAAAATACCAATACATTATAATAAGCTCCGGGAGCATGAAAAAATTCGGCAAAATTGCCATGTCAGCAATTTCTTCCATGTTTTTTTTTAAGATATTAATGCTTTTCGAACTTTTTAAGTCGAACAAATTAGTCAGTAATTTGGAATCCCATCTGGCATTGAAATGTAAAACCTAACTATAAACAAACCTCGAATCTTGCGGAAGTTTGATTGTCACTGAATGTAGAAAAAACACTCATCTCTTTCGTTGGTATTTTAGTGTTTCTTGGTATAATGACGCACATGTCTGTTCCTCTAACACATGTTCCAATCGAAAATGGTATTACATCTTGGAGCTTGAATCGCTCTTGCTGCATAACAAATATAAAGTAAAATTATTATTGTTCACCGTATAAATATACCCTATTACGTGATGAACTTTGAACTTGTTTAAATCGATAGAAAGTGCTTTTGATTCTATATTACATTTGCAACTCCTTAATCAATTTCAATGACCAAAATGTAAAACATTTACTTTAGAAAAGAAATGGATATTGTCTGTCAATATGATAATTTATTAGTTTGATAAATGAACACAAATATATTACAAATTAATATATTTTCATTAGTTTCCCCATGAAAAATTTCACATAACTTCACATCAAGACGATAATAAATTCCTTTTTTTTTCTGCATCAAACACGTTTTTCAATTATTTCTTCGATTGGAAAAGCTTTATCTAAAGTAAAGCATCACTTTTCATAGTTATGTACATAGGAGTTGAAAATCAAACTACATACCGTTTTGTCTTTACCGGTCCTGATGTTTTCAGCCAACACCGCTGCACCATAAGCAACAGCTTCATCTGGGTTAATAGTTCTGCTAATTTCTTTGCCGTCAAAGAAATCCGTCAAAAGACTTCTAATTTTAGGAATACGTGTTGATCCCCCAGCAAGTACAATATCATCGATCTGAATATATAATATGATGTAGTATTCACACAGTTTCTTGTTATTATATTTTCAGAAACTTTTCTATCAAACTCTTAAAATTTAAAATGAAATAATATTATTGTTTATTTTTATTATTCTGATGAGTCGTCCTTATATTTGTTTTTAAATAAATTTTTGCTTTGTTTATATTTAAATTAATTACTTTGTCTCAAAATGCGTAAAATGTAAGCAAGTTCGTAATTAGCATAGTCAGGCTATCTGGAAAATGAATCAACACGAATCACTATAACATGCACTATTTTCTTATTTACCTCGTCTTTCTTCATCTTTGCATCAGCAATTACATTTTCTACGACGGAAATTGTACCATCAAAAAAATCGGCGTTCAGTTCTTCAAATTTTGCTCGAGTAATATTGCTCTTAAAATCCAATCCGTTGTATAGACCATCTACTTGTACTCTGAAACGACAATGTTTGTCAACACCATTATGACTTTTTGCAACCCCCTCACGAAAAGTTAGCTCAAGGTCGATATATGTTACAAATTCTTATGCGTTTGTACTTAACCTATTGATACTTTAACCGGTAATTCACCCTTCAACTAGTTCTCAATCATCAAATATTGTGAAATATGCAGCCAGAAGATTGAAGTTTATTTAAAATTGAATAAATTGAATCGAATATTCTTTATATATGTTGGTAAATTCTATTAAATATCCACTATTTGCCTTAATGTTACAACTACTGTTGTTTGTTTGTTATTATTATTTATAGGCAAGATTTTTTTATTTCGATTAAGGCACAAAAATGTATTACGTAGCATGGGTGGACACTGAAAGCTTTTTCTTTGCTGGTTCACATGCAAACTTCAACCTGCTGACAGCACGGTTATTTTTTGTAATGTCAACTTTGTGCTTAGTGTTGAACTCCTTGATGAAATGTTCAAGCATTCTGTTATCGAAATCACCACCTATAAATAATAAAATTTGTACATGACACATAGTCACAAAATGAACAAATTTATTCAAGAGAATAACTTAAACTTCCATTTAGATCAGGGGTGACGAACCTATTTGCTATCGCGGGCCATTTCATCAGTCAACCTGAATAAGCGGTCCACCCAACTTTTCAGTCATACCATGATTCCTGTTAATTTTCATCAACAAAACCGAACAACTTCACCCATACAGCCAAAGGTATTTAATGGTATATTGCAGCATAAATTTAAAAAAAGAATATTCGCTGAATTTTTATCTTAGTGAGATTTGGGAAACTTTTTTGCTTTACTAAGCGCTTAATATTAGGACGAACCGACGATTTGGAAACTCACAACTGCATATTGAGATTTCTGTCTGTCAGTCTTGACCTGTATCGATTAAGTTTGGTCCCGAGTGTCGTCATCTCACTCAACCGCACGCTCCGCTAGGCCGATATATAATTGTATGTAATTTTCTTTTTGTATTTGGTCCTCCAGACACATAAATTACTAGAAACGTAAAATACATCACTCAGACAGATTGCTGAGCGTTCACACACAATAAAAAAACACGTTTTCATGAATAACTCACTACAGAAAAGAGTCATATGTAAGAATTGCGTTGAAAGAATATGACTTCAATAAAAAAAAAATGGAGAAATTTACCTCGACAATTGGCGGAAGGAAAAAAACAAGATGGCGGCGATTCGAAATTTTACTCTGTACCGATTCGAATAATTTACTATTCGATTCGAAATGCCCAGCCCTAGTGTTCAGGTCCAAATTTCCGTTCGAATAGCGCCGCATTTTTTGAATCGAATTTTCGGTCGACTACCGAGTTGTCACTTTACAATCAATTTGTATTGTAGTGAAAATAAATTGTAGCTCTTGAAATTTTATCGCAGACCTAGAGATTTTTCTAACGTTGATATCTTGAAAATAATCTTGGGTGGTATCATTGTGATAAAGCGGAGTCAGTGATGCAATAACAGATCACATTTGTATAATTCGTAACATAGCAAAAATACAAATCAAAACTAGATAACTTGACAAGTCTTTTGTGCCATGGATTGCCGTGATAATTTGAAGTAAAGTTCTCATTTTGTTGACAAACCGCAGGTTACATTTAACACACAAGTAAATTGGTAAAACAAGGCATTATGAATTGACTCGTATTGGTCGTCAATCATTACCGGATAAAAATGCCGGCTCTTTTAGCGTGTGGCGTGATCGCGGCAACTGTCTCAAAAGCTGTTATGTGGAGATTTAGAGGCGATGAATATGAATTTTTGAATCCTAGCTGTTACCCAATGTAAAGTATGTCCAATCAATTATTGATGGTACCAAAATAAGATACACAGTCTGATATTTTCTCATAGATTTTCGGATCTTTCTCACAGCGATATCGTGAAAACCGATATCTCGCAACAGGGAGATACCATGAGCACAACTAAATTAATATTACAAGACACTGAAATGCTCGTATCGGTCGTGGATCGAATACTTAACAAAAAACAAAAAACATTATCTATCGAAAAGGTGGTCTCTTTTTACAAGTGGCCTGCCTAATTGCGTCGACTGTTGCATGGAAATTTCCGGAATTCATCCGATTTAGCCACCCTCCCCTTTCGGTAATTCTGGCTGCGCCATTGAACGTATTTCATTCTATACATCTTATCGAACCTTCCTATATAACATTTCGTGTCGGGTTAATTTGCAAAATTCTAATTAATATTGCCTCAGCATCATTTATTTTATTTTTTATTGTTATATATCATAAGCACTACGCAATGAATGCATTTCTTGCAGAGCAAATAATATTGACACTTTACATAAATATAAGATATAAGTTAGTACATTTATTATCAATCATACAGCCAAAATATTGATTGCAAAATTAATCACCGCATGAGGGTTTTTTGTGTACTGTTACAAGTGGTTACCATGGAGGCGACCTACGTCACAGAGGATAATGCTTGTTGTTGAAGTTAATAAGGCACTGATTTTTTCATTAATTTCATAATTTGTTAATATACGCATTAAGATAGTTAACCAACTATCTGTATAGATCAGAAACTTTGGATATGATACATACCTCCGAGATGAGTGTCACCGCCAGTTGCTTTAACATCAAATACTTGATTTTCAATTGTAACGATGGTTACGTCAAAAGTCCCTCCACCAAGGTCAAAAATGAGCACGTTACGTTTCTTTTCAATCTGTTTTATTAAAAATTTGTTCTGAATTACTTGGCTAACATTGAACGTGCTTTTAATTTATTTTGTTTAGCTTCCGGTATTAAAAGCTTTAGATTTAATATGGTTCCTAAACTGGGGGTAATTACCCCCAAAGGGTAATTTGATATTTAGTGGGGTAATTCAGACGTTACTTCTCTTAACAATTTTTCATGTTATCCCCGTCCTTCGTGCTGATGGACCAGAGGTAAAAACAGTACCACCTTTCCAACTGGGATTAAATTTGCACTGAAAATTTTATTTTTTTGAAAGGGGTAATTGAACTTTTGGCAATTCGTTACAGGGGTAAAGATATTGAAAAAAATTTGTAGTCTAGAACATGAAAACGCATAAATTGGTGCTACTTTAGCGTAAGGTCTACAACTTGAGGGATAGTACAGCGTTGAACCTCACGCTAATGTGGCACCCATAAATTGATATGTAATAAACTTTATAATTCACACTCTAGCTAAGCTTCCTATTTTTATCTAATTTAAAGTACCCTGGGTATCGTGGCTAAATAATTTAAACTGGGGAAAGTTGCCGTCAATATTGTGATAATATACTTTGAAGTTAGGAAATTTTAAACATTATCAAATATTTACGCAAAAAAGTAAGTAGCAAGTAACTGACTTAATTACTATATAAAACCATACGAATTATGCCGGCAATGAAAACAGCAATGAAAATACTGAAAAATTAAAATATATGTTTATAGGTCTGTTCAAATCCGATAAGTACATAGTTACGGGTTCATGCAAGATGTCATAAACAATTTATTTTTAATGATTCAGAATTTTCGTTCATAAATATTACACTTATATATGTTCCTCAACTAAAATTTGTGTTTCATGACAAAGAACATTTGGTAGAAGTTTCAATTTTAAAAGTGTAGATTTCGGGTTGCATTAAATTGCTTACCTTTACTTCTAAGCCATAGGCAATTGCGGCTGCAGTCGGTTCATTTATCATTCTTAGAACGTTCAAGCCAGCAATTCTTCCTGCATCTCTTGTGGCTGTTCTCTGAGCGTCGTTAAAGTAGGCAGGTACAGTGATCACGGCGTCGCTGATTTGTGTTCCTAGGTATACTTCAGCCACTTCCTTTAGCTCAGTCAATATCATAGCACTTATTTCTTCCGGACGAAATAGCTTAGTTTCTTCTTTGAATGTTACCTGTGCGTTTGACAATTGTGGTCATTTTTTCAATGTGCCCCAAACTCATTTGAACTATAGCAGGCTTAATCGCCAAACTAAAAGTATATATTACCTATTTCTATCTATGCATATGATAATGCATTGCAGAATTTGAAAATCAGAGTCAAATATCTAACCTGTATTTTTGGCTGTCCTCCTACATCAACTACTTTAAAAGACCAATGTTTCATATCATGTTGAACGGAGGGATCGTTGAATTTTCTTCCAATTAAACGTTTGATATCTGTTGGAATTAAAACAAATATTTGAACACTAATTTTCGATTCGTACAGTAACATTATAGCGTGTTCTTTAATATGCAAATTTTGATGGCTTAAATATCTGCCGACTACCATATCTGATGTATGTTTACCTTAACAATGAAATATGACTCGAATTAAAATTATGTCAAAATTGTTTTTTTATTTTAAACAATGTTTCCTATTTAAAGTCAACTTTCAATTTTAAATCTTTGTTTTGTAAAAAATTATTTCAAAAGTATCAAAGTATTTGCATATCAGGTTGCAAGAACTTTTTGACGATTCTGATGGCAAATTATAGTAATCGACATAGAGAAACAATATTTATCAGGAGAAATAGAAAGACTTACTATTTTGTTCATAAAAGATTATGAAATAACAAATTCAACATTCCCATATAAAAATTCCACATGTAAGCGAAAATAATTGTAAATTTCATATTAAAATTAACAAATCATTACGGAACAGTGTGTTTTCGTGATTCATCGACGCTTCCTCCTTGGCTGTTGCTCCAATCAATCGCTCTGTATCCGTGAATGAAACCCATGACGGAGTCACGCGACTCCCTTGGTCATTTGCTATGATTTCAATCTGTTAAAAATATTTGGTATTTAATAAATTAGTTACACGTATCAGAGAATAAGAAAATACCAAACATGACAAGAATACCATTTAATTTGTAGGGTTATATTCACCAACTGTTTCTCCGAAACGTTCAGTATTGGGCTAACTGGGTTACGGATGAGCATTATTTTTTTTATCATTCAAGTGTCATCTAAGCTCACAGTAGGTTAGCGTGATTTCAACGCTAAAAGGTTACTATGAAAATTTTCCGTTTATCTGCCAACTAGCTGTTTCTCCGAAGTAGTTGAGATTTTTCAAAACTGATCTCGACGGTATTTTCCGACTATTTTAAAGCAAGAATATACCTTACGCGTCAGTGATTGTAAATCTACAGCATTTCTAAATAAGTGACCGGTACCCTCTTGCAAACTTGTATTCAGAAATATTGAAAACGTAAGAAATAATTTTTAAAAACAAAGACTAACCATTGAATCAAAAAATATTACTGTGCCCTATTCTTATATGTTTATTTAAATTCGAAATTAATTTGGAATTGAGCACAAATTCACAAATACCCGTTCATTCCTGTAGACAGCCACACAAGAATTGGTCGTTCCAAGATCTATTCCGATCGCAGACATTGTTCAAGAAATTATTCATATAGTTTTTTTAAAACCGAATGCTGTATGAGTGTAATGCATGTAAATGTAAATGATCATGGCATTCTCCATATAGATGATATAACTTCCAACAAGCCAAGAAAAATTAGTTTAGAGCTATTTGTTACGCATATATGCAAACTGATCTTTATATCCCGTGAAACATTCAACTGACGAATAATGTATTTTAAGAAATTTTGTAGTTTCTGATAAGAGCATGAACCCGAATACAACTGACACTACTTTGAACTAATAGCTGATGATTTGATAGCAAAAATCGCATTGCTTTACACAGCTACTTTTAAAAATGTTGGGTTACTTTTTGTGTATTTCCAATGTTTACCATCAAGTAATAAACGATATTTTACGAATTGCAATATAATATTTGATCATATTTAACGATGTTGACTAATTGGACACGGAGTGGACATATTGCTCATTTTGTTAATATGTTGTTGTTGATGGTCTTTGAATTTTTCTTTCTATATAGTTTTAAAAAATTGCTTTTCTCATCAACTGTAGGATCAATTGTATTAAAATTACCAGTGTTTCAAGATTTCCCCTAAAAGCCTATTACTATATTTATTTCTAAAATTTCTGTGGGCCTTCATTTCTTGTGTGCGATGACGTCATCAAAATTCAAAATTGTGCTCCTTGCGACGGTTCCGCTTTCGCGTTAGCGATCTTGTGGTCCGGCGATATCGTGAACACTGCGAGTACCTCTAGGCTAGTATGACAGACTATATGCCCGTGTCCATATATTTCAGTATCGCTCTCTTGTTTTATTGAATACCGCTATTAGATATCATGCTATACGTCTTTCTTACATAACCTGATAGGTATACCCATGTTCTACACAAAGGAAAAGTTTGATACTTCCATGATAAACTTTCAATTGTTGTTTTAAAATGTTCATAGTAAGCGTAATCAAAAATTGATAAAATACTTTTGCAAAGGTTATTCCGGTGAGCAATGAAGTGATACAGTCGAGAGACTGCCCTCATTGAATTATCAAACAGAGGTTGATTTTAATCACGGTCATTTCTCAAATGAGGGGCATTCACAGACTAAATAAGGCACAGAATAAACTCTTTGCATTTTTAACAGAAATATCATAAAATGAAAATACATTCATAGGGCATATAAGTGGAACCTATTTGTCTTCAATCAATTGCTTACGATCTAAATTTACCATAGCATTAATTTTTGGAAAATCTTATATTACAGCCAGTAATCAGTGAAGGTCTCGATTTACATAAAAAAAATAATGTAAACAAATTTATCAAATAAGAATAAAGAAGTATACTTTTCTGTGATTGGACCAAAAAAATGCCTTATATGTTTGGCTTTTCTACCCTCAGGATAGGAAGAAGCATCATTTGTCACAAAAAATAAAAAAGTATACTGTTTTTTTTGTGATTGAAAAGACAGTACCAAATATTAAACTGCGTTGTATGTTCGGCTATTCTACCTTCAGGATGGGACAAAGATCATTTTTCACAAATTATATAAAAGACAGTTTTTGCCTTTTACATGGTGTTTGTGATACCTTTTTATATTTTGACTTGCTGCACATGAATTTCTGCCTCGAAATTTACAATTTATTCAAGATAAGCACTGGTATTTAACAAGACTGTTTCGTTTTTGCGTCAATAAATATTCTAGTTTTTGGTATTTTAGAAATTTTATAAACGATCTTATCCAATCACTTTACACTCATTGCAAGTTACACTTAAAATCAATTATTTAAATGATATCATATACAGCAGAGAGTAAGACTTATTGTTAACAATATATTTTTAAAAAGTCTGACATGTTACTCGTCTTTCAAATTAATATCTTTCAGAATTAATATATTTTTCTCGGGAAAAATTTTTCAGGAACCAAAAACTGTCTGTCTATAACTTAAAAGAGTTTTCTGTAACTGCAAGCGATCAACTCACCAGCAACAAAATAATATGCCGAGCTACACAATAGGTTAACTTGAACGAATATTTGATGCTTGCATTTACCTACGCGAACGTCACATACTTCTGTAAAACATTGAAGCGCTTTTTATTCAAAAATAGACCCACAACATACACGATCTGGCATGATGAGATGAAATTTTGATTTTTATTGGTTTTATTCACGCTCGATCAATGCTGGCCAATGATGTATACAATCGTTATATACTACGCACATACGCGTTTCGAACGTAAATTGATAATAATGTTTGGCAGAATGCAGAAGTGTTGTACCTTTTGAATTTGAATTAAAATGATTTATAGCCTACGCGAATGTGTTTGTGTCACGGATGACAACTTCTGTCTCTGTAGGGTTTCTACAAAGATATTTTATTTCACAAAGCAAACAAAGCGTAACTTTAAACTGATAAACAGTTCGCAGAACAGCACAGCCCATGCTTGAAAATAGATAAGACGACTAATGTAGAATCTTCAAGCCGAATACAATATGTAAGGTTAAGTAGTTTTTAAATTATATAGCACATTCTATTTACATAGTTAATAAATATAAAATTATAAACAGAACGAGCCCATTCATGAACACTGGTCAATGAATCCTTCCAGGCAAAGCAACACGTCTGGCTCCAGTGTAACTCGTTGTTGACATATAAATTTCACATCCGTTAGATATGTTAAATGTACATGCGAGTAGGACATAAGCAAACAAAGTTTTACTGATGAAACAATTTATCCACGCTCATGCGTGGAAATAGATAATCTGACTAAGGCAGAATCTTCGAACTGGTATAAAAGTACAAATACATTTTGCAGGGTAAGATAGTTCTAAATTAAAGCTCATTCTATTTACAGAGTAAATAATGATAAAATTTCAAACAAAACAATGACACTGGTCAAAATTACAATAGTTCTTTTTATTGTAACTAGTATTAGAAATTGAGTAATTGAGTTGTGGTAATGTGATGTGGTATTTGAGGTAATTTTAAGTACTTTAACAAAAGCATCTATCATAAGACGAGAAAATTAATACAATGACAACTGAATAATTTTCTGCTACAAAGGTTTGTAGAATAAGCCAGCTTAGGCTAAATCGTTGAAGTATATTATTGACCATGTGTGTTTCTGGAAAACGGATTTAACCAAGGATTTTTAAGGGTATTACGTGATTGTGAATTGCTATGTACAACTGTCTCAAGACTATCTCATTTTTGAATCTGCCAAAATTTTACTTTAATTTATTTTAGTTTAAATCTGTATTAAAGTGTAGAATCGAAGTTTTGTTTCCATTTGCTATATTTCGTCTACCTTGTTGTTTATTCGAGCTGAACTACTAGGCAACAGAATTAGTATAATAATAGTTCTTGTGGTAATAAAAGTATTGATAATAATATTTCGTTGACGTTAGAAGCTAATCAGTTTTACTTATACAAAGCTGAATATATATACTAGATTTTATCTTCTAGTGAGCAATATTTTGGGATATTATAATTGTATTCATATAACTAGTGTTTGCAAGATCGTAACAGTTTTCGACAGAATGCTTCATGGAGAATTTAAATACGTTTTCCTTCATTATTTCAAATAAAAATATTGAAAATGTCCAGCCGATTGTTTTATGGTGTGACTTTTGTCTTTGATATAATAGGGAAATTTTGACCATATTGGGGAGAGTTATATTATCGCTTGTTATCTAGCTATCCCAATTTGTTCAAAAAATGATTTGATATTGGTATTTTGTGATTCCGTATTTAATTGCTTTGAACAAAAGTTTGGCAAGAATGGGCTACAGATAATGAGACGCTCACCCACCTGTCCGTACAAGGACCACTGCTAGAAAGGTTTTTGATTCTTCCAATGGTGTTATTGGTTTCATATGCCTGTTTCTCCTTAAATTGCCGAGCATGTAGTCAATATATTGGACACGTTAAGCTCGACCCATGCTAAATAATTTAGTTAGCGCAACAACAATTTATTGGTTATATTTAATGCATAAAACCTATTAAATATTGACTTGACAACAAATAGCTTTACTCCGTCTAAGCCCAAAACGTATTAGTGAATAGTAAGTCATTTTACTGGTTTTATTTATAAGTGTTATCGTTCCGCTGAAATCGACAAAATAGAACCTCGAAACCTTAAGAATATATTTAATATTGACGTCGGAAAACTAAAAAAAAACTTGAGTAATGTTGGTGAAAAACGTTTTTATATAAAATAGATTTAGGTATAAGAAGCACGAATAATATTAAACCTACATAATATTAAACCTGGAAGTCACGTCCTAATGAAATTTTGGAAATCACGTTTTAATATACCTCCACAAATTGCCACCTACATAGTCTCCGACGCCTGTCTGTAAATACAATAAAAGATAAGTATTAATTTTCAACATCAAGATGAGTAAGCCGACAGAGTGTATTTACGAACAAAATTTTAAATTCTTTCAATCACGACAAAAATTGGTTTAAACTGGACAACGTTACTACTAGTAGAAAACAGAAAGAATACGTTTAAAGACTCTCTTCCTAATACTAAGTGCTGTCAAAAATTGTAAGTTGACTTTTATCCTCGATCCAAATAAATTACAAAACTTTCTGACAAAGTAATTCTTTCAACTCATAACTCATGAGATTTACTTTTGAGCAATTCTATTAAATTTTTTAGTCCGAAACAGCTTGTATTGAATATAAATTAGACATATATTTTTATATTTGAATTTTATGTACAGTGTTGCCGTTTTGAATTAATAAAGCTTTTCTGTATTTTTACCTGTATTATAAAGAATACCTGTCTTGATAAAGATGCTGTTTAAAAATTATTATTTTGGGCGACGCGAATGCCTAGCGGGGAAAGCGTTAGAACTACCGTAAATCTGTTGACATGGTTGACATTTTACATATATCAGTGGCAACGCAAAATGAGGACACTTTATTTAGGAAATGAATGTGGTACCAAGGTAATCTTTTCGCTTTTTGATATTTAAAAGCCTGAGTATTTTTACCTAAAAAAAAACGTTAAATCTAATTGTTAGCAATGCCTAACATTCTTGAAGTTTAAATTTATCTCCTAATTTGTATTTTTGTATTTTTGTTTATTATGTTTTTATTTCTGATTACGTGTCCCAATAACCGGAGTCGTTATGCACGTATGCAAAGACGAGTCTGAAAGAAGGCCATGTGGGCCTTTCTGAGCGGCACAATGCAGGATGCAGCAGATAAGAGCCGTAGCTTTTGCGTTATTGCACTTTTTCTTTGATGTGATTATTTTCATTAAAAGCTGACAATACGTGAATGAACTTATGTAATTGATTGCGATGATAATTAGTTATCAACGGCTGTCTGCCTTTTACCGCAATATTGCAAACATTTCACTCTTTCAGAAATTGACCAACTTGTGAGCGAGTCAAATCGTATGAATAAATTGGCAACAAATTGGCAATCCTGCAAACTAGAAAAACAAACAGACAATCCTGGCAAACTGGCATCTTGGGTTACGCTAGGCGTTCTTTCGAAGTTTATATACCCACCCGGCAAAATATGCCATTTATATTAAGACTCATTTTTTTAATATACATTGCGTTTATTGATTATTGAAGATTAATTTGGTTGTGATAATGAATATATGAAACTCCGTCTCAAAATTTTTGGTACCATATTTGACTATCAAAGCTTAATTAAAATACACATATAGATAAAGCAAAATTATCTCTAATATATACAGATATATTTAACAAAAAATGAGATTTAAGATTACCTATCTTTGATCATTGGGTACCAGGAAATACTTTGAGCTATAATTAATGCACGCAAAATAAAGCAACAATTATTATAGATTTAGCTATGACTATTATAGACAAATATTTTGCCACTTTCTTGGCCTTCGCAAGTTTTCATTTGATCAAGTTAAATTTAATTACATGTTAAATCTTGTGATATAAAAAAGTGTCCCTAAAAATCAGATTTTTTTCGAATTATAAATTGTTTGGTGAATTTGTGTCTGACATCGGATATTCAATGATTTTCGCCACAGGTGCAAAAATCTAGTCGTCAGTGGCGTGTGTACCGCTATTCTATATAAAGTTTTAACTACACTCTTGGATAAGATGAGCCAGCGAACACAATTTGAAAGTTAACAACATTGTGGCTCCTAGCCATGAGTCGTAAAAGAAATAAGTGAAAGTAATAGCCTTCTGGCGACCAAAATCAATCTTTCCCCACTGAAAATTTCAAAGCAATTGGTCCAGTATTCAAAAAGAAAAGCAATTTTTTAATGATATTGACGAAGAGAAATAACAATAACGAAAACATAATACTGAAACGATCGTTATGTATACTGACATGTCCAATAATTCTAGACTCAACAAAATCGAAATTTATCATTTGTGAAGTAATTGATTATCAAGTGTTGCCAAATAATAACTGAACTAACTGTTGTGTTCCATATGTAATAATTATATAATGAGTAAGTATTATTCAGAAAACTTCAACATGCTTTGTTGCAAATTTGGTGATGATATGCATAAACAAAAACATTAGTTGTACAGGTATGAGAATATGAAGAACATATGGCACATGTGAAGTGAGTTACGAAACGTCCTATTGGGCCCATCCGCCTTTGCCTAATCCACAGGTTTCAAAAGTGTCTTGTAACTTCTTTCTTTTTGTTTTAATGTCATCTAGAGATAGTTTCTGAAAATATGAGGCATAAGTAACTGCTGTAGAAATACTAAAATATTATGTGTCATTCAGTAATCAGTAATCTATTTTTTCATCAATGTTTGAAATATGTAAGGTACATATACGGCGTAAATTAAAATAAGGATAGCATTCACATGGCGAACAGAGACGCTAAAAAGCAGTATTGGTTATCAAGCAGAGACAGCTAGATGCGGTCAAACACAACCTTAAAAAAATACAAAGCTTAGATTTGATAAGAATGTATAATCATTTGTAAAGTCAAAGCTAAGAACCCACGTGATATTATACTCGTATATTAATATTATCAAATTTTGGTGAAACGAAATGAATAATTTTGAGCAATCTCCCGCTACTACTATGATTTTAAAATATCGAATCTAACAATATATTAAAATAATACATGTGTCATATTTAAAATCTCTTTCTGGAAATGGAAAAAATGTTTTAGATTACAATAAGGAGCATCAGAACACAAATTAACGTTTCAAATAGCATCTCACCATTGAAATAATTGCAAATTATGCTTCATAAAGTTATGGATTATGCATCATATACGTAATTAAAAAAAATGTTTATCATACATTCTATATATTGATATATCCGTTTTCAACAATAATTATGATGAGTCATTAGGAAAAAAATAATGTCAAAACCTATACAAAATATAGAGAAGTGCTTTGTGTTTAAATCGTAGACATTTGAACGATATAAAATAAAGTTTGGTTAATTCAGGTCTCGTGGTCATTCAATGCGCGTAAAAGAAGTCACCAGTTTCAAGCAAACTATAACATTCAAATATTCAGCCATTTTTTTAATCTTGTGCACCATCTTGCGGAATAGGCGATCTTTTGAATTTTACGTTTTCTTTACAGAAAGGGAAGAATATATTATTAATCAAAACGCAGACAATATTTATGATGAATTTTAAACTCAAAAAAGTTTGAAAATATTTACGTTACAAGCAGCCTGGAATATAAATATTTATGTTAAAATACTCGCTACCCAATACTCTGTACTGACAAAATTTGTGAGCTGATTTTAATCATAGATTCAAATAAATTCCTCGCTTTCTCAACTCAACTCGTGATTATTACTTTTGAAAAATTCGGCAGGAAACTTTATTCCGAAAAGGCTTGTATTTCTGTTTTCTTTATCTCAAATATAATGTCTTAAATACAATAAAGAACATCTGTCTTGATGCTTATGGTTTGTCGCAGCGCGATAGCGCAATAGGTGAAAGCGATGAACTTAAATTGTGTTGTCATCGAATTAAACACATTTCAGTGTCTGATTAAAGGGATGTGTATAAAGAGAAAACCAAACTTGCCAGCAACCTAAATATTAGAGTACGTTATTCACGGAGTGAATGTGATTTACGGTTAATTGGAATTTTCCCTTTCTTTTATTTAAAATACTGTGTATTTTTACATAAAAAAAACTGTTAAGTGTAATTTTAGCAATGCACAACATTTTAATATTTTAATTTATCGTCTAATTTCTATTTTATTTTATTTTGTATTATTGTTCGATTGTGTAACTCCAATAACATAAGTCGCTATGCGCGTAAGCCGGGTGGGCCTAGAGGATAGCCATAGAAGAAGTCTCCCTGAGCAGCAGGTTGTAGTGGCCGCGATCCAATCCGTAGAGTTCGAGTTATTGCACTTTTTTCTCGATGGGTTTCTATTTAAGTTAAGCCTGACATAACGTGAATGATTTTTCTTGTGTGACTGTGATTATTGCGGTGATAGTTAGTCACCCATGGCTGTCTGTCTTTTCCCGCCAATGTGCCTGGCTAGTTACTGAGAAATTTTGCGCAATGTTGCGAACATTTCATTCTTACTTGATCTATAGTTTACTCATTCTCATTTTATAAAAAATGTATAATTTTGTTATTAATTATTTCTGATGTTAGGTATGATGGGCATTGTTAGTAGAAACTCGCCCCGGGCAGCGGAAAATTTGGCACACCTCTGCACTTATGTATTGATGTTATAAACTGGTAACCTGGTATATAACTTATTTCGATTTGCATTTTATATATGATATTACCAACGACAATAATTATTTTAACTTTGGACGCTCTAAATTTCTTAACACTTCTAATTACAAACATCTCACTCTAACTTGACCTATAGTTTATTCATTCCCATTCATTAAAACCTCTATAATTTGGTAATTAAATATTTTTGATATTCGGTGTGGTTTCTCAACATATTCTAATATCGTAGGTTTACTGGTTATGGATCGAGTACAGAAATTGATCTACTTGAAAGTGAGTCAATTGGCAACAATTCTGCCATTATGGGTTATGCTCAGCGTTCTTTCAATATTACATACCCGTCCTTCAGAATATGCTATTTATTATAAGACTCACTCGTTTAATACTAATTACATTTATTGATTATAGAAGTTGAAGATCATTTTTTTTACACTAGAAAAAATTGATATTGATTATATGATACTTCGACCCAGAGTTCTTAGTCTCGTATTTAACTAGCAAACCGAAATTAGAATACACATAGTTAATAAAGCAAATTTATCTTTGACATATAAATATATAATATCCTATACATAATATTCTATAGATATGCTAAACATTACTGTGAGCTATCAATAATTCGCGAGAAAATAATGCAACAGTTAATATCGGCTTAGCTATGGCGATTATAATCAACAAGATTTCGCCACTTTTTGGCCCGAATTTGCATTTGATGGAGTTAAATTTATTTGTATCTTAAAACTTGGGATATCAAAATATCTTTCACGGTAAAGTATTATATTTCACAAATTATAAATTATTTGATGAAATCAAATGTGCAAAATCAAGTCAGTAGGGGCGTGCGTCCGTAGCCGCTGTTTTATATAAAGTCTACACTATATAACTGCACATTAAGATTAGAATTACCGGCGATCAAAATTTGCGTTGACAACATTGTACGTCTTAGCCAGGAGTCGTAAAACACAACAAAAGAAAAATATATAAAAAAAAATCTGGCTCATCAAAATTAAATTTCATCATTGGTAAAGTTATTGATTACTAGTTGTCTTTAATGACTGAACAAATGCGTTCTAAATATATATATTAATTATAATGATCCTAATTAATCCGAATCCGAATTAATCGAAACTTTTTTTTTATCTAACATTCAAACAAGTATATATAATTCGAGAAAATTCAACTTGCTTTGTCTTAAATTTGGAGACGACAAAAAATGTATAGAAAAAAATAGCTCTACATGAAAATTTGAAAAATATATAATACATGAAGAGTGAGTTATAAAACGTCAGATTGAGCCCATCCGCTTTTGCCCAATCCACAGGCTTCATATGTGTCTTGTAACTGTTTTCTTTTCGTTTGTATGTCAACTAGAGATGGTTTCTGAAAAAATGAAGTAACTGATGTGGAAATGATTGAATATTATGTGTGATTTATAAAGTTTAGGATATAAATTCACGTAAGATTATGTACTATTGTTTTCAAATTTTGGTGAGAATACATAAATAACTACGAACAATAGAATAATCTCTCGGTTTTACTATAATTTCAAAATACCGAATCCAACAACACAAAAATACATATATCATTATAAAACCTTAAATAAAAAATATTGAAATGACGGAAATTGTCATTACTGAAATCATACCTTATTTGCATCGAGCCAGTTAATAACACGAGTGTAATCTCCGTATAGGCGATGTATATCTGGAGCTGAAAAAAAATTCCTTTCGTTTGCATCCTTCCACTCTCTCTTAATCTTTTCCGCGTATGATAGAAGATCAGATTTGGCATCTGCGATCTGTTTGACACATTTTGTCAAATTAAATTTGCAGTACAAATTTATCTAAAAACGCCATAGGTGAGACAAAACATATGTTGCATGGTTAATCATAATTTTCGCACAACATTTTACAATATTTGAATATAACAACTCATTTTTGTGGAAACAACCATACACATATACTCGTCTCCATCTGTTAGCCATATGTTACCATACAAAAAAAGATTGTTCTAAAAACCTTACTACACGGCATAGACAGGCCATAACTCTCGCTGTGCCAAAAGAAAAGAAATCAAATCTATAATATTTATTATTTTACTCTTTCAAACAAGCAGTAGATCTAATTTTAACAAATTCACATGTTACCGTCATTTCAAAAATTCAAAGACTCAGGAAATATTCTACACTTAAAATTTTTTTTTGTAGGCATATAAATATAAAACTCCTTTCAAATTATCCTGAATGAAAGTTTTGAATTTTATGCACTTCTACACTAAGATATAATGCAGTTTTAATACATACTGTTGTATAGTTTTCTTTTCTAGCACTTGAATGCCTGCTTAAATTTGGTTTACTTTGACCTTGCGTTCCATAAGAACGATGATCTTTCCCACGTGTCTTTTGTGACTATAAAAAATAAAAAATTAGTTGAATACCTTATTTATATATCCCAAGTGTTTCAATAGCATTGCTGCAGCAAGACTTATTGATATTATATATTGTATATCAAATAATTTTGCACAAACTTGCTCAAATCATGCTCAATGTCGATTAGAATAAATTTCCGATAAAAAATTTTCATGAAAATAATTTCAGGGTATAAATATTTTTATCATTTTCTAATATCAGGAAGCCTACCAAGGCACAATGATGTTGTTGACCAAGGGTCACCAAATTTTTTTGGCCGCGGGCCGGGTATGATTCAAACTGTGTTGGACAGGCTGGACAAATATTTTTGACAATGAAATACAAAAAATTCACAAAAATTGGGAAATCCATTCAATTTATTCAACAATATATATTCTACATTTTTGAAGACTTGAATATTAAATTCTATATATATCGCAGAATATAGATCGAGAACATCTTAGAAAAACAAATATACAAGACTTTTATATATAGACGACAATCCTGAGTTTAGCTGTTATTAAAACGTTGCAGTCATGAATTAGGAATGTTACACAATCCGCTTTTTCGCGCCAAAAAATGTACGCATCACGTCTGCTAAGTACCTTTACGCCGTGTCGAAATACGTCTCATACGAACGACTACGGACTGCCTGCTAAAGAATGGAATTCCATGAAATTTTGACATAATATGAATAAAATAAACAACTATTATATGGTATTTGATATTTATTTGTTAGCGCATAAGTTTCCCAACATTCGGAGCTTTTAAAATTACGCTCAAGTTATACATGGTGCAAATTAATGATATTGTCTATGGATACCAAATTTATGTGAACGTGTGTATTTCTTCTCTAATTTGATACTTACCAATTTTTATGAAGTTTGCACAATCAGAACATCGTTAAATATTACCCACAATGAACCACTGTCAAACCAACATGCACATCTCCAGCGTTTATTTGCGACGATCTTTCGGCGGTGTCAAAACTGTCGCCAGAATAAAATCCTGAAATAGTCTCAATTATCCATGGATGTGACGCAGATCGAAAGATTAGTGATTGATATGTGTTTTTTTTTATATTTATTAAAGTTCTTATCAAAAAAGCTATACAATCTTTGTGGAAAAATTTGGCCTGTCGGGTGGTACTAAAATTCCGATATCTCCGTTATTTCTTGACCGTTTTTTATAAACTGGGTATTGTTTTCTTATTTTTACTCAGATCTATCCACTGGCGCAGATTATATTTAAATCGGATGAACTTTATTTTTTTTTGTGACTCACCTACATGAATATCCTTATTTAAGCAGTACAAAAATTAGTGTGACTTGTGAAATTGGAGCAGTACGCGAGGGATACAGTACTGTTAGCGCAAAATGAACATTCGACGTTCATTTTAGCACAAAGACGTAAACAGTAACGTCGAATGCACGCGCCACGAGTGCATCTTTTGCAGTAAACGTTGCCTTCCGATAGAGAATTTCGGCCTATGTTGTCACAGCTATTTCAAGACTAACTTTTTTTATTACTACTATTGAAACTACAACTCCGAAAGAGGCAAATGATGATTGACCTATTTGATTCATACTTAAATTTCCCAAACACAACCTGAAACTAACGAATAGCATTCAAAATCGCAAAAACTAAGTATTGTTTACAACCACGACTGAAAATCTTTCAGGGTGACGAAAATGTCTGAGCGGATGCGAAAAGGCTCATTATTAAGTCAATTTTTTGCATCTTGCTGATTTTCTAATGTTACGAAATAAACAAGGAAGACGATGCTCAGAAAATAATATCTTAGAAAAATATTTGGCCATTTTGGCCCTCGCATCGCCGCGAAACTACCCCAAAACGTTGCATTCTGGCAGTTGCACACGCAGCCGGAATTATATTTTCAAAAATATAAGTAAAATTTTTTATGTTGACTTTTACTTTTATTGCGTACATTTATCGCCACGATTGTATATCCACCAAAGTCATAAGATTTTACTCGGAAAGTTTAGCCGAGATATCAGAGAGACGTTTTGAGTAAGAAAATCATGAAAATTAGCTCACGAGCCTACTACAGAATCAATTAGATCAAGTGCAGCCTTTCGACAAAACGAGTGGGTTGCGATAATGAAGAATATGCTGATATCGACAGTAATCTACTATTATAAACGATGAGACACCCTAGCCCAGGGGTGGGCAACCCCTGCCACGCGTGCGGAACTAGGCACGCGAGCCCATTCATTCGGCACGCGAGCGAGTCCGCGGAAACGCGATCATTCTCCTTCAGATAAAATGTTTCAAGACTCTGAATTATCCGATGAAACTCGGTTTTCGTTTATTCAATATCGTTTAACAATCCGTTATTTATTTAAACCCTTGTTGTCTTTTCATGACACATGGCTACAAAAATACATTACGAAGTAACAAAATTCTTTGGCTACATTCTTACATAGGCTAAATATTGTTCGTCTGTGTCACCCTCTCCCTTCATTTATGCTTATGAAGTTATGAATCCCATCTTGGTTAGAGTTACTTGCAAATTCACGATTAGAAATTGATTTCGAAAAAAAAAGCGAATAGGGAAGGAAATACAAGGAGAGAGTGCAGAAAACAAACTATTGCGTGATTGGGATGTCATTCCCGAAAATTTTCCATCACTTAAAAATGTTGCAATTGCATTACCCTCCAGTAAGGCTGGGAATGGTTATTCGACTTCAAAAATGATTACGTCATCTCAAATTTATCTCCTGTGGCGTTCAATTCAAAAAAATATCACTAACTGTATCTATAAGGACACACTTATTGTAAAAAATATTTGAAGTATCATGATTGCCGATTATGAAAATCTACAATGATGAATTCAGAATCAGGTTTAGGTCAAAATACATTGTTCCCGATCTTATTGCAAAATCGTATATTTAATGTCATTCAACACGTATGCAATAGATGCTGTTTTTTCCTTATGATAACTCCAAGTAGAATCTGCACATCGAGCACTAAAAATTTGAAACATAAAGAACATTTAATGACGGGATCGGGTTTTAATAAAATACTTCCATATGTCCGAACTAGCAGAGCGATCATGAAACTAGCTCGATTCGTGAATAATTTCGAGCGATACCGAAATAAAATCACCCGAAAAACTTTGGAACCATTGTGACGTAACAACACAAGCATAAATTACAAATTATTGCGGGAAACGTTACGCTGCGGTTTACCGATTAATTCTACCCGGTCTACGGTTAAAGTGTTTTCCCTGAAATTCCCAGCCCTACTCTCCACGTTTTCATCTACATATGCTTGTGAATCTCTGCTATCAGTTATGAACTTTATGAAGTCTCGTAATAGTAGCCCGAAAGATGAAATCGGTAGTTTGTGTATTTCTTCCAAAGTTACTCTATCAGTTCTATATTTCTCTATTACTCTATCTCTATCAGCGCTAATGCAGCAGCAGGAGTCTCACTTATATAGAATAAGAAAAGTAATCAAATACATATTTGTTGAACTCATATTTTCCCGAATAGTGAATCTGTCTGCACATGTTTAAAAGAGCTGTTATTGTGTATCTTTGCTTTGAAAGTGTTTTTAATTTAATTGGCACGCGGAAGAATCTTGTTGCTGAATTTAGCCGATTTTAGCACGCGAGCCGAAAAAGGTTGACCACCGCTGCCCTAGCCCAACCCCGTGCAACTAACTTGTCCCGTTATGGCGTCATATGAACGTCATTTTCGATCTTTCGGGTTGAGTAGAGTAACGCAAACAAGCCTAATTTTAGTAGTTTTAAAAGGTTATTGGGAAGATTTAATTGAGTAGTTATATTCCGAAAGGTATATATAAGCTTTGCTCTAGCCTAGCCTATGTTAATTGTAAGATTCCCCTGAAGCAAAGACGCCACAACTGATCGGTTATGACGTCATAGTATGGATTTCGAGTACATGTATTGACATTTTTCTCATAAAATGAAGGCATTATTATGATAAATACTGTTCGGTTAATTTATGCTTAGCATACTTTGTTTTTAGAGTTGAATTGTTGAGTTTTTCAAGGTTATTAACTCATTTATTCGATCGCATTTCAATTTTCGCAAGGCTGTTTTATCGCAGCAGGGTAGTTCACGTAATGGCTTATCGGTTGCATCTAACTGGGCAAACTACTGAACTACAGCAGCTTGAAAATGTGTGCATGAGCCTCTATCAATATTTGTGGCGTTTTGAAAGATTTATTGCAAATAAGAAGCGCTTGGCAAGTTTTTACATCCATTTTTCTTCAACCTATTTAATTCAAAAAAATCAAATGGTACAGCCATTTTGAACAAAACAGTCAGAAAAAAAACTTCATTTAAAACAATTGTTTTAAAACAATTCTTTTTGAACAAATCCCTACTCCGAACAAGGCCAATTATAATCGCCACTGGATTCTTACGATAAACTATTTTTAGGAATCTTTCCTGTTCGGCATTGCCTACCAAAGTCATCTGGTGAGGTCAGTCATGCGAATTCAACCCGAGATGAGTAATCTGCGATACCAAGATGGTTAAGTCTAATATTTTGCGGCTCCCAGATGTGTTTCAAAGTTTTGGTATTTGGTATTCGGTATTGTAAAATGCTAAAATTACTAATTTGTTTTCCAATTTTCTTCGCAATGATACGCAAAATTTCCTCAAAATTTTCTGCGGTGAAAGATGGACTTTTTTCAAGAAGGTTATTACTTTTATTTATTTCAAATATTTCTGTTAGTGCTTAGCGAAAGTGAAAAGTTGTTTATTCCTAACAGTGGACTGTGGTATGATTTTCGGAAATTGGCGAAATGCTCTACGTGTCCATATATTGAGCACAGCTCTCCTGTTCTTATTGACTTTTAAATAATTTTGGCAAATAGCGCATACAGTCAACAAACTAAACCGCATAAAATTATTTTATTAGAGGTTGTTTTGTTTTATTTTTATTTTTTCAAACTCAACTTACCTCATTTTTTTGATGCAGATATTGCTATCAATCCAGTTAAAATAGTCTATGGGGTTGCAAATTCCTACATAAACAATTTATTAATCAGGAATCAGACTTGAGATCATTCAGCTTAATGTCAATAATCCACTATCGTTTCGATAGTGTTAAACTGAATGCTATAATTTCTATGGCTCAATGGCCACTCAATAGTTCAATTAATTAATCCATTGGCCCGGTGGTTCCTTACCACTGTGCCGTGGGAGATTAGGGTGCCCTGGAATGAATATTGGTGTGCCGCAAAATAATTTCATTTTCGAATTTATTTCAAGTGATTCCAACGGACAGTTGAAATTTAGCATACAGACGCGGATTATATTTAAAACTTGGAAAGAAAATGAAACTAAACTAACTACTCAGGTATTTAATCATACTGCAAGCCAAGCACAGAGAGCGTGTTGTCACATCGTGATGCCGTGAACCTTCTCTGCAACTTATTAATTCTCTGGATGAAATTAGTTCCCAGGATTGTTCAATGAAAGTAGTTATCGTTATCATATTTTAGCATGAGGCGGTAGTAGAGGTATGTGGAGTGACCGTGCGAAATTCCGGCGAATTTTTTTTACCCATAATTCAAAGCAGTGTTCCCTTCCAAAATCGTACATTGAAGGACCATTACCGCGACATATAGAAATGTACATTGCTGGCAATCAGATTTTATCTGAGAAAATTAAATGCGATATTATGATATATCCCACATTAGGAGTTGAAATATTTTTATTTTACTTTATGTACACTAAATTTACTTGTGTTTAGAATGTAGAAAATAATGTGGATCTGTATCAGTTTAAAAGATATGAAGCAAAGAATGGCGATAATTGACAAAAAATTTGCAAAAGGGCGTTACAGGCAATTCAATTGCGATTTTCTAAAATATCCCATATTAGGAGCAGAAAGCAAGCAATAAAAGCAAACAATCTCGATAATTAACGAGAAATGTCAAAAATGGCGTTTCTAAGCAATTCAACTGCGATTTTTTAGAATATCCCACATTAGGAGTGGAAATATTTTTATTGTACATTAAGTATATTAAGTTGACTTGTTTTAAGAATGTAGAAAATAATGCGCATCCATATTAGTTCAAAAGATATAAAGCAAACAATGTCGATAACTAAAGAAATAGTGTCGATACTTAGCAAAAAACGTAAAAAAGGGCGTTTCGACGAAATTCATCTGGGATTCTCTAAGATATCCCACATTATGAGTAGGAATGTTTTTATTGTACATTAAAGTATATTAAAATTTACTTGTTTTTAGAATGTAGAAAATAATGCGCATCAAATTTGGAACTTGGATCGTCAACCAAAAAACACCGCGCCGTGTATCTTTATATAACAGCCGCATTGAAAAAGTAAATCAAGAAATCGAGTAGGGCAACTATCGTATTCATAAACATCAGCACTCCGGCGTCAGAAATGCTAATATTTTGGTATAAAATTGCGACAGTTAATTTATAAACGGTGACAAAATTAATCAAAGTCGACAAAAAAGACGAAATTCGTAATGAAATCCCGAATTCAACCCGATATTGGACAATTCAATAAAATTATTCGATTCGATGAAAATACACCATTTTACCAACCCCTTACGATCTGTAATCACGCCAGTAATCTGGCGAAACGCGCGGTAGTCCAAACACTTATGCAATGAAACTCATCAAAACCTCACTAACTTTAGTAAATTCCACTACCTCACGAACGCAAAAACAAATAAAACGGTTATCTTTTTCGGCTAGATTATGCGGTCGGAAAAGTCGAATAAGCGTTTCGACAGAGTAAATGTTATGATCTTTCCCATCAACTTATGCATGGGCCTTGCACGAAATTCATGAAAATGATTTATAACCCAACTGAAAATTGTTTATTCCCAACTTTAAACCCCTTTTGGTGTTTATAGCTATAATAATTAAGTGTTGAATTGAAATACAGTTTGTTTGCCTCTTTACTTTCTCTCGTAAGTACCGTCAATAACACTATTGCATGGTTTTGGCAATGGGAAAAACATATTGAATTGTAACAAAAATGAAATAGGTTGTGCAAAAGTGGGAATACACATGATAATAATAAGGGCGTATGGTGGAACGGCGAGTAAAACCAAAGCGCGTGATCGGCGGTGCGCTTGAAGACCAAGTATTACACGTTTATCCGCGCAAATTTTACAATAATGTGAGGTGTGCTCCAAAGGCGCTCTCGTGTACATTGATGTAAGAAAATAGTTGTAATATCGGTAACTATTAACCGTTTTTTCGCGTTCGACTATCGCACTCTTTATGAGTAGAATATATTTCGTGATTTGTGATAGGTGTGGCGCGAATATTTAAAGAGCTCAATAGTGTGCAGCGATATAATAAAGATTGGGAACCACTGCAATGGCCCTTCGTTTATACAAAAAAGATTATTGAGTATTATATCAAACAAGTTGAATGGTTGAAATACCTGATTTTTCTGTTGCAATTGGTGCTGATATTGTTTTTTAATTTGTTGGAGGTTATTCTGTAGATATTCGTAGTCAGTCATAGAAGCCTTCTAAAATCATATATAATATCTAGATATATTTAAATATATATATATATATATTATAAAATATAAGTGAATGCTTGCAACATTTACATCAAGTTTTAAAGTTTGATCCGCATGAAACGTCTGTTTTATAGCAATTATGATCATATATTTATAATTTGTGATTTTACTTCACTTTCACTCTTGAAACCTACCGGATGTTTGATAATCCAGGCGATAATGTCAGAACATGCACGTTGTAATTTATCTTTATCTACAAGTTCTTCCGTTCCCGTCCCATCAATCATATTTTTTATATCTTTGTGTAATGCATGAAGCTTCTGATGGGCATCCTGAATATAATAAAACTGATCGAACTGTCTCATCCCGGTCGAATAAATTCCGAAAGTAATATGACTTTTAACAATTTAATGACTGGAAATAAATCGAAATTTAATGAATTTGAATATTTGACATAAAGTTAGTACTTGAGTTCAACAACTAAGAGCTTATCAGAGTTGGGTGCTTTGAAAAATGTTCAGGACATTGACTTATGTTTATTTTGCAAGCCGAATTGCCAGTTTTCTTTCACAAAAGTGATTTCACATAATACATAAACGCATGTAAATTTATCCGTGAATTAAAAACTTGATATCAAAGTATTACCCTATGAAGCAGTTGTGGCGAATAGTAGGATTGATTTTCGTAATCTGGAAGATCCCACTTTCCTTTACCAAGTAATTAATTTATTAATGTTACTATTTGATATTTACACTAAAAACTAAAATATACATTACCATATCCTCTTGTTTTAAATTGTCAAAAATTGGCACAACATTTTTTTTAAAACTGTTTCTTCTTTGTTCAAACTCGACTGATTCTAAGGTCTAAACAGAAGTTTTAAAAGAAGTCATTATTGCAATTTTAATAAAAAAAAAAGTAAGTAACTGATCAAATTTCAGGGCAGTATTTTGGCAAATACCGAACAAGATTTATCTTATAAGACATTCTCAATATACTAGTAGGAAAAATACAGTTAGAAAATCTAATTTATGGTAAAAGCTAGTGAACATATTTTATAAATATAAATCTAATTACGTAAAAAAAGTTTTGCAAAAACAAATCAAAAAAACAATTTTCCATAATCCAACGATTTATACGTTATAATATAACTAACTCAACACAATAGAACAAAATACTTTACAAGCATATTGTACCTGATGATCCCGCATCCAAGTTAATTGTACTTTGCATTGAAGAAGATAAGGACGTTTCTCCCGTGACGATAATCGTTCCTCAGTAATGCTATCCAAGTAATCGTGAACTTCCAAAACGTAGTTTTTGAAAGCTTGTCGTGCTGACCGCTGTTGTTCTTCTTCTTCTTTACGCATTCTATTTTTTATCTACAGTGAATGTTGAAAAAATATTCAAAATCAAGTTTTATAAATTAAGGAATCATTATTTAAAATTTAGACCTACTTCACAGGTTAAATTGCTTGTTAGACGACAAAAATAATTTTGTCATTTAATTATATTGATTGATTGGTTTTTAATAATACAATTGCAGTGAAGAATTTAATATACTCGTAACAATCAAATCTAATTAGCATTGATGTGGCCATTGTCACCTTATCGCAGTTTCAAACTTGTATAATATAACATTTGTTTGCATGTGCTAGGGTAAAGTTAGCCTGAAATTTTCAATGTATAGATACTTGAAATATTACCTTCTCTTGTTCACTTAGTTTGTCTGAAACATACTGTTGAATTTCTTCCAACTCTTCCATTTTAGATTCATACTCGGATTTGACGGCCGTCTAAAATGTAGTTTTGTGTGATTGATTACAATTCACATCATGCAAATTATTTGGATGTAAACAACATTACTATTCAATAAAAATGTAAAATGAAATACCATTAACTCTAAAATTTATCAAAGTTAGCATAAAACATTTCATAAATTGGGAGAAAATTTTTTTTTGAAGAAAAATCGAAAACTACACAAAAAAATGTTCCGGCCCGAATATATTCAATATACAACCAAATTAATGTAAAATTTAATTCTTACACAACTTTAATAGCAGCAAAATATTTTTTTAATGAAAAACTGTAAATATTAAATACAGTATAGCATTTTATAACACTTTTTACCTTATTTGCAGAAATCCATTCCGTGATTTTATCAACCTCATTTTGTAGTTGTGTATAATTTTCATCTTTGTTTTTTAAATTAACAATATCTTTATTTACTCTTTGTGACAAATTGTAAAGATTTTCACCGAAGCTCTAAATTTTGTATTAAATAAATTCAATGCATAAATAAAAAATATATTAGAGGTACGGGTAGTTTCATAATCGTAATTGTTTTGAAATAAAGACAGTAACCATAAATTCGTATGTAAATTTGTTTGTAATTTTCAATACTAACATTTAAATTGACCTAGTACGTGGAGTTTGTTTTTAGTAGTATAAATGCCATTAGTTACTATGATTGAAAATTGAACGATACGACAATCTGTATCAAACTTAGTATAGAACTATTTAATAGAATACTAAATATGTGATATATAAATTGTAACTGGTCAAGTGAAATTTACCTCGTCCTCGTTTTTCATATTAGTCACGAATTTCATACAAATGCAATTGAAGTTCTGTTTCTCTTTTTCACATTCGGAAGGGTCCGGTGCCTATTAGGCTTGCACGTAATTTACGGATTTACGTAATTACGTAATTATTTGGAGTTACGGAAGGGAAGTTACGAATTACGTAAAGTCGTAATTCTTGCATTGAAACGAGCTTTCTTCAAAGCAGTCAATTTCGTCGATTGCGAAAATGAAAGCTCAACAAGTAGAAGTTAGAGTTCCGGTATTCGCAGCCGTTTTTCTCTCTCTTGTTACGTAGGTGAAGGAAGGCATGACGCGTTGCCATTTACTAACCTATTATCAACTTATCTGGCGTGGCCAATGTAAATTATTAACGTAGTTAATGGGGGAAGAACTGAGTTGGGCCGTTTGACGCCAACACACCTGGTTTTAACTTCTCCCGCAACTTAACCGTAGATAAGGGATAGAATTGCGTTGAGACCGATTGACGCCAACACACCTGGTTTCAACTTCTCTCGCATCTTATCTAGCATGGCCAATGTACATAATAACCGTAGATAGGGGGAAGAATTGTGTTAGAACAGATGGACGCTAACACGCCCGGTTTCAACTTCTTCGGGTGAAATGACTAATGAACGCAGGAGATCAATCTATCAAACATTGTCTATCAAACATTTGTATCCATTTTACTTTTATTTATTATTTACTTGTTCCAGTTTTCCGTTACTTACGGTATATATGTTCCGTTTCTATTTTATAGTCACGCGTTTAAATAGTGGGAATTCCCCACCAAGTGTGGATTAGCAATGCTTAACCATTCTTTATTGTTAATATCAACACTTGATATATGAACATGGAATATCATATTGTTTTTGGCTGTTTCATTTCAGACTTGGGGTATAAACAGGAAAATATCCATAACCTTTCAACACGACTATCTTGTGAAATTTAACGAAGAGCTTTCGCGACGATATGGAACCAAATAAGCGAAAAGAGCGATTGATCACTCGCGCCAATACCTCGCCGTGATAATTATTGTCGCGCTTATCAATTAGCAATATGACGACAAAAGAGAGATTGCGTAATGAACCAAAACGACGGATTCCTCGCGGACCGTTGAAAATTTAACTGCTATCATATATAATCAAATATGAGCCTGTGTGTTTATTCTGTGCGAGATCCATTTTCTATTACAAAATCTTCATGTTCTGTTAACGGTTTTATCGTTATATATCAGTCCGGACTTGGCCTTGCTCATGATGTTTTTCACAATTCCTCTCAATATTTCGGCCATATATGATTAACTGTCTTACCAAATGCGGCAACTTATTTTGATTTATCGTCGACTTGAATACCACCGGCACTCGACCAAACTTTTGTCAATCTTGGCCGATAGGATCGCCGACTTGAGTTAGCAAATAAATGTTGTGAGTGTAAAATAAATGTCACAAAATGCATTGTTTTGCGATATAACTTTGTATTTTTGGAGAAGGCATGTCATATAAGTTCGGTATTTAAATTATACGCAAATAAATAATATTTGATCTAAATTTATCGCAAATAATGTTATAAACATTCAGTCCGCGAAATGATTGAATGTAAAATGAAGCATGGTAATAGGAATATCGTCAATAAGTCGACATCAATATTTATTATTATAAAAATGCTAACAAGGCAGTAATGTCGGATAATGCAGAAAACGCTGCAAAAACAAGTCTTCGTCGCGAGGAAATCGCAAGTATAATTAAATGAGAAAATACGCTCATCGTTGGTTAATAAATTAAAAACCCGTAATTTTTATTCAGTACTCAGGTGGTTTTAAAAAACTATCGTTTCCATAAATATCCGTATACCAGTGTCGGTAATGATAAAATAAATTGATCGCATAAAAATGGGACGGTTAATTTGCGAAGGTGATAAAGAAAAACCAAAGCTAACACAAAAGATAAAAATCAGAATAAAATTAATTTGAATTCACTCCTTGATAGTTGTCTTTAACATCTGCCGCCGGCGTGTAGTACTGCCAAGAATAGGAAAACCCAACTTCAATGTCCCATTCGGAAAAAAAGTGGATTCAATTGGTTGTTACGATAGGTTTAAATGCGTGGAAAAATATCGCAATTACGGGGTCATTACGTAATTGATTTTGCCGTAATTACGGAATTGATTTTTGTCAATTACGTGCAAGCCTAGTGCCTATTGATTAAAAAATATATTTTTAATTTTTGATGGCTAATAAGGATAACAGACGCTTTTTTAACATGTTAGCCAACCACAACTAATATTTGTAATATAAACCAGTTTACTGCGGTAATGAGTACAACCGCAAATTGGAAGTAATATTCAAAATCCAGATTATTTTTAAACTTCAACTGCAGACCTCATTGTTTGAAGTCCATGATAACACGCTTTCGCAACTGTTTATAAGACCAGTTTGCGTTGGAGGCGGCAATCTATCTTTGTTGGCTGGGTTGAGAATGTAGTCTCTAGTATTTCTTACGTAGTTTATTAAACTCCTTCTGGCCTCCTTTTGCTCTTTCTGAAATAATTCATATTGACTTCCACAGTTCATAATCAACTAAAAACACTGATTTTTTTTACTGTGGGGTCTCATATTAATTTGAGTATAAATATCATTTTATTATACAAATGTAGTTTAAAAATAAAAGGCTCAGTTAACACTTAAAGTTTGCAGCTTCAAGACGAAACATGGCAAATTTCAAAACGTCTTATATATAAGGTGGTCTCAAAAGTATTTATACAAAGAGAAAAAATGATACGAATGCTGTAATTTTAAAAATGATACAAAAAATATTTTGTAAAATTAGACTCCATGACACAATTAAAAAAAATATTCCAATTTTAATATTTTCTATAAGAAATTATGCAAATAGTTATTTAATACTTTTTTTTGTTTGTCAAACATAGGTTGAGAAACATTTCGCACTTCTTCCTTTTTTAAATCGTAATCACTTTTACTTGCTTCCTGTAATAAAATCGCAGAATATTTGAACAATGTAAAAAATTAAAGCAGAGTTGATTTTCCAGCAACAACTCCAGAAAATTTATACAATTTTACATTGATTGTGGAGATGAAGACATTGATTTTATCTAGTCAAGAATCATCATGATTGTACCCAAATCTACCAAAAAAATTTAAAAAATTTATATATAATAATTTTTCTTGGAATATATATTAACGCACATATATATGAGTGACCTTATTATTAGGGATCCACTGGGTTACTTCGTCACACTTGTTGATGATAGAAACTTTATAGTCGTCACTACTTTGAATACAGGTAGCCAAACTTTTGACATAGTCCACAAAGTTTGTCAAGTCATTTTTAGCTTCCTAGAACAATTGCTGAAATTAATATTCTTAACGTTCTAAAATACAATTTTTTTGTAAATATATTATATTTTGAATAAGAATAAAATAAGGAGTTTTTTTTTACCATGATTAAAATCAATAGAGTATTCTAACCTTATTTTGTTGTTTTTCCAACTCCTTTAACGGCTGATATATTTCGAGAATGTTGCCATAATACGTTTCACAGCTTCCCCTGGTTTTTATCTAAAGTTTGTTTGCATTATTCCATTAAAGAAGGCTCGCTCTTACTAATGAACAACTACGTTTTTATTAAAATACGGTATTAAATATTTACGTACTTCACCGTTTCTTATTAGTCTCATTATCTATTTGCATGTTGCGATGATGCGCGTTTCTTCATGCGAAGATATTTTGTCCGTTAGAACTAATTCAGATGTGACATTAAAGACTTTATTGGTAAAAATTCCAAGCAAAGTTAAATTCTTCTGCAATTCCATTTCTTCTCTTTTATTCTCCCTTGCTTGTATCTGGAGTAATAAAAGTGAGAAGTACTCGATCCATAACAATTGGTAAGAATGAATTCAACAAATTAAAGCGTTTAAAAATAGAAAAGATGTCTTGGAGCTTTGATATTTCTATCAAAAACAAGCATATTCAGACGTATAGATTTTGTATCGTGGCTATTGCTATTACACAAGTTACATATATTCCATATCGCAATCTTCTATTGGATAAACAGTTGATCCTAGTATAATATTATATACCAAAATGATCATATTAGAAAGCTTTTTACAGGTTCGATTTCAGTATTTTTCATAAACTTTATTTCCACGTTTTTTTCAGTCAGCTGAACGAAAAAATTGTACTAATTTCACCTTAATTTTTATTTGAGCAAAAATTGAATAGCAGTTTTCCTCTATTGCATTTCTTCTTTTATCCATCTCTTTTTGACTTAGATTCTGCAAGATATTTGTTATTTTCAGATTTGAACAATAATAGACGAGTTGGTCTAATAGCTATAGACTAGATTATCATGCCTTTGCAAGGTAAATCGCGGGTTCCAATCCCATGCTGGCCACTCCATCAAGAATATGTGTAGTAAATTGGGTAGGTAAACTGAACCAAATTATAATAGTACCTTGCATAGCGCTTGTTACTTTTGCAGAGCCGAATGCATATAGACAGGTCGTATAAAATGTAATGTTGGCATGCACCTAAGCATGCTACTATCAAAAAAAAACTTGAAGCAAGACTGTATTTTGAAATTAGTTTTATTTCAAATGTTAGGTTAAATCAAAATTATGTAAAATCTCACCGATTTATTGAGCAAATCATTTGCTTCAGCACAGTAGTTATTTATTATTTCTTTTTCCGTGTCGACAAGGTATTCCTCATATTTGGGATCATATAAAGTTTTATTTATTTTGACAAGACATTCTTCAAGTTTTTGTTTTGATTCAGATATCAGTAGGAGTTCTTTTTCAGTTGCGGCCTTTGTGTACAAAATATAATTAATTACTAATAAAACAGAACATTCAATCAGATTGAATAAAATCATTTCATGTAATAATAGTTAAACAAGCATTGTCACAAAACATCACTTTTTTTTAAATCTCTCGTAAACGATGAGGTCGTAGTAAAGTAATTTATTATTTCAGGTATAGTATTTCATTATTATTGAAATTTATAATGCCAATTTTTTCCATACCTTTACGACTTGTTCCATTTTCTCAAATGTATCGTCGATCCATTTTTGAAATTCTTGCGATTTGTCATTTATATCGTTTATTGTCGCATTCTGAAAGATATACAATTTAGTCAAGGCTTCCATCAAGTTTTATCTTATAGTATTTTTAATACATGTATGGGGAGTGATTGAGGTTGTACCATTGAGTGCGCATATGTACAGTAACAGTTATATTTTAATACCTAGTTTTCTCTCCTCCTGAATGGATGTTTTTGATTAGAAGAAAATTCAATGATAGTATTTAATATTCAATACATAGTACTAAATATGTTTTATCTTGTATAAACTCAAAAAAATGACTGATAATGACTAATATTTCAACCTGATTGTCCTCCATCCATTTTCTTAAGTTTTGACAATTTTGAAGAATCTCTGGTTTATCCCTGGCAAACTCATAGTACTGAAAATTGACTCTGCTCTCAGCATCTTCGATAAAGTTTTTCAACTCATTCTGGGCTTCCTTGCAAAGTTCTCGTTTTTCGTCTTCAATTTTTTGCTGTTTCAAATTCATGGTCTAAAATGTTATGACGTCATTTCGAGATTTAGTTTCGTGTATCTACATTAAATAACAACATTTTCTAATAATTAATAAACTAAATAAGCATCCATTTTAAATATTCCAATTCGATGGGTAAATTTCTAAAGATATTACAGAGTCACGATTTCCTAATTTTACATTATAAATATATACAAATAATGAGGAATAAATTATTCGTTCCAACATATCATCGAAATTGCTCGAGATTTTTTGATATTTTTTAAGCCTATGCATAAATTTATTTGCTGAATATATATATATATTTAACAAGAGCAAGTTTAATTTTTGTTTTGTAATAAACTTGCATTACGCATTTTTTCTAATTCTCGAAAAGAATGAGGCGGTGGTCAAGTAATTTGTAATTACAGTTTAAACATTTTAATATTAATGTAATTTATAATGTTAAATATTTTCTCAAACCTTCACGGATTGTTCCATTTTCTCAAACATCGTCTCGATCCATTTTCGAAATTTCTGCAAGTTGTCATTTATTTCGTTCATTGTCGCATTCTGAAAGAATACCCAATGTTGTCAAGGCTTTCATCATGTTTTATAATATAGTAAGTTTTAATACATGTATGGGGAGTTATTAAGATTATGCCATTGAGTGCGCATTTGTACAGTAAAAAGAATTGTTAAAAAATTATATCGTGTCTGAAAATAACAGTGACATTTATATATCTAATATTCTATCGTCCTGAATTTAAGGTTTTGCTTCTGTCGTCAATGACAGCTATAATTTTAAACATTTCTATAACATTTGCTCTCGTATTGAATTATTATTGGTCAGAATAGAATAGTCAATTGTATTTTGTAGAAAAACCTACGTGTAAATAATAAGTTAATGAAGATATTATCCAAGAAAAATTATCCAACCTGGTTGTCGACCATTAATTTTGTCAAATTTTGACAATCTCTCAGAATTATAGGTTGTTCTGGGGCAAACTTAAAACGCTCAAGTTTGGCTTTATTCTCTGCATCATTGATGAAAAATTTCAAATCTTTCCTTGCTTTCTGACGCAATTTATATTCTTCTTCTCTCTTTTTCTGCTTTTCCAAATCATTTGCATAAAAAAGGTATAAGCTTTTTGAGATTCGAATCTACAGTTCAGAATGTTATAAATTAGCAATGAAACATTCAGTTTCAAAATATAATTAGGATGGATGAAATCCTAATTTTTTTGTCATTCAAAAACCCTATTTTTTTGGAATCAATATTCTTGTTCAATAAAGAATTATTATTGAAATAGCAAATCTTGGTCATCCTCTTGATTATATGGAATATAAATTTCAACTAGGTATCATCTGTTTTAATTTTCAAACAATTAAAACAAAATTCTGGTATTGCAGTGTAGCGTCTCTAGGAATCCGACTTTTTTTTCAAACAATCTAAGATATTTTTAATATGCATTTTTTAAATTAACTTAAACACAACTTGCCTGTTCTTCTCGTTTCTTCTCTAATAGTGGAAGGCAAATTCTATCCAATTCATTTCTTTTAGTGGAGCATTCATCGACACTTGCATTCTTTAAACATACATAAAAAGATGATTGTTAGACGAAAATGTAAATTTAGTATAATTCATGAACAATCAAAATAAATAAAGATTTAAAATTTTGTTTGATTGGGGATTTACAACATTTTAACAATTTAAGTCATTTATAACTACAGAAAAAAATTGTTCGTTTACAATTTCAATATTATGTTACATTTTGTTCAAATATTGAATCATCACTCGGTTAGTTTCACTATGTTAGTTTCACTTCACTATGTTAGTTTCAAAGCAGCTGTTTGAGTCATATTTCTTGTTTCAGGTAACTTGAGAGAAGGAAAAGTTTTAATTTATCTTTAATCACCTAATTATTCAAAGAAGAATATAATGCAGGACATACAGAGCCAAGACAAACCTGATTTTCATCTAGCCACTCTAAAATTCTGTTGCATCCAGAAGTGATTTCCTCTTTAACATTGTTTTCTAGTTTGTCTTCATACACGGCACTCGTTATGGATTGTTTGATGTTGTATACATATTTTTCCAGAGCATTGCGCTCGTCACTTGCTTTTGCTATCATATCATCATCCATCTGAAATTCTGCATGCTGTTCCATCTAGAAAATACAAGAGAGAATTGCTCAAGTTTATGAATAGAAGGTCAAAAGTCACAAAAATGTGTACCCAGGTGTATGGTGTTCCGTGAATTGACAATAAAAATCAAGATTTTAACGAAAAATGTTGGGTTCTAAATTATTATTCAGGGATAGTTTAAAATTACTTTCTATCATTTTTGTGAAAATATCCAGATTGGATTACTGGAAATAAAATTGATTGTTCCATTAGTATTAGACTATTAGTGAAGGAAATATTTGGCCAATAACGACAATAACCAACCTATTAACTATTTGAAAACGGATTCATACGTCGTCTCCCCAAACATATTCTTACTTGATACAGAGATTCAAAAAATTTCAAGGTTATTTAGTATTCTATTGAGTATAGTATATCGCAAATTCTCCCTGCCACATTTACGTTTTATTCTATGATCAGGGGTTCCGAAACTAAAAGTCGCGACCCCAAATTGGGTGATAAGTAGGTAGGGTCGCAAAAAGATCATGGGGTCGCTGAGGTATGGTAGAGGATGGATGTACAAATCATCTAAGATTTGACAAACCATGTTAAATTTAGCAGTTTGCATCATGGCTCACTGTAAAACTGGCCCATAGACATCATAACCATAGCATTATGCTATAGAAAATGTAGGTGCCCATTGTCACATCAATGTTTGGTTCTTAGCTTATTTTACTTAATACCACCACATGACCAAACACAAAAGGCTAGTGAAAGAAGCTCTAAAGTTTCATGAAAAATATATATAATGACCTGGGGTCGCACTGGACACATGAAAGTTGTCTTTGGGGTCGACCTGAAAAAAGCTTGGGAACCCCTGTTCCCTTATGATGACCATAATCTCGTGTAAAAAAAAAACTTTACTATGGTTATCAAGAGAAACGAGAATAGTAAAGGAGTAATTCCAAAACTCAAGTTTCCAATTGAGAATACGAGAGTAAATGTGAGACTAAAAACTGAACGAAAAATACAGTAGAGTTTTTTTGGAGCAACACAACACATGAAAACGCTAATTTAAACAGTGCAATTTTCCAAAATGTCTTTCGGCCACGGACACATGAGAAAATCTTTTGAACTAAAATGAATTTTACTCATTTGAGATTTATTTTATTGAGGGTTTATTCCATCGGCAATAACGAAATCGGAGAATCGCGAAATACGAATGAAAACAAATTATAATCTGACAGTTTACTATTTTTTTGTCGCGTGTTTTCGTGTTATCCATGATTAGTAATGCGGGAACATTAGCGTAAGCGGAATAAATTATATAATAAAACATTTTAAATGCTAGTATTGGCCATGAATCAAATATTTTGGGAAAAGAATAAAATCATTATCCGTTAAAATTGTTTGCTCGTATAGAACAAGTGACGTAATGGCGACTACTGCTTCATTAGCCTAGTCAATTATTTTATTAATATTAATCATTCTGTAAATAGCAATCATTCTCTTATAATATTTTGCTAATGTTATTAAAATTAACATTGACAATTTTTTTGTTCATACCTCAATGGCTGCCTCCATTTTCTCAAAAATGTTCTCACTCCATTCTCTAAACTTCTTCAAGTTGTCATAAATATCATTTGGCGTTGCGTTCTGAATCCAAATCAATTAAAATTTATGATCTAATTTCGTGTATAAAAATAATTTTGGTACATGCTTAGTGAGGTTTTGCGTAGCGATTTTAACGTAGAAAGATTAATATATGTTGATAATTGTCTGTTTCCTCAGTTTTCATCAAAATTGATACTTATTGGAATAAATTTAAAAACCTACGTGTGCGTATACATAGTCAAAGTATTTATTTAATTTCTGTCGATAAAAATTACATCTTAAACTTTATGTTGCTCAAGCCTTGGATTAATAATTAGAATTACCTAGTTCTTTATGCCCTCGCATAATACATATTATGTGACAGAAAAGTTAATAAATCAATGAACATGAGTAACGAAAAACTGATAGGACCTCGTTTTCTTTGATCCAGTTCCTGAATGTTTGACAATTTTGAAGAATTTCTGATTTCTCTTTGACAAACTTTTCGGAAGCACTGCCATTTGACTTTGCTCTCTGCAGTTTTGATGAAGCCTTTTACATCATTCGTCGCTTTTTTAAGTTGTTTGTATTCTTCTTCTTTCTTTTTCTGCTTTTCCAACATTTTCGCCTAAAATGTTATAGGCAATTTTGAGATTCAAATCTACAGTTCAGAATATCATAAATAACCAATGAAACATTCAATCCTACAATATACATAATGGCTTCAATCCGATAGTATACATTTTAGCAGATTTATGCTAATACATTGAACATAATTATTGTATAATTGGAATGAGGTTATTGAACATAATAACAATAGAAAACTCCGATTTTAACTTAGATATATATGAAATGAATATATATTTTTTTATATGAGTATTCCATTTATTTTTTAATATATAAACATGATATTTTAAAATATAATCTGAAAAACGGAATTTTTTATTCCAACAATATACGAGATTTTTTAATATTAATTTGAACACAACTTGCCTGTTCTTCTTGTTTCTTTTTTATTAGCGGAAAACAAGTTGTATCCAAATCATTTCTTTTTTGTTCGTCATCACTTTCATTCTTTAAATACATATAAAAAGGTGAATGTTGGGCGGAATGTTCTCAAAATTCACAAACAGTCAATTTGAAGACAACTTTAAAAATCTGTACTTTTAAATTAGCTTCAATCACTAAATTATTCTAGTAAACTCACACAGGCCATAAACTTCAGTTTCCATATGAAATCAAAAAAGAGATATCACTTTTATTTTGTCCAAATTTATCTGAAACCATCGGATCCCACATTTGGACAAAAATTTTATTCAATTCCATGCAAACACTGTTTATGACGTGTTTTTCTTATGCCTCACGTATATACCATGTACAAGAACCACTAACATCCAACTATCAGAAAAGTAAATTCGGTTTCACTTGTTAGCTGACCTATTCCGAGAAATCTCAAATTTATATTGAAATTTTGTAGAATTCATAAATCAAGCAAGATTTTTCTTTTCTACGTATCCTGAACCTGCTGGTTTTGTCTGTTTATTTCGAGAAATAAATTATAACCGAAAAACTTTTTTAACAAAAAACCTTGAAAAAAAAATTATTTGAAATACCTCTTTATCCCTACATATTCGTATGAATATTGGGTGGCAGCAATTCTGAAATTCAATTTGTTGTTGAAATAGAGTTTCCCTCGAAGCATTCTGAAAGAAATGTATAAGATTTCAATACTCTTTTAAACGTCTCGTACTCAAGACTGGTTGAATTTAACTGAATTTGTAATTTGTGTAGAATTTTGCATTTATATAAAAAAAATCAAATTGTTTCTGTTATCAACAAAAAATAAAAGTCACCTTGTTTTTGTTTAGCCAATGAAAAACTGATTCACATTTATTCAATAATATATATTTATCTTCTTTGTTCAATTTTCCCTGTGAATCAAGAGACATGGTGGATTCCTCTGCGTTGAAAACCAAAGTTTCCAGCTTTATTCTCATGTCTGCGATGTTTCTGAGCTCAATATCATCCAATTTATATTTTTCAGCCTCTTGTACCTAAGAAGAGTTATAATACAATTTCGAATTTCAAATTATTTTGTTTGATGTGGAATTTATATGCATTGCCATTTGATCACAAAGCGCAAGAAATAAATCAATATTGTTTTATATAATATTGAAGTTTTTTAAACGCCAATATTGGTTAGGTTAGAAAATGTTCCACATCTGTGCCACTTTTTTAATAGCCAGGTAATACCACAGGTTCTGTGGTTCATGATAAACCTCAAACCTTACCATAAGTTCTATTTCTTCCAGGGTAAGTTTCAATTTAGCAGCTTCGAGTTGTAAATTGTTTTTGGTTTCCAGTAATTTTATCTTTCGCCGTAACTGTTAAAATTCCACTGGAATCGATATCAAAGCAGACATCTATACGGGGTATTCGTCGTGGTGCAGGAGAAATTCCCGATAAACTGAAGGAGCCCAAGTGTTTATTGTGCATGGTAGACGTTCTTTCGCCTTGGTAAACCTGTATTATGAATAATGAAGAAAATTGTGAAAATATTGTGATATTATGCCATTACATTGTCAAACATATATATATGCCTTCTTTTGTGGAGGCCATAACGTTAAGCCTATCCTGTGCCAACTTCTCAGATACGAAAGATATACATATACCAATAGAAGTAAACAATTCTAATTTAATCAATTTGTAAAAGGCTAATTTCAAATTACACAGACTAGAAATGATAATAATACTAACCGAAAATTTAATAAATGTTTGATTATCAGCAACAGTGGTGACTGTTTTGTAGTGTTTAGAAGGAATTTTTGAATTTTTGTTAACAACCACAGACATGATATCACCAACAACGTTGATGCCGAGTGGTAAAGGCACAATATCATAAAGAGTAAACTCTTTTATCTGAAAGAGATAATAAATAATAAATTTAACTTTTTACAACGCATATATGAGTGCACAATCAAGAAATCAATTATTTTCTCCCTTTACGCAATATTTATTGCCGCAGATCATAAAATTTTACATTCTAGAATTTCACATAGTACTGCTAGACACATTCTGAATTGAATTTCAAAAATATACAAAATTTTGGACAAGTCTTGTCGTTTATTACTTGACAAATCTATTTTATGGAATCAATGTTGATTTACAACAAAGTCTTCCTCATAATGTCAAATAGTAATTTGTTTTTCCAATGAAGAAACTACCAAAAATTTCATAAAAAATGCCTCATGTAATGCAAGTGCAGTTTTGTCTTTAATTTTCATGTCCATAACGCATTTATTAAATTTTTTTATTGAAAAGGTAGCAAAAACTGTATTTACTTTTGAAGATGCACCAGTACTAAGATCAACAGCAAGTGCGGCAGCCCCATGCGCCACAGCCTCATCCGGATTTATGGTTTTATACAGTTCTTTGCCGTTGAAATACTCTTGGATCATTTTTCGCAGTTTTGGGAATTCGAGTTGATCCACCAACCAATACGACTTCGTCAACCTGAAATTATGATTAATACATAAAAATGCGATTTAACGAAAGTTTTCAAGCAATATTCTTTCATAACAATTAATAAAAATTTAAAAAAACGTTATGCTAGTTAAACAACTTCAATCATTGGAATCTTAAATGGACAGAAATCGACCAAAAGATATTTCAAAGATGTATGTGTAAAATGGTGAAGAGGACTAATATTATATTATATTAATTTTTTCAACAAAAACTGATTATTTTTTAACTATTAGATCTTGGGTTCTGATAATTACTATCTTCTTTATAAAGTTACTAAGTTCTGAAAAAATCGACTGTCGATATCTTTGTTTTACACTTTTTCGCCGAGGCCTATTATACCTCGGCAACATTTTTCTGCTAATGCTGTTAAAATTATAGAATTGGTATTGAACCCTTTTATTTACTTCAGCACCTTTTCTTTATTAAACTTTGCGTCAGATAGTGTAATATCCATCGCCTCGATTATTCGCTCGAAGTAATCGTAGTTTAATTCTTCAAATTTGGCTCTACTAATAGTTGTTTTGTAATCCGTCCCGTCGTGAAAGCCGTCAACTTGAACTCTGTAACATGAAAGTTTACTTTTTATCTGCATGATATAATTCTGCAGTGTATATGTTTATATAGTGTATCTTCATTATGAATGTTACACAAAAATTCACAGCACGCAGGTATAGAAAACAATGTTTTGATACAAAAAGAATACCAGCATGACCAGTTAAATGAGTTAACGTTTCCTCAGCTGTGAATTTGGTTCATTATGCAGGCTTGATTGCTTCTTAAACTTACTTTGCTATCATAGATACAGATAATTTTCGTTTAGCTGCTTCACATTGTATTCTGAGTCGGCTCATTGCTCTCTTGTTTTCTGATATATCAACTTTATTTTTTGCGTTAAATTCTTCAACAAAGTGTTTCAACATCCTGTCGTCGAAATCTTCACCTAAAAATTTGTTATGCATAGTAGTTATTGAAATAACAAGTAGAAACAGTAAATTAAAATTTATAAAATAGAGAATGTAAATATAGTCTAAAAAGCGTTCATACTTTTATTAAATTAATAGCTAATTAATTCGTAGCTAATGAAGTTGCAAAGTAATGCATTCCTTATATGTTTTTTCGATAATAAGAAATATTACCTCCCAAGTGGGTATCTCCTCCTGTTGCTTTGACATCAAACACTCGATCTTTTATTGTAATCAGTGTGACATCAAATGTTCCGCCCCCGAGATCAAAAATCAAAACGTGGCGCTCGTCTTTTTTCTGTAGTCAAACAAAATTGATACAAAAGTTGAAAAATTAATATATTAATAATAAATTCACATCAATATGCCATATCGTACTGTATTTAGCAATAAATGTAAAATTTCATTTATTCATCAGAGATAATTTTTTTACCTCTCTATCTAATCCATAGGCAATTGCCGCAGCCGTTGGTTCATTTATCATTTGTAAAACATTGAGACCGGCCATTCTTCCAGCTTCTCTTGTAGCCTTACGTTGAGAATCATTGAAATAAGCTGGTACTGTTATAACAGCGTCGGTGAATTTGGAACCCATGTAATTCTCAGCGGATTCTTTTAGTTGCTTTAATATCATCGCACTAATTTCCTCCGGATAAAATGTTTTTGTTTCATGTTTGTAATTTACCTAAATACGGGAAATTGTTTATTATTATAGATATTGATTAGGTAAAATAAACCTTGACATTATATTGATAGCTGAAGTGGCAATATAGTGTATTATTAAAGAGTATTATGTTAAATAAAAAAATGACATGTACTTGCTAACTTGTTTGAAACTTGAATGTAATTTCATAAGTTCAATGCATACCTGTATTTTGAGTCTATTATTTTGATTGATAATCTTGAATCCCCAATGATTTGAATCTTGTTGGACATTCGGATCATCGAATTTTCTGCCGATAAGTCGCTTAATTTCTATATTAATATATATATAATATGGTAATGGAAATAATTGAAATAAAATAATATTTTTTTTAGGTGAGTATCAAATGACATGTACATTTATTGTTTAAATTTTTCAAGTACTAACTTCAGGAGATTATTTCTTTAATTATTTGTGCCAATCTGTGGAAATTAGTTTTTGTCAATTTGCATTCATTCATTTTGTTAGGTATGCTTTTTTTATTTTTTCAAAGTATTTTTTTATTTTTTCAAATTATATCTGATTTTCAATGAGGTCTAACAATAACAATACCAGAATGAAATAACTATTTAAATATCAGGATTTGAGAAAAACTAAAAATATCAATAATTACTTACGAAATAAAGTATTTTCAAAATTGAATGGTATTTCTTCCTTTGCCGCCTTTCCCGTCAATACCTCGATGTCCGAAAAGGAAACACATGATGGTGTTAATCTGTCTCCTTCGTCGTTTGGAACAATTTCAATCTTAAACCAAAATGGTTCATTTTGTTTTTGTTCAGTTTATATTTTTATATAGAATTTTTTACAAACGGATATAAATGACGTATGATTTAAAATTTTAAATATTAAAATGGGATACATACCCTTCCATTCCTGCGGACAGCAACACATGAAAATGTTGTTCCTAGATCGATTCCAATAGCCGACATGTTTCCGTATTATATTTTAGGTCATTAAAAAAAGTATATATCACTGTAAAACATAACAAGCTTATATAAACAAGTATCAGGTTTGTATCCACTATTGACAAATTTATAGCATGTGCTTGAAATTCTGTAGATTGTGAACAAATAACTTTTATACCAGAACTCAAATTCGTGCATAAATGATGGTGATTCTTGGAACTAAATCAATAACGCTGAGAAACAATTCTACTGTTACCGTTTTCCTGGTAACTTCACGTCGCAACGCTCGCTTTGTGGCTATCAATGCTTTTTGCTATTCATTAAAACTCTTTGCTAGATCATAAACACATACAAAAAAGAAGACTTATAAAGAAATTTATGTGATATTTATTTGATACTCATTATCTTATAATTTATGTTCCGATGGCTTTTGGTCGCCACTTGCGTCTTATGATATACTACACGACTGCTCAAAAAAGAACTACCGATTTTATTGTTATATTTACCGTATTAGGAAGCAACGCTCGTTCACGCTCAATACAAGTATAGCGTATCGAGTGAAATGCACAATATGTTTAATCGTCAGTTGCACCATTAATTAAACAAATATGCTCCTATATTTATATATTCATATGAATAAAAGTTATATGACCCATTAAAATGGTAAAGCTGGTAATTCTTAAGCTTATAAAATAAAGCTTGGAAGCGCAATAAAAAGGAATAGATTTATGCAATATGACAAATAATATTCCCGTAGTAACATGCCTCTGCTGTTTGAAAATCGCCGAAAAGTTTTTGTTGAAATTCCTTCCTCAGTGCTTTATTACATTATGACAATATATCTATTTTATAGTAGAATAAAAGCCCTTTCCTGACGGAAACTACATGCTGCTGGGTTCTGAAAATCACCAAAATTTCCAAATGCACTTCACGCCATTTCAATCAACACGCGTCAGAATGACAAAATTTAATCGTAAAAAGTTCCTGTTTCAACCCAAAATTTCTTGTATCTCATTCTCTGTTTTATTGAACTACCAATTGAATTCATGTGAAACTACGCCAAAATGTTGCGTTCTGCATGACTGCTGCATATGCTGCCGGAATAATAATTTAGAAAATGAGAGAAATAATCCTTGCTTTGAGTTTGACTTTCATCGCTTGAAGTCATCGCCAAGATAGTATCTACACCAAAGTCTTCAGCTTTCAACAGGAATATTATTACTGATATATCAGGCTTTGCAATGCAAGAAATAATAATGGAACACAGCTCGATAACAATAAAAACAATAGGGATTATACCCCCAAATCGTTGACAACCTACGTAGGTTCGAATCATGGCTAGTCTATGCTGATTGTGAGGTCGCCCTCTGTAGCAATGATGTCACAACTAACATACTATTAATTCATGATGGGTATCAAGTTCATGTATTCTGACATCACAAATACAGTTTTTAAATTGCGTAACTTGAAACTATTTAACTATACGTATAAACGACAGGGTAATAGAAAAGTCGTCATCAAATACTGATTTTTAGTGAGATGTGGCATTTTATGTAATATATAATAATGCTTACACTCTTTAAGGATTAGATGAATTAGTATATATATATATAAATATGTCATTATTACGATGGAAACTGTTCTGGTATTTTAAAATTATGCAAATTCATTTTACCTTTCTTCGGGTTATTAAAGGTAACGCAGCGGTCCGATTTTAAATGTAAATACGCGGATTCATAACTATAAAATGCATATTCACTTTGAAAACAAAAGATAATAACAAAGATAAATCTCATTTCTTGTGTACAATCGTTTGTAAAACTTGCAGCTAATTATAAATGAAATACTTGTGAAATTTTTTAGGGTTCAATGAAAAGTCTTTATCGTTGAAATGCTAGTAAGGTATTTCATTTGCTTTTCAGGTAATTATTAGGGAGTTCTGGAAGAATGATATGATGAATTTCAACTCTTTATCTGAAGTTCCAAATCAATGAAATTTACAAATGTTGCATCAAATCCATTTGTATTAAATGGAAGCATTTTATCAGGTATGGCAAACCCTTGGCCCACGAGTTAAAATGAGTTCCCCCCGTGTTTTGAATTAATACATAACGTACTAACATTTCAGTAGCAAACTATTATATTCAAAAATTATTCAGGGTAAGAACATTTCAGTATCGTTATGCCATTGTCTTCATCTCGCTAGTATCCATAGATAAATCTACTACCCGTACCACCAGAATTTCAATAATTTATTGTTGGTTTCTCGCGAAATCGTACAGGCAGGGAGCAAATTATATATGCAGCAAACGTATATGACAATACGTTCACTATAATTAATCTGGCGCTGCGATTGAAAAACTGCAACTGTCGCATCCAACATTTAATTACTCAACCTATACAGCTTCAACTCAACTTCGGTCGATTAATCGACATCTAAATAATCTAACTAATTAACAACATAAATGTTCAATTTCTCGTTGACGTTCACTTAAAATCTCTGTACTTTTAAATATAGAGGCTCGCAATAAAAAATTCAAGAGTATCGTGGATGTCACTCGTATTACAATGTACACTGTCCTTGGCTCGCCGTATGTGTTCAGTAAAGTATTGGAAATATGATAGTTCTGCTTTATATGTTTTGTAACAAATCTTCTATTTGTTGAACACAAGTGAAGCGTAAACAGTGGAATGTTAATCGAGCAAAACGTTCATTTAACATCAATCTTTGAGGGGCAGAACGAACTGTACATTTACAATTGCACTGAACTAAGAAAGACCTTGCGAAATAAAAATAAAGGTCATAAATGAGGCCAAATATTACTTTGAGCAACAGAAAATAGGCACCGTTTGTATGCACGCTCCATTTCTATTTAGGAGGTGTATAAATAAAAGTCTTATACTATCTATAATATATCCTGTTTTCAAAAAGTGAATCATATCGTAGTTTTATAAAAAAAATTCAAAAAACTATTTTAGCTTTACCACGTCGGAAATGTAAAATCATTCATATATGACATTCTATACCTGACCTGGGCAAACTACCTCCCGCGGGGCAAATTCAGCCCGTTTGGGAATTTAATCTGGCCCATCTAAAGCTGCCACAACCAAACTAAAAACCAAATTTTAATGTTTCAGATAAACAATAGCTCAATGAATTTGTTGAGATTGCGATTGAATTTAGTTTCGGCACGAGGCTTATTTTTCCACCTTTGCTTTTGTGGCACTGCAAATATTATTCATGAAATGTAACTTTACACATGCACGGCCCGCCAGTTCAGATGGGCAAAATTGTTGGCCCCTCGTTCAAAAACCTTGCCGACCTCTGTTCTAGACCCTCAGATTCAATAATTGTCTCGGTTGATTTAAATATGTTTGCCAAATTTTGACAACATTCAACAATATTCACCTTTGTTCATCTCAAATCATATATCTGAGCATTCCAGCGCATTACAGTTGTCTGGGTGCGTTATACCAGACTCGCTTTTATTTGTTATTTGAACTATCGCAAAGGGATAGTTATGTTTTATGTATTTTGTAGCAACGCAAATAAAATCTCTGTGTGTTTTGTTGCCTATCTATCAAATGCGCAGACAATCGCGGATTTTACCAACTGATACGCTCCTTCACCATATTCTTGCTTGACCACATCTAACTAATCGCTTCATTTTTTTGAAGCACATGTGTGGATATTTAGCAGTCAAGATCAGATAATCATCCACGTTGATCATTCCTGATGATATGATGAATGATATGATAAATTGTATTTTACATATATTTCAAGATATTTAATGAACATTAGCAGATAGATTGATTCGAGGGACAATATTTAAAAGACATAGGACAAGACATAGTACTCGTCATATACGTGGTAATGTTTGTGACTGCCAAAAAGTCAAAACAATCGAACAAATGAGAAAAAAATATGCAAAACGTAGTCTATTAATTGCAAGACAGAAACCTAGGAGTAATAGAAGTCGCGCAACCTATATGGTTTACAAGGCTCCTTTGTCGTGTAATCCCAGTTGGTTTTATTTACGCAGTAAAGTGAGTCTTGCGTCATTTTCCTAGCGCTAGGTTCAACTTGTATCCTGCAAATGATTGTTCTTTTTGAATCTCAACATACGGAAACTTTATTACTTATCGATCTTGATCGGTAAGTATGTTGATAGGTATTTGTCTGTTTGTTTGTCTGTCTGTTAGACACTTTCGTATGATACGCAATATCTCACGAAAGCGAGGTTGAATCTGCTCCAAATTTTGCCTGTGCATTCGTCATATCTCGGCAGAAGTCTATTAATTCTGGATGTATTAAATCGTATAATTAGCGAGTTATAAATTCATCAGTGATGACACACACGGTGTCACTATGGAGTCATAGCGGATGAATCGAAACCGCAGTTTTTGTTTTTGGGGTCCCCCTCTGTAGCAATGATGTCACAACTAACCTACTAATAATTCATGATAGGTATCAAGTTCATGTATTATGACATCACAAATACAGTTTTTAAATTGCGTAACTTGAAACTATTTAACTATACGTATAAACGACAGGGTAATAGAAAACTCGTCATCAAATACTGATTTTTAGTGAGATGTGGCATTTTATGTAATATATAATAATGCTTACACTCTTTAATGATTAGATGAATTAGTATATATATATATAAATATGTCATTATTACGATGGAAACTGTTCTGGTATTTTAAAATTATGCAAATTCATTTTACCTTTTTTCGGGTTATTAAAGGTAACGCAGCGGTCCGATTTTAAATGTAAATACGCGGATTCATAGCTATAAAATGCATATTCACTTTGAAAACAAAAGATAATAACAAAGATAAATCTCATTTCTTGTGTACAATCGTTTGTAAAACTTGCAGCTAATTATGAATTAAATACTTGTGAAATTTTTTAGGGTTCAATGAAAAGTCTTTATCGTTGAAATGCTATTAAGGTATTTCATTTGCTTTTCAGGTAATTATTAGGGAGTTCTGGAAGAATGATATGATGAATTTCAACTCTTTATCTGAAGTTCCAAATCAATGAA